TGAGACTTAGACCTGAGTGCAAAAATGGAGGCTCTAGCCCCTTCCAGAGCTGAGATATCGAAACTCAAAAATTCGGCCCGAAAAAAAAACGACAGTGGTACCCCTTACGTTTTTTTTTTCGGGCGAAAAATTAAGTTTCTCCAATCTTCCCAAAACTCTGGATTCTGATAGAGGGCCATGAGACTTAGACCTGAGTGCAAAAATGGAGGCTCTAGCCCCTCCCAGAGCTGAGATATCGAAACTCAAAAATTCGGCCCGAAAAAAAACAACAGTGGTACCCCTTACGTTTTTTTTTTTTGGCGAAAAATTAAGTTTCTCCAATCTTCTCAAAACTCTGGATTCTGATAGAGGGCCATGAGACTTAGACCTGAGTGCAAAAATGGAGGCTCTAGCCCCTTCCAGAGCTGAGATATCGAAACTCAAAAATTCGGCCCGAAAAAAAACAACAGTGGTACCCCTTACGTTTTTTTTTTTCGGGCGAAAAATTACGTTTCTCCAATCTTCCCAAAACTCTGGATTCTGATAGAGGGCCATGAGACTTAGACCTGAGTGCAAAAATGGAGGCTCTAGCCCCTCCCAGAGCTGAGATATCGAAACTCAAAAATTCGGCCCGAAAAAAAAACGACAGTGGTACCCCTTACGTTGTTTTTTTTAGGGCGAAAAATTAAGTTTCTCCAATCTTCTCAAAACTCTGGATTCTGATAGAGGGCCATGAGACTTAGACCTGAGTGCAAAAATGGAGGCTCTAGACCCTTCCAGAGCTGAGATATTGAGATATTTATAATGGCATAAATGCTACCTGGGATCTCAATATCTCAGCTCTGGAAGGTGTTGTGTAAAATGATGCAATTTATTTTATGATAACCATATGTAAACTGCTTGTAAAACTTCATAAACAGTCTTTTATGTAAAACAGCTTTTATATGAAAAAATATGTAAACTGCTTGTAAAGACTTTATAAACAGTCTTTCATGTAGAACAGCTTTTATAAAACCATATGTAAAGGCATTATAGATAGTTTACGTATAAAAACTGTATAACACAAGACTGTTTATAAGAAAGACACAGAAACATATTGTAACAAATGTTTATTGGTTTTATAAGAAAGACAGAAACATATTGTAACAAATGTTTATTGGTTTTATAAGAAAGACACAAATGTATTGTAACAAAATACTTTATTAATACAATGTAACCAGTATTATGCATGTGAGTAGTAAAGGGAAAATGTATTACCTTAATGTTGTGTTCTAGACTAAAAGGAGAAGGAGGCTGAGAAACCATGCGAGGAGAAGGAAGATCAAGATAAAGAAGGCCTTTTATAGGAGATTGTTGAAGTGATTAAAAGAGTTAAACTTGGATCCAGGACTAGGATTGGACAGATTGTGCATATGACTTGATTATGTAAGAGAGAGGTGTGACATGTAAATATATTAAGATTGTGCATATGACTTGATTATGTAAGAGAGAGGTGTGACATGTAAATATATTATAAAACGTACATTGAAATGTATGGGGTTTGACTCTGGAAACTGGACCAGACTCTCCATTGTTTGATGATCCAAGCCTGACACCTGCTGGTGTAACTTGTGAACTGCATTTATTGAACTAATTTTGTTAAACTGTCTGATAGAAAAACTTTGGAAAACTCTATACAATAAAAATACAAATAATAGATAAAAGAAATTTGCCTGCCAAGAGTCTCTACTTGCAGTAAAGAACTTAGCCACGGAGGGGTCTTTCTACTGGGGTGTAAGTATGAATTTGTGTACTTAATATCTAATGTAGAATTTGACCATCTTTACCTTACCTGAGAATAAACAAAATAAGGTAGAAGGTAAATGATTTATAACTAGGATAGATCAAATACCATAAAACAAAGGGTCTAAAGCCTCCATTTTTGCACTCAGGTCTAAGTCCCATGGCCCTCTATCAGAATCCAGAGTTTCAAGAAGATCAGAGAAATTCAAAATGTTGACCCCCCCAAAAAAACGACAGTGGTACGTACCCCTTTCGTTTTTTTTTTTTTTTTTTGGTATGAATAATGAAGTTTTTCCAATCTTCTCAAAACTCTGGATTCTGATAGAGGGCCATGAGACTTAAACCTGAGTGCAAATATGGAGGCTCTAGCCCCTTCCAGAGCTGAGATATCGAAACTCAAAAATTCGACCCGAAAAAAAAAAACGACAGTGTTACCCCTTACGTTTTTTTTTTTGGGGGGCGAAAAATTAAGTTTCCCCAATCTTCTCAAAACTCTGGATTCTGATAGAGGGTCATGAGACTTAAACCTGAGTGCTAAAATGGAGGCTCTAGACCCTTCCAGAGCTGAGATGTTGAAAGTCAAAAATTCTACCCGAAAAAAAAAACACGACAGTGTTACCCCTTACGTTTTTTTTTTTTGGGGGGCGAAAAGTTAAGTTTCCCCAATCTTCTCAAAACTCTGGATTCTGATAGAGGGTCATGAGACTTAAACCTGAGTGCTAAAATGGAGGCTCTAGACCCTTCCCGAGCTGAGATATCGAAACTCAAAAATTCGGCCCGAACAAAAAACGACAGTGGTACCCCTTACGTTTTTTTTTTCGGGCGAAAAATTACGTTTCTACAATCTTCTCAAAACTCTGGATTCTGATAGAGGGCCATGAGACTTAGACCTGAGTGCAAAAATGGAGGCTCTAGGCACTTCCAGAGCTGAGATATCGAAACTCAAAAATTCGGCCCGAAAAAAAAACGACAGTGGTACCCCTTACGTTTTTTTTTTTTGGGCGAAAAATTAAGTTTCCCCAATCTTCTCAAAACTCTGGATTCTGATAGAGGGCCACAAGACTTAAACCTGAGTGCAAAAATGGAGTCTCTAGACCCTTCCAGAGCTGAGATATTGAGATATTTATAATGGCAACGACAGGGGTACCCCTGTCCTGAGATATTGACCGTTTTGTCCACTGTGAAATGCTCCAGAAGTTAAAAAAGTGGGCTGACATGTGACATCCATTGTAATGGACACAGGGTCTGAATGGGTTAAGTGCCTAAGATGAACCACTTACAGTTTGGACAATGGAAAGCGCCAAATCATTAAAACAAGCCATTAAGCTAAATTGTTTTATTGGCCATAGACTGACTAATAAAAATGCAACAAGTACCCAATATTCATGTATTTTCAATGGACACCATGTTTGAAATATATAACATGACTAAAATTGAATAAAAAAATTAAAATGTAAAGTTTTATAAAAGATTAATGCAATATACCATATCAGAATTTTGCTGTATCCAGTGTAACTGGATGTAAATTTAACTGAAGTGACTATTTAATAAGCTCAAAATCCAGTGGGACTGTTTAGTGTAACACTTATTTTACGTGTTTTGTTGCGTACTGTCATAAAACAGACATTGCACATTTGAACTAATATCTCTGGAACATGCCGTTTTCTTCACCAGATTTACTATCAGTGTGGTGCGTGTCACCATGTTATGCCCATTTCTGTCTCTAGATGAATGATTAAACTACTACAAAACATTGAATATGTTGAAGATGTGAATGTTTATTGACAGCAATGTAAAATACAGAAAGCAGCTGATTTTTAATGCTTGAGTCTGTAACGCTTGCTGAATTTTTCAATATAAAACATCCATAAAGCAACTGGTCTTGCAAAATGGAATTTTACAACATTACACATTTTTCACAAAACAGACATTTTGCTAAATCTAATAAATTAAAGGAACGTCTTGTCAATTAAGGCATTTGCTCTTGATCATTTGTACCTGGCTATGACTTTAAGTTGAAATAAAGTTCAATCCAGGTCTTCTGTTTTGATTGTGGAGCTTTTATTTTGAGACCATCCAGACAGCTCAGTGAAAAGCTAATTGTAAGACACAGGATACAGATTTAGATTTGCGTATGTTGTATTACAGCAATTGTAATATGAAATGACCAAGCGAATGTATTCCTAGTTTAAAATGACAAATTAAGCAGAACCATGGTTTAAATGCATTACAAGAGCCACTCGCTACAATAAAATCTTTCAAATTAAAAGCAGAAAACCACTAGTTAAACAGCCTAATATATATATATACATACAGCCTTTGGGAGAAATAATTCTACAAGTTGTTGAAACTGAATTGCTATTTTACTAATTTTACATCAGACATAGTAGAAAATAATGCCTGATACCACATAGATAAAATAAAATGGCATTTAACATTGCAGAAATCTCTTTTTATCTTAATTAGATCCGAGTCTGTAATTGAGACTCATAGCAAAGCATTTGTAAAGAATTGAACCAGATTGTGCACAACATTGAACAAAAACCCAAAGAGAATGAAGAGACACCAAGAACTTCAGCAAGATTAAACAAACTTTTCAATTTAAAATCTGCAAATCACACTCTGCAATACATTTACTAGAGGGTTAAAGGGATACTCCACTTTTTTTTAGAAATAGGCTCATTTTCCAACTCCCCCAGAGTTAAACTGTTGAGTTTTACCGTTTTTGAATCTATTCAGCCATTCTCCGGTTCTGGCGGTATCACTTTTAGCATAGCTCAGCATACATCATTGAAGTGCACAAGACCAAAGTGTTTCGATATGTTTCCTATTTAAAACTTGACTCTTCTGTGGTTACATCATGCATTAAGACCGACGGAAAATGTAAAGTTGCGATTTTATAGGCTGATATGACTAGGAACTATACTCTCATTCCGGCGTAATAATCAGGAAACTTCACTGCCGTACCATGAGTGCAGCAGGCGTAATGTTATGACGCAGCGCCTGAAAATAGTGCCCAGCTTCCAACGTGACCGGGACTAGGGTTGTGTAGTCATCCGCCTGCTGCACTCATGGTAGGGCAGTAAAGTTTCTTGATTATTACACAGGAATGAGAGTATAGGTCCCTACATATCAGCCTAGAAAATCGCAACTGCATTTTCCGTCAGTCTTAATGCATGATTTAACTACAGAAGAGTCAAGTTTTAAATAGGAAAAATATTTAAAACTTGAGTCTGTAATGCTTGTTGTAATACACTTTGGCAATTATTTTTTTTTTTTAAGAAATGCTAATGGTCTTGTGCACTTCAATGATGTATGCTGAGCTTTGCTAAAAGTGGTTCCGCCAGAACCGGAGATCGGCTGAATGGATTCAAAAACGGTAAAACTCAACAGTTTAACTCTGGGGGAGTTGGAAAATGAGCCTATTTCCAAAAAAAGTAGAGTATCCCTTTAACTCAATTGCTATTTTATCCAAATAAAAGGAAAAGTGAGAAAATTGGACAACCCAAAACAAAGCCTCAATCTTTGTTAAATGCAACCCTCAACAAAATTGGTGAGATAAAGGAGATTCAGTGCATCTTTAAATTAAGAGTGATAAGTGCAACAGTGCTTCAAAAATTAGAAAGGACAATCAAACACTTTATAAAAGTGAAATGAAACTATCTCCTGTGAAGACGCATGTTTCAGATCATGAGAATGCAGAATGGGGTAAAGTTAGCTACTGCTAGAAATGGGTAGTCAGAGTGAGTTTGGTTTTTCAAAATAAAATGTCTGATTATGCTGTGAGAAATCACTCAGGCTCTTGACGGCTGCTGGCAAGCGCTTGAATAAATGATAAATATTTGCAGTTGGATTCACTTGGATTTTCTTCATGAAAGCTTTCAACTAGCCCTGGAAAAGAATATGATATAATGAGTCATTTACAAAAAAATGGCAGAATGCTTTTACTGTAATCAACACAAGAAAGAACAAAGATATTTTTAAGGTCCCAGTAATCAGGCTCAGGTAAAAGATAAAGTGTCTAGAAGGTACTCATGCATACTCAGAGATTCTCATACTCATGTTGATCCTTTACTCATCAACAGCCCTAAGCATGTATGGATATGCTAAATTCATGGTCACGAGGAAGAACTTATGAAACCCATCCATCACAAAATATAACCCACAGTGATGCTTGTACGGCGTTCAAGAACTTTGGCCGTCCATTCATAGTGAGGCAACAAGTAGAACGCAGGAGAAACCTTCAACTTTGTAACACATTAAAGAGAAAGTTGCATAGTTACCATTGTCTTTACCATGTATGTGTTATAACTCTCCCTCTTGAGCTTTAGTCGCCACCTTTTCAGAATACACATGTTTTGACCTGCAATCCAAAAGTCCAATAATGGTCTGTATGTGCATAACTAAATATCTGCATATATTAAACTTCAATCCATCACCCACTTACCAATGCCATACTCAAACACACACACACACACACACACAAAAACTATGGAAGCTTGTTTCTGCCATAGAATAAAAATAAATAAATAAATAATCTTTTAAAATTATATACAAAATATTAATATAAATATATAATTATGACTTTCTCTCACAACTCTGACATCTTTTCCTCAGTGACTAGCAGTTGCAAGGGAAAAAGGTCCATTTTGGACCTCTCAGAATTCTGAGATTCAACTGTGAATGATAGTCAAAATAACTGCAAGATATAAACTTGAGACATATGACATACAATACTGAGAAGAAAAGTTTTGAATTTCAAGTTTATAAAATATAATAAACTCACAATTTTAAGAAAAAAATGGCAGAACTATGAGATATAAATTGTAATTGAGGGAGAAAATTATGAGAAAAAAAAAAATTCTGTGAAGGAAACAAGCTTCCATAGAAAACCCTTCTACCCCCTAGAAGGAAAGCACCCAAAGTGTTCAAATTCACTCCTTTTCCTTCAAGTAGACTACATTAGTGGACTAATTTAGGAGATAGCGAATGAGGGTATAGGGGGTAATTTTTAACCTATTATAAAAACAACACATTTGACTGCAAAATATTCAGATATATGCAAATATATCATATATCAAGTGAACAACTACATATAAAATAAAATACTTAAGAAAAAAAAATTATTATATTATTCCCAATGCTTCATGGAGGCAGTACTTTTTTTTTTTTGAAAGGTAGAGATCTCTTCAGGATTATGGGTAATCTAGAGTCTGCATATTTTTAGAATACAGTTTTGAGCTGCAATCCAAAAGTCTGGTTATGGTCTGCTTGTGCATGACTAAATATCCGAGTATATTAAACCTTAACCTCATGGCATCTCCATTTCCCATGGAAAATTTGTGGAAAACCACCCGTTTTATAAATCTGAATGCAAAACAATATTTTTACCCAATATAAGAGTGTAAGAACAACAGCCAAGATATCACATAAGCAAAGAGCACCTCAGACAATGCAGAAAACTTACCGTTTCTTTATGTAGATAAAGCTTCCAATAATGATGGCTACAAAACAGAGAATAGTAAGTATTACAAATTACTTGCCTGATTCAAACAGATTTTTTTTAATAAATTCTCTAAAAAATGTTTCAATCTCACATACATTTTTTTTTCTCAATTTCACAAATACAAATGACAACTGATAGTGTGCGACACTAAGCAGGTTTGAAAAACTACAGTGATTTCCGGAATATTTTATTTTCATCCAATACATGCTGATAATGCAATTAATGTAAAGTACGCAAAATATGTGCAAAGCGGCCATTTCTAATAGATACAGTCGGTTGGTCTGGGAACGCCCCGGGGACCCCCCGTCACGTAATGTGAATTTAGCCCGTGGGGGAAAACATTGCCTTGGCGCTCATTGAAATACATGGGACAATTATGCCGAAGAGTTGCCGTGTCGTTTTTTGTACCACCAATAAACTAACAAATTATAAATTGAAGTTCTACTTCCTTTCTTACATACATACAGAACCGGATAGGAGGACAAAATGGCAAAATTAATCATAACTTATTAGATTACTGTGCGAGTAGATCCCTGTGTGATGTAGTAGTAGTAGATGTTTAACTAACGTTACTGCAGTGGGCCAGATTTGTCTGGCGTTACATCCCTTACGAAAAAGAACTATAGTAATCCTATGGCTATAAGTATTCTATAGTAGTGTATAATACTTCTGTGATGTTCTGTAATACCTCTGTACTTCTAGGCTATGTCCCAAAATACTATGCATTCCTATAGGATTAACGTTACTATGATATTTTGTCCCAAAATACTACAAGATTCCTATAGTTGTTTTTCATAAGGGATGTCTTTCACATTAGCATTATCAGCTGAAGGTTTAGCTCACAGACTACAGTCTGGGAGAATTCAGATAACTGTCAGCAAAGTCCCTCTGCAACTTCGTAGCTACTACTACTGATCACAGTTTTACAAAAGCATCAATAGTTTGGAGTAAGCTGCATACAATTGGTAAGTGACAAGGTTTTATGGACTTATGGTTGGGTCATTGACCCAGTTTTTAATTAAATAAGGGCAATCATAACCTATTACAGTTCATTTTGCAATGTACCGTTGCCGGTCGGCAGGCGTCAATGACTCGCAATATGACATTTTTGTCATTCAAATACATACGATGGTCATGCTGCTTTCCCCCACGCCAACCACACCCCCCCAACTATGACGCGTTGCCGACCTATGGCTAAGCCACGCCCCCTCCACTCACTCGGACAAACAGTCAGCATTCGGGGACAGGCGCTATGGCAGCGGTCACAGTACACAGGAGGCAATTGGTATATTTGGAGACAGAAAGATAATATATCATCTTGAAGTCACCTAAAGGGCCTTAACTATGCATTGGAGGGGTATATTAATAATTTTACGGTTGAGAAGGTCAAAGAAAAGCTTCAGCTCCAGGCAAAAATGTACAGGTCACAGTGTAAACGTGATAAACCACATATCGTTGCCATCACTGTTTGGTGCTACAGTATTTACATAAATCATTCAGCACAACATTGTTAACATTTGTTATCTCGGTTATTTACAGATACGTTAGTGAAGCTTAGTGACATGATGTACAGTAGGCTACCTACAACGCAGCTAGAAGCTAACGTTAAGGTTTTCTAATGTTAGGCTAACGTTAGCCTAAAGTTACGTTAGATATTTTAAAGATGACATTCAAATACATTGTTGACTTAAATGAAACAAGGATGTCTACATCTGTTCTAAGCTATCCACGTTTAGTTGCTGTTGTGGTCTACCGCATAACTTAATCCAGAGCAGACAATTAGCCATCTCGGTTGAGATGTGGCTTGGGAACGGGTAAAAAAAATACACACCGTCGCCCAGTCTCTCAGGAACCTAGTGTCGGAGTTGCATATACCCCATATGCACACCGTTTGACCATTTTAAACTTAAAATGACAAGAATGAAAAAACGAATGAAAACTGACTAACTGCAATGGATGTCAATGGACGTGGAAGCAGAGAATGTCAGAGTGTATTGGGTTAGCTGCAAACTGTGATTGGCTCATCGCGCTTCAAGGCGTGGCTTAGCCATAGGTCAATTGTGCTGAATGAGAGAGGCAAGTTTCTGTATAGGACATAGAGCTCCTCGATTCTGGATGAATGGAGATTGATCGTTTAGTTTCATACAGAGATGATGTTTTTCCTACGATTCTGAAAAAACTACTAAACAAAATGATTTACGACAGGTTCTGACAAAATGTTAATTGGCTGCAGTCTATTTAAAATGCTTAATTAATCTAAATTATTATTTTTTTTAATTTACATGAATAAATTCATTTACTCTTCACGTGTTTTATTACTGGACGAATCCGCATTTTTGAACAAATCTTTTGAATGAATGAAAGATAAATACATTTAGCAGTCCCTTGCCGTCATATGGTAGCCTGACTACGTCAGACTTCCTACTTCCGCTAATTTCATTTCGCTCCCGAAGCAAAGTGAAGTAGCAGAGTCTGGTATTACCAGGCTAGTCATATGGTGGCGTAAAGATATAATTGTTATTTGAAACACCATGTTACTTTTAAAAGGTGATTTCTCTATTTTGATCACTTCCACAGACATCAATGATTTTATCCGAACAATAAGCTTTTATCCCAGAATTTCTGTGAATATTCGTATATATGTAACTGTGTGGTTTGTGAAGCTGTTCAAACCTATATGACAGCTGCTCTCCCTGGGTCAGCAGCAGTACAAAGCAGATCTGAATGTTATGGTGTGATTTTTTTCAAAAGTTTATTAGACACAGGAGAATCGTTATCATTTGTGTGTGTGTTTGAATCGAGATTGTAATCTTTTAAGGATTAATCGTGCAGCTCCCATCTTGCATTTCCCACACACCGATAGTTTCAGTTTTGCTTTAAAAATGTGTTTAGGCTGTGGATTAATAATAAATACTGATTATAATGAATGCCAATATAATTTCTATTAATGTAAACTTTATACTTTTCATTTCTGTTTTGTTCTAAATTCTGTAAAAAAAAAAAAAAGAGAAGGATTTGCAGTGGAGGGAAAATAAATATTTATAATGTTTGTGAACATTTCGTTTTACCTACTACCAGGATTTTACATTATTTCAGAATGCAATGATTAAATGTGACTTCTACACTTTTATTTCATAACTCGGTTTTTGTAGACATGAATATTATCTGGTGAATTATGCAGACTGAGACTTACCCAGAACAGCAACTACACCCAATCCAATGAATACTTCTGAAAATAGAGAATTGATTAAAGTGAATAGATTAAGACAAAATGAATGGTACAATATAACTGTGCAATATATTGGTAAAAAATAATAATAATAATTCGTAACACTTTTAACTAATTTAAGCATAACTTAAACATTTAAATTGACAATTAAAAGCAAGCTACAAGCTACAACTAGAACTACAACAGGAACACTTTGATGTTTTGAAATTTTCTACAACAGACAACCTCTGAGCTGACAAACTCAAACATAAATTTCAAAAAGCAGCCAGTCTCTAACAATAGGAATAAGCTCTTTATTGGATAGTATAGTAAAATAAAAACTGAACTTAAAAAGACACTTACTTGCTGCAGTGGACAATGTAGAACCTGTAGAATCTGTAGAACAATCAGGTGTGTGAGAGAGAAACTAAGCTTCAAACACAACTAGATAGATAACTTAGATGAAGATAAAAAAAAACATTCTTAGACAAAGCATTTAAACAGGTATTCTGTGTAAACAGAGCTACAATTACACTCTCATGCTCAGAAAATTAGTGTTCCCCTTACAGTCCCATTATAAAAGAGCTAACAACATTAAGATCTGGTTAGAGAGAGAGAAACAAGAAACTTAGTGAAGTAGAACTGGCATTTAATTATGTAAAATGCTAAAATAATTGGCAAAGTAAGAAAAAAAGATATCAGTACAAGTGCCAATATCATAAAATGCTACACATTGTTACTTACTCTTAAATTTGAGTTAATAGATGTTAATGCAGAGTTTGATTCGATTTTGGTGAAAATCGGACGAAATGGTCTAGGAGAAGTTTGAAAAAGTAGGTTTTAAAGAAAATAAAGATGGCGGACAGGAGCTTGGCTGACTATGTCAAAATTGATATCTATGTTTTTGGCATAACCCAAGGAATCTATTGAAACCAGTGTCATTACAATAGGCAAATTTATTCAAAAGAGTAAGACATTAGCATTTTTGGAAATTTCATTACAAATGTTTTACCACAAGGTGGCACTGGCCTGAAACATTTAAACTACCTTCAAGGCATGATGCCGATGACTCGTACCAAGTTTCAGAACCATTCACTAATGCATTCACAAAGTATAGCATTTTATATCACAATACTGTATTGAAGTCAATGGCAATTTTAATGTTTTGTTCCATTATAGCGCCAACAATCATTTTGTATAGGACTCAATCCCACAATTTTTTTTTTTGGTGTTCTCAGAGCCCATACATGTGTCAAATTTCTTGAATATTAGAGATGCATCGATTACAATTTTCTAGGCCGATTCCGATTTTCATTGAGTTTGACCTGCCGATGCCGATTTTATTTTTCCAACCACTTTTTTTTCCAATAACACAAATATTTACATAAATATATAGAACACACAGCAAGCAAATTCTGTGCAATTTTGGCACTTTTAAATCCCTTTTTTTCATCAAAAGTGTGCTTTCACTTTAATTGAACGTGAGCAATTGAAAGTTTTTTGCCACTTACTATAAATGCTAATACTTGAATGTCAAAATTTTGAGTCAATAATCATCGTATCGTTGGATTAGGCAAGGATTCAGGAACCTAAAGAGATGACTCCTGTGAAAATAAGTCAACCACTGAAGGAACCTGACAAGTTTCAAACCAGTGCCCTTTAGTGGTAAAATAAAAATGTTAAAACGCTTAGAACATCGTACTGATGACACATACATACAGTTTCGTAATGATAGGTTTATGCATTCATAAAATACAGCATTTTGGTACGAAATTCAAAATAGCCAACAGCCAAAATGGCTGATATGGGAAAATGAGATATTAGTCAACTTGCCATGAATCCCTGATTCTAATGAGTCCACTTAAGATTTTTGGACAAATCATTTCGTCTCCGGACAAGTAGGTGGCACTGTGCCAAAACGCAGCATGTTGCCTCAGATCACGAAAAAGCATTGCAGAGATTCAGTCTTAATTCTGTTTTCGCAAACGCTACGTAAAATTAGTTTGCGCAGTATTCAAGAACGGTTTGACGAATCAATTTGAATTTCAGTTTGGTCGGCATGGTCTGAAGATGATCTGGTTCAATTTTCGTGAAAATAGGGGCAGCCGTCTAGGAGTTGGAAAAAGTAGGTTTTTCTGAGAATTCAAAATGGTGGAAAGATTTCAAGTACAGAAAATGACATCATAGGGTGCATTCGAATCGGCTTTAGCCAAGATTTTTTTTCTAGCCTTAAGGTTCAAAAGATATTAGCATTAAAATGAGTGAAACTTTGGACAGTTGGTGGCACTAGAGTGATTGAGTTATTTTGAGTGATTGAGCAATTTTCCTATGGTGACTGTTCAGACGGTCCAAATTTCATAACTTTCTAGCAAGCAGTTCAATGGGCTGCCACCTGCCATAGACCTCCATACGGAAGAAGAATAAGAACGCCAACGATTTCAAGGTGCCTATGCACTTTCAGTACTTGGCCCCTAATAAGAACACCATTACGATTTTAAATGGGCTTAGTAAAAAAATAAAATATCGAAAATCAATGTGTGGTGCAGGCCGCCACAAATTAAAACATATGGGAAACTCTGCCCTCTAATTTTACTGTCACCTTTCTCAGGGATGATTTAAGTTGTGTTCAGTTCTATATTTGAAGTTTCCAGGTCTAGTAATTTTACTATTACCTTTTTTACAGAACAGGGGGATTATAAGTGCTGCTGCTAATGTTTCAAGTTTTTCATACAAGTAGTTTAGATTATTATATGTAGGCTTAATATAGTGTAGGCTAAGCCTACCCATATAGATTTTTATTTAAAATGTATTTTATGTTGCTTAATGTTTCACATGCAACAGGTGAGCCAGTGCACAATTACTTTTTTATGCATTTTAATTTTCTGTGCATATTCTGTGCATTTATTTTGTTAAACTACATAAAAGCCATTTTCTGTACCGTATCCCAAATGTTACAATGAAACATCAATTGACCACTATAACATGCATTTTTACTCAGTATATAAGCATTATTTTGCTTTTTATGTTAAAGACACTATTGATACCGTGAGAAATTTACATTCTCGGGAAAATAGACAGTTATCAGTTAATCGATCAATAAGGTCGATAATTTACATCCCTACCCCTAATAATAATAATAATATTATTATTATGTATACAATTTTGTAATGACATCCTTGAATCAAAACTGAATCAAATTGTGAGTTTTCTAAAAATGTACAGTTCAAAGTTTTAGGCCACTATTTTCTCAATTATTGACACCACTACACAAAGTTTCTTAGCGCTCTCTTTCTGGATTTTTACGTTGTTAACCCTTTGGGCCCTATTTTAACGATCTAAAACGCAATGTTATCCTTAAAAAATTTGTTTTTTTCATCTTCATGTAAACCACAATGATTTCCCTCATGTGTTAATATTCTTCCTTGTTATAATGTATGATTTGCAAAAAATCTGCTGCATCTGTGTTGATGAGAGAATCAAAGTGTATGCGCTTTGTGCACCCGCTACATTATGGCTAAGCATGCGCTTAAAATAGCATTATGAACAACGCGCAACGCGCCACTGACTTTAGACCAGGTTTTTTCTGGTCAGTGGCGCAATTGTTTTCTGGAAGTGTAAAATAGCACCAGGGAATGTTTGCGCCGAAACACGCCTCCTTTTTGCGCCGATCCGCCCAGGGAACGCAAGTTAATTTCCTAGTTTACCGACGTGCATCTTTGGAGGAAAAAGCCCGCTTGGCATGGGTGCAAAATACAAATGAGACAAGCGTTAGTGTATAAAATCATTTGAAAAAAAAAAAAAAAAAAGAGACATTTTTAGATTATAAATGTGTATCTAAAAATGTTACAATGGAGTATAGATTCAAAGAGTGCAATACCAATGTCTTTAGGTTGAGCCTTGGATGTTACCATCGTGGCAGTTGTGGTTGTTGTGGTTGAAGTCAGGGCTGAGAGTGAAACAAGCAACATTAACATTGGGTTAGGCAAGTAAAAATAGGAATTCAAGAAGTCTACATAAAAATAAGCTCTGTATTGTCCCAAGTTGAGGCAACAGTCGTCGGTGAAATGTTTGGACCATACAAAACTTTGGGAAGTTGTGTCGGCACATTTCCAGAGAAAATAAAATTAACCCATTGTCTTTTCAGAGGCTCAAATGAAGGAACTTAAAAATTATTTTGTGTTTATTTGTACATCTGAACACTGATCAACTGCCATGCTTCGCTCGTTTGCAAGCCATGATATCTCTCGAGGAAAAACTCATACCGCATTCGTACTTCCTAGCTCATTTTCTCATGGGCGAGCCAAATTCTCTGGGCGGGCAAAGCACCCGAAACATGCCTCCTTTTTGCGCCGATCCGCCCAGGGAGCACAAGTTAATTTCCTAGTTTACCGACATGCATCTTTGGAGGAAAAAGCCCGCTTGGCATGGGTGCAAAATACAAATGAGACATGCGTTAGTGTATAAAGTCATTTGCGCTGGGTGCAAGATAGGGCCCTTAATCTTTAAAAAAAAAAAAAAAGAGACATTTTTAGATTATAAATGTGTATCTAAAAACGTTACAATGGAGTATAGATTCAAAGAGTGCAATACCAATATCTTTAGGTTGAGCCTTGGATGTTACCATCGTGGCAGTTGTGGTTGTGGTTGTTGAAGTCAGGGCTGAGTCAAACATGCAACATTAACATTGGGTTAGTCAAGTAAAAATAGTAATTCAAGAAGTCTAGATAAAAATCAAAAATACAAATCACACTCTTATATGCTTAAAATTAGAGAGAAGAAACTTTTACATTTTTCTTCAGAGATCCATGAAAGATCATAGGGATGTAAATAAACATTACTTTTGTTGTTACTTTTGTACCAAGTTGAGGCAACAGTCGTCAGTGAAATGTTTGGACCATACAAAACTTTGGGAAGTTGTGTCGGCACATTTCCAGAGAAAATAAAATTAACCCATTGTCTCTTCAGAGGCTCAAATGAAGGAACCTAAAAATAATTTTGTGTTTATTTGTACATCTGAACACTGATCAACTGCCATGCTTCGCTCGTTTGCAAGCCATGATATCTCTCGAGGAAAAACTCATACCGCATTCGTACTTCCTAGCTCATTTTCTCATGGGCGAGCCAAATTCTCTGGGCGGGCAAAGCAGAGAAAGGGGAGGTTACCTTTCCTCCGTATGACGTCTTACGGAGGACATTCAAGATCAGCTCCTCTGAGCTTTCATTTTCTCAAAGGCAGAGAAAGATAGTCAAAGCTTGGGTTACAACGATTGAAATTTCTAGCCACTGGGGGACCATATACAGGCTAGGGGATCTCTTATTAATGTTAAAAAACCTCAGAAAGTGAAAATTTCATGTCAGGGGACCTTTAAAAAGAGTGACATCACTAGAAGATAAAATGGTTTGCAGTCATGCACTAATAAAATCATTTTAGTCTTACCAATGCACTTTGGTGGTTCAGGGTTCCATCCTGTTGATCCACACACAATATGATATTCTCCTTTCATTGTAAAGCCATCAGCACATTTGTATTCTATAAAGTTTCCCAGTTTGTAGGGTGGTGATCTTCCACCGATTCTAGTTGCGTGTGAAATTTCAGGAGTTGGACACCCATCTGAAAAAAATAAAAACTTGTAGTTAATAAAAGATATGCAAATTAATTTTATTCATTAAACATTTTATCATCAACAGAAAAAAAGCTGCAGCTTACACTTTTTTTTTTTTTTAAAACTTGACTGGCTGTTTAACTTACCCATACATTTTGGCGGATCAGGTTTAAAAGTCCCATCCTCAGCACAATGAAGCGTTGAACTTCCAATAAGACTAAACCCATTGTTACATCTGTAGGACACGGCATTTCCATAATCATAACTGTCCAAAGGCTCATCTACAAGCTGTCCATTTCCTATAGCTGGAGGTTCCTCACATTTCACCACTTAAGAGAAAAAAAATCCTGATGAATAAATACTTATTTTCAGATGCATCTCAAAGTGAAGACCATATAACAATTGGTTTATACTCACCATGAATGCTCCTGAACAAATGAGTGCTCTTCAATGTCATATGTCAATCAAATTTAAGAAAAAACCTCACCTTCACAGACAGGATCTCTGCCATCCCATCCCTGATCTCGGCACCATCTGTATTCCGTTTGTCCATCTAAAAAGTATCTGGAAACAAAAAAAGAAAGATCATCATCTTACCAAATCAAAGAACATCTAAATCTAAATACATGATTACAATACCACAAAGAAACTGATTTATTGGTTTCACTTACCCTTTGTTACAAACCGCTTTAACGTTGTCCCCAAATAAATTCCCAGATCTTTCATAATAACCATTATCAAAATCTGGAAGACTCCCACATTTTTTTTCTGTAAAGTTTTAAAAGATGTTATTAACTTATTGAGATTTGGTGGTTTCCACATACTTCTTAAAATATTGAAAAATAATCTTTAGTGCTACCTCACTATAAAGGAACTGCTTATGAATAGAAAGCCATTTAAGGGCTTGCTGACCAATACTGAGGATGTATTGGTCATCTTATATTTGTTAAGATATGTGAAATTTTCATTTCACATATCTAAATTAGATTTTAAAAAACATTCAAAGGCCCTTTAGGGAAAATTACAAATGTAGGGTACTCAAAAAAATTATGGATAGTACATACTTGTGCACTCTAATTCCAGACTTGTCCACTGGTTACTTTCACAAGTAACAGATTTAGATGCTCTTGAGGTTACTGGTCTATGCCCAATTACACACTCAAATGTTACGGTTGATCCATCTGGGAAACTTTGAGTCGAGAGATAAGAATCTGACAAGGTGACATTCCTTGATGTAAAAGAAGGCTGCGTACATTGTGCTGTGGAAATAAACAAAAGATATACTTTACAGAAAACTGATACAATACTATTCTATCCATCATCATCATCACAATTATTAGCACTACTATACCATCTTAGCTTTATTTTTGTTGTCAAATGACTAGATTGTGATTATCCGTATTTACAAAAGTGAATTAGTATGACTTAAGGAAGATGTGCTGTTGAAATGAAATCACAAGGCTTCTTCATATGTTGCTTATACACAACATTTTTTTCCATTTAAATAGAGCCAGAGGTTACAAGATTTGAAAACTTTTGGCCTCTCTCAAATACTGAAACTAAAGCAAATTTTAGACACAACGATGTTGATAATTGCAACTTAAGTGCTGAAGTTAATTAATACAGCGCAAATAGTATTAAGGTTACACAATTATTTGTGAACTGTGGACAAAAACACATCTGCTGGTTAAGGTCATGATTAAATCAGTCCTGACCATAGACTATAAAAAAGATGGATGATGCCACTTCACTCTCTTCCATTGGTGAAAAATGAAGCCGCCAAACGCCTAATATGTTGCTAACATCTTGCACTGATCTGGGACCTGGTTCTGCGCAGTAGTGAGCAGGAAGTGAAGCTGTGATATCAAGGTTCCACCCTCACTCCCACAGCAACGGTTAATACAAAATTTACATTTACTGTGCGAAAAACAGTTACAGACATGAAGGAATTAAAGTAGAAACACCATGCACCATGGAAGTCATGTGTGCGTTTGCCGTCTTTACAGTGAAGAATTCGTTTAATTCTGTGTATAGTAGCAACACGCTATGACCATCAAGCTTTAGGCTTAAACTTTTGTTTGCAAAGCATTATCAGTTGCTAGTATCAACATTATGCTACTAGGTTATAAATGCATGTGAATGAACTTAACAATGTGCCCTTTTCTATTATATTACAGTTTTACACAACTCTCAGAATGGAAAAGTTATCCACCTTTTTTCAACAAACCTACTGCATTTTAAAAAAAAAATGGATGTCACTTCTGGTTTTGAATTGTGCCACTCAAAAGGACAAACAAATTCTAAGATTGTGCTACTAACAATCCTCATCTGTCAGATTGACTGAGTAAAATGTAAATTTTCCATCATGTTTTATTTTTATCCATATGGCATTGGCATCACAAGAATAGAGCTTTTTTCAGTTCAATATGTTCCGATTATTTTCTTCTCATCAAAGGGAAAAGACAGTGCTTTTGTGATCTGTTCTCCAGAAAAAAAATAAACAATATTGCACTAACAATTCACTGGAACGCATTAAGAATCTCTCACTTTTCTCAGCATTCATGGCAGTTTCCCTTTTTCAGACAGACAATTTGAAACCCAACTTATCCCCCTTTTCAGTTCTAATCCCTTACAGCAGTGTTTACAGAAATGTTTCTGAAGCAGGAAAATAGAATATTTGTTACCTGACAAAATACATCAGAGCATTTTGAAATGTGCGTCAATGTTTCAATTAATGATGAAAAATTTGATAAATATGTATTGCGTTACATTAAAATATGAAGAGTTTGGATACAAAACGCGATAAATGCCATTGCAAAAAAAAAAAAAAAAAGAGTAACTGCAAAAATCTGTTTTGTATCTGGTCAGTATTGAAAAGTCAATGTTTAATTTTACATAAAATGCGATATCCGTCGTGTTGTTGTGTAATGTTTTCTCCCCAAACCGTGACAAACGCCAGTCTCCCTTTTCTGCAAAATGCAATACATCCGCTCAACCAATCACAACGCACCATTCCACGCATTGTAAATAGTAACGGCAGCGCTTTAACTGCACCCGGCTTCCTAGGTTTTCTTATCTATTTTGTCATGTCGATCCATAAACGAACAAAAAAAAAAAGAATAATAATATCTAATAAGAATAGCAATGCTACTACTTATATTTACGCTCTGCCATGACGCATTATTTTAAGGTAAAAAAATCTTAGTGTTGCTTTAACAATCTTAGAGCTGCCAACTCTCAAGAATTTTTACCAACACTTTTTACATGCTCTCACATCACACATCCATTTTCTAATGCAGAGAAAAATTGCGAAGCAAAGAGGACACTGACAGTCAAGACTGAGAAGGTTACTATTGATATGAAACAAACTCTCTGCTCTCAGATTCTGTCAATTTAATAACAAAATTCAAAAATAAACACCGTTTTGGCACTTGTAAATGTGACGTTTACAAGACTTGTAAGACTGAAGTCGCATTTCAAAAGATCGGATACATATCGGATTTGGACCACATACCCAAGTGGACTGGGTCGCATTTGAAAAGATCGGGTCTGTGTCGTTCAGACGGTCATGAAAAGTTCAGATACAGGTCGCATAGGGGCAAAAAATTTTTAAAAAAAAATCGGAATTGGGCCGTTTCAGCCTGCAGTGTAAACGTAGCCTTTAAGATGTTATTTTTAACCTTTAATAATAATACCATCTGACTGGCTCTGTATGTTTACAGCATTAGGTGAGATTTTTTGGGGGGCAAAAAAATTACATAACACGGTAACGTATCTACTGTACCTAATTTTTATCCAAATGAATCGATATTGAATCAAGATCAGAATCAAATCACAAGAATTGAATTTGTGAAATTTGTGTCAAGCAATAATAAAAACAGTAGCATACTAATCATTGCACCATTGTATGGTACATGTAAACTAAAATTCTGTTTAGTTACCAAATGTTTTCACAATCACAATACATTGTGATGCAAGTTTTTTTTTTTTTTACACATCCTCCCAATATCAATCCACCCATTTTATGTTATTACATTATTTTATGTTACATTTTCACATTTTACAAAGGCAGGGCCTGCCATCTTGTCTTTTTGGCTGGTTGTTTCTGATTGCACTTTAACCCGAAGGGGGAAATCCAGATCAAATACCAGAATTTAAAAAGGGATTTAAATTGTAAATCGGATTTCTTTATAGGCCATATCACCCTAGCCTACTTGAGGGCGAGTAAATAATGAGCTAATTTTCATTTTTGGTGAACTATCCCTTTTAGTGAGTAGAACACACTACTTGCACATTGTATATAACTTACTATAAAAACAGCATGTAAGTACTCACAATTGGGACGCACCGACTGTAAAACCTGAAACTAAATCGTAGTTCACTAACAATAGATAGATAGATAGATAGATAGATAGATAGATAGATAGATAGATAGATAGATAGATAGATAGATAGATAGATAGATAGATAGATACTCACCTCCGACATGTTCACAGATCATAAGATACGGAATGAGAGCAACACTGAGCCACAACACCTTGGATCCCATCTTGTTTATGTCGGTGAATGTCAGCCTGAATCAAGGCCAATGTTATTTGTTTTCTGCACCAAATAAACAAAAAATACCTTTTAGCGTAACGACGTAAAGAAATGCACTTTTAAAATATTTACTTTTAAATAGTCAAAAGTTAACACTAGCACTCTCTACAACAAAACAGGCACAAAAGATTCACATAAACACAACCTGGTTCCGTTAGCCTGTTAGCGGCTAGCATAACAATCAAGACAGGTTTGAATTATTAACGTCATAATATGCCTATGATTTAACCGAATTAATACAAATAGTTTTAGTTAATTAACCAAGCTTCAATAAACTTTGTATAGGCTAGGCGTAACACTAAAAATATGTTGGGCAAAGCGCGGAAGGGTGTGATCACTTGAGCTTCCTTTCTCCTCTCTTCCGTTCACAATCCATAGCCCAAACCCAAATCTAACCCGACACACAAACAATAACAAATAATATCAATGTTTTTTTGTTTTGTTTATTATAACCTTTTTTTCAAGCGGCTGTGGCAGGTATAACGTTAGTAACTCAGAGAAGTGAAAATTAATCCTTGTTTTAAGCATCATTAACGTTACTTACCTTTAGGTGTTCAAGATTTTTCTCAATGTTCTGTTCGATTCAAAGGCATATAAAGCCCGTTTAACTCACAAGAAATTAGATAAAGGGAGGGTCGAGATCCTGGTTCTCATGAAGAAATTTTCCGTCTAAAAGAGGGCGTCACTGATATGTCGTACCTCTTCTTCTTCTTTTCTTTCATTGGCTGTTGGCAAACAACTTTTAAGTGTGCATTACCGCCACCTTTTGATATGGAGTGTGGATCAAAATAACCTTTCCTCACTACCCTTGAAATAAATATATAAATACATAAAACCATAAAAAGACCAATACATAACTTTATAAATATCTAATAACAATATTAATATTCATACATTATCATTAAATACAACTTTCTAAGACAACTAAACTTATATCCTTCTACTAAGACCTGTTTTACTCAAAAAGACAAATATGGCTCTATATCCTACATGACCTGAATTCATTTGTAATAGTTCCTTCATTTCGAATCTAATTTTTTCTTTTCTTAACCAGTTTTTCAGCCTCATCCTTTCCTCCTTATACTTATGACAATTAATAATAACATGCTCTACTGTTTCATTAATATTACAGAGACCTCACACATCCCAGTTTCATGTTTCCCTATTAATTTAAGTGTACTATTCAATCCAGTATACCCAAATCTCGTTCTTGAAATAATGTCCTCTTCCCTTTTATTCCTATTATTTTCTCTCATACCTCCTACCCTCTTCTGGATACTGTAATACATTCTTGCTTTTGTTTCTTTATTCCACTCCTCTTGCCACTTCATTTATAATTCCATAATTTTCCCTACATGTCTTTTCAGAATTTGAAATGCTTTATTTCTCTCTTTTATTACCTTTGTGCATTCTTGTGTCCACCACGGAATGATTCTTTTTCTAATACTGCCTCCTCTTTTGCTGCACCTAAAATAATACTACTTGTTTCTTCATTAAAAATCATAAACTCCTCCTTTCTAAAGGGAACTCGCACTGTCGAATGCCGCTTTGGGGAATGCCTCAAGTGTTGTTTTGTTCCTACCACACCAAGATTATACCCTTATGTGCCAACTAATGCTCTTGCTCGCAGTCACTGTGGCAAAACAATTATTGTTTCTCTGAGTATTATTTGGCCAATGACACATAGCTCACCTGCAAAATGTCTGTATGCAGGACAGTCATCAAAGCAACCTGTTTGAATAGCAGTTCTCAGTCTCTGTATGATTTCCTTGGTGGTCAGAGCACTTGGTGTCACACAAACTGCTATAAACCGCATGTACTCTTCTGCTTTATTTGGGTGCATCTCACCTTTGGCTGATGGGCCCAGCAGACGTGACATAGGATCTGCAATGTTCTTTGTTCCAGGTAAATGAATCACCCGGAAATCTGTCATCTCAAGACCCACCTTTTAATGCACATGATATTGAGCAAGGGATATAAATTGCCTCGAATGCTTTGTAGTCTGTGACTAGATCAAACTTCAGACCATAAATGTAAGGGTGCAATCTTTCACATGCGCACACCAGAGCAAGTGCTTGGCGCTCTGTTTGCCTGTGCCTTTGTACAGCCGATCTCTGCCATAACCATTGTGTTTTACAAACACACAGTTACAACAGCCAAATAAAAGCTAAAGTAAGAAGAACTGGGACCAAGAGCCCAACAAAAGCAAACAATGATCACCACCATGGTGACATAAAATTAAACAAATATCAACATCTAAACCTCATCTAAGGAAATTACATTGAAATAAACTTGAGTTTTAATTTAATGCATCCTGAGTGTTTACTTGGTCCAGAAACAGTAGAAATAGTCTAAATGAGGCCATAAATGATGTTGAAAATATGTCCACAATGGCCACATTTGAACTATTTTTTAAACTTGTACAAAGGTGTGATGAACGTTTATATCAGACGTGCAGAACAGACGTCAGAAAAACTTTCATTCTGGCTCCTCAGTGGACGTCTTTTCAACGTTCGACTTTTCGTAACAAAGATGTTGAAAGGACGTCTTTTGGACATCATTTTGCTCAGTGGGATAGATAAAATGAAATCTCAGTAATATACCAAAACATGGCATTATATTTGTAGATACAATTATTTGTATTTCAAACACAATGGCCAAAATAGAATGATTGAGTAACTCACCTCTGACATTGACAGACTTCATTAGACATGAAGAAGCCAGGAAGCAGCACAGAGAGACTGAAACTTAAATCCCAGTCTCTCAACGTTGGTGAACTTGCCAAAAATAGTTCCAGAGTAATTTGTTTTTTGTTGCTCAAAAACAGAGACCATAGTGGGACAAGGACAACACATTTTAATGAACATTCTTGGGTTCGAGATGATTCTCTCTCTAAGATACAACTTAAAAAAATGTTCTAACAAATGTAAAAAAAATATATATATATAAAAAAAGTAGCTTTTTTTCATAGGAGTAAACTGCCAGCATTGCAGATTGAAAAAAAGTATGGTTACTATTTAAAAATATTTATTTTACTGGTATAATATAAGCTGCTGCTGCCGTCCATGTTAGTAAACTGTAATATTTTTTTTTTAGCATTTTGATTTTTGTCTTTCTTGAGTTAAAGGCTATTCCGGGCATCTCACTGCAACAGTTTCAAGAGGTAAGTAATGAAAAGCTCAAATCACATCAAGCATCGAGACAATTTATTGAAAATCAAACAAAGATGAATGTGGAATATGAAAGAACAAGACTGTAGATCTTTAAAAAATATTTAGTTGCCTTGTCTGCCTACTCATTACACCAAATAAATCACTAAACATTTTATTTACCTCCATGTCTTGTGACCATTTACCGACACTAGAAAATGTGTTGTGAAATTATTGAAATATATAGGTTTTGTTAACAAAGTTTGGGAATCTCTGCATTAAATGAACAACGTATTTAATTTGTCAGAAACCATTTGAGTTGGACAGAACGGAGTTCATTTAAACAAAAAAAGGTAGCTTTATATATATTTATATATTCAAAAAATCCATCTTTACAGTCCCTTGATCGCTGTCCATGCATCAAGGTCACAAATATTTCATCAGTTTATCACTATGTGTGATATTTTCCTTTAATATAGACAGCACACCTAAAGCTGAAATATCTAAACAAGTTTGAATGGGATTAAGCAGTTTGGGGCTACATTAATTGAACACCTTGTGGATAATAAAGACAAAGCACATCAATTCAGAGCTAACATGTGCAGTAAATCGACATGAAGTCATAATGAAGTAAAAATAATGCAAATAGTATGCACACCATGAATAAAAACACTGTGTAATGAAGATGTGATCAGATGTGTTTGACTTGAGCCTTAAGCCGTCTGGATGTTAATTTTGAGCATGTGAGCACTAGATATAAGATGGTAATCATCGCTGAGAAGAGAAGCCAACGAAGACACTCATGCCATAGAGGTAAGCCAGACCAAGACCTATAGAATAAGATCATAATAGTTTTCAGCCTTCTAACGTACAGACATTGGTTGAAATTGAATTAAAACAATTATAATACATATATTTTACTATCTTTAGTTTTCTGTTCATTTCTCACTAACATCGTCCTATTCTGACTCCATGCGGGTTGAGAGACTGTTGCAGAGCTCAGTAATTCCTCTGTAGTTTGGATGGATGTTGAGAGTGATGTTGTGCTTCTAATGCAGTCATAGCTAGAGAGTGCTAATCAACAAAGTGAGGTTCATCCTCTTGTCAGACATCTTAAAAACATGTATATAATACAGCACAAAAAATATAATATTACTGTAAAAAAAAAAAAGTTAAGAAACACTACATCATGTCCATTCAAGTGAAGTAAAACTATAATGTACTCAAAAGTTTACAAATGAAAACACCATTGCATTCTATGAAATGATTGGCCTATCAACATGACGATCATTCCAATATTATAATGTAAAATTAATACAATATTATTAAAGAACGGCCTTGATACAGAAGCCACATTAGTATTATAGGTACCCGGAGGTCGTTTTCACTGCAGTAGACAAAAGTGGCATTTGTTACTATTTTATGTTTTGGTGAATTGGTGGCTAATGAATTACAATCTGTTTTCATACTGCTTCAATGTATATGTAATGATGAGTAATTATAATCAAGGTATTACTCAATATTTTTCCTTCTAAATATTAAGTTGAATGACTTCTCTAGCCATGTGAGATTTTGAATTGAGTTGAATGACTGTGAGATTTTACTTTGTTATAGAAGTTACCAGTATGATTGCTGAAATGTTCTTTGCATGTACTCTGTATTTGATATCTGAAAGCAGCAACAGTGCTTGTTCATTTAGCCCAGCTTCCAGAAATGAAATAGGGATTTCTATTGTTTTTTAGAAAGCAAGGTCTCCAAAGTGTTAAAACATAAAGGGGTCATTGAAGCCAATAGTTTAAGGGACCATTTCTTTGTTAAAGCCTTACTTTCCAGTTAGACTAAAGGTTAGCTATCCTTGAGAGAAAGAATGCATTATCTTGATGTTTTGAGAAGACTCTCTTGTTTATAGTTAGAGCCTGGCCGAATCCAACCTTGGAAAAGCAGTGTGTAGGAGTGTGTGTGTGTGTTAGTCTTCTTGGTTGCAGGTTAAGGAACCACTGCCATTATTGGAGATTGACTGAGTTGTTGTTCTGAACATGCTGGCGCCCAGCAATCCAAATCTGCGACCTCGAAGGTCATGACAAGCACTCTGAGTCTCAGCTGCATAATCGATGGAGATATGCTTCCGTCTATCTGTATATGTGTGGAAAATTACTATGTTTATCTATTTCTTAGCCAATGAGAATCATTCAACCTGTTTGCAATGACGTAGCTTAGACCTTGGAAAAGGTATAACTGCTGTGATCTTTGTGACTGTAAGCGGGGCGGCCTACAAACTCCTGGAAGAGTCTTGAAGCTGACTTCTGCTGATGACACTGCAAACTAAATTCAGTAAAACATTTCTTAAATTTTTTCACAATTCTGACTCTGGGTCTTCATTCTTCATATCTGGTTCTGGGTCTTTGACTGTATACCCCTTACAGTACGATCTGTTTATGACCAAGTGATGGTTATGTTTAGGGGTGGAGCTTCATGCTTAGTTTTTTCAAATAAAAATGATAAGTTTTCATATGAATTTGACACCTCGTAAAATAATAAGACAACATTATCCCTTGAGATTGGGTGGGTGTTGACAGATGACGGCAAATATTTGAAAATAACTGATGACTGAATGATGTGACTGGCCAATCAGAATCAAGAATTCCGGAGAGTAATTCCAATGTAATAAAAACGTAATATACAATCAATGTACAGGTTCAACTCACCCTTAGATGAGATGAGATTAACACAGTTCTTGTCTGCAGGCTGAAGGATTTGTAGAGAAATAAATTCGCTGCTCTGGCTGCTGACATCATTAGAGGCCAAGCAGAAAAGTTGGCTGTCTTCAGTGATATTTGAACAATGGAGATGGAGATCAGTGGAATTGTGCAGGACAATGTTGTTTGGTTTTCCAACTCTGTACCAAGTGTACTGCACATCCGTTCCTCTCTCACTCCAACAGCGAAACACAACTAGCTGTCCCCAGCACATCATCTCCAGAGAACTGAGAGGCCAAAAGTGTGGTTTCATTACAGCCTCTGAAATTAAATACAAAAGTTCTGTCATGGAACTCAAGATGGTGCAGGCTAATAGAACAAACATCTTACTTTGGTTTAGGATACTTCACACATGATGAAAATAAAGTCTTACCATTTGTTACTGTAACTTGGATCCTGGTCATTATATCAGAATAAATTTTGTCAATCGCCACCCAATATATCCCAGTGTCGTCCAACTTTAGATCTCTTACATTAACAATCAAGCCTCTAGAAACTCTGTCAATGATTTGTGCCCGTGTTCTGTACGCTGCCTGTGTGAATCCATTTGTGTCCATCAGAACCTCACACGAGGCTCTGGAGTCTCCAGCACACCAGTACTTCTTGTTAAATTGGAACTGGTCTGTTCTGTAGGTGCAGGTAAGAGTGAACGTGCGTCCAATTGTTGCTTGAATCTTTGTTTTATCACACTGAAACTGCATACTTACTAGAGAAAAAGTCACAGTTTTAAACATTGCATAAATAAGATGATCATCAAAATATTGTTTTGTTTGGAGGATTTAAAATCAGCACGATATGAAAATTCACCCCATCTAAATGACCTCATAATGTTTAAATCAAAATGTCATAACTGGATAAAAACTGATAAAAACAACAGATTTCTCTCTGGTGACATTCACATTGACTGACCAGGACAGAATGAACAGAGGGAACTAAATACATGGAAGAATCAAACATAATGAGGTGAAGACAGGTGAAACAGATGAACAGGACGCTGAACGGGAGGCTGATGAGGGAGTGAGTTCAGGTGTGCAGACGAGAGGATCATGGGAAGTGTAGTGCTGGAGACGCAGACAGGATGGTGCAGACGAAGGACTGTGACACATACACAGGACTTCTCCAATCATTTAATCTGCTTAATACCCGCCCCTTTTTCTGCCTCTACTTTTGAGTACAACATCCACATCTTAAAATCCAAATCAACAACCAAGTGTTTTCCCTACAATGCATCTCAAATTTTTAAATGATTTTTTAAAACTCTTAAAACAAATTGTATTTTAAACATTTTAATTTAAAATAAGTTTAAAAAAAATCATTAGCAAACCCATTACAATTTTTATGTACATGTTAGTCATTTTGTTCAACCTATGAGCGTTTAGAAGCTGAGAAACTGAGATTAGTGGTTATATCTCTCACTCTTTGCTCAGATACCGTTATTTAGTTTAACTTTCTGAATCACATTTTAAGTAAATGCATGTTATACAATTAAACAAGAGAATCTGATTCACAAGAGAACAAAAGGAAGAGATTCAGGCAAAGCCAGTTCAGCTCATTTATCATGCATTATGATTGGAAATCAAATTATCAACCATTTAAATGCAGAAATTACAATTTTCTTCAATTGACAGGCACTATTTAAGTTTAAAAAAAAATCTTTTTTAAATCATTAAAAATTTATACCAAAATATTGTCCAACTTTTTTGTTGGTCATGTATGACAGATATAGTATTTCATCCTATTGTCAACTATAGGTAAAACCACTTTTACAGCCATCATCTCCTTACAAAACTACTTAATTTAACTACTTGTTTAATTTACTTGTTTAATTTACTAAACAAATACTAGGCAGATAAATATGAAAACTACTGCATCAAATATGTTTTTTAAAAATCAGTAAAAAGAGACTTACTCTGTGCAACAAGCAAAATGAACAAGCCCTTCATAGTGCTAATGGAGGTGTGGATATTATGTTGTGGTGCACCTTGTGCAAGTTGTATAGAATGAAACAGGATGTGCGCCTTGTGCGGTGATGGACAAACTGTTTTCAAATAGCTTTGTGGGGTCTTTCTTTCAGTATGCTGGCAGACATAAGTACACACGCAGTACAAATTTACTTAAAAAAAGACTCTAGAAATGGTGAAAGTGCAATTTTTAATGCAAAAACTTCACATAAGAATTAAAATACAGAAAATCTAAAGCCGAAATTAGAAAGTTGTAAATAGAAAGTGCTATTCCTGTAATAGAACATTTGCCAGTGAATCAGGACAGAACAGGAAAAGGTCAGAGACTGCACTTTCAACAAACAGCCACTAGATGGAAGACTTGTGTATAATGGCAAGGAACATTACATAAAAGATGCAATTTTAAATATGTGTGTGTATATAACTATTTTGCTCTATTAACTATTAAAACAATACTAGGCAGTTGAGCATAAAAACTACTTCAAATATGTAGTAAAAATTCAGTAAAAAAGAGACTTACTCTGTGCATACACACAGATATATACACACACACAGTCAACAAGTAGTCAACATTTGAAGTGGCTACTTCAAATGTTGAAATGAAATTGCTGGGTTGTTTTAACCCAACTTTGGGTCAAATATGGACAAACCCAGCCATTGGGTTAATTTTTTTTAATTACATTTTTAACCCAACGTTTGGGTTTGTCCATATTTGACCCAAAGTTGGGTTAAAACAACCCAGAATTTTTAGAGTGTTCTTTGATTAACTTTTTTGATCCACTTCAAATGTTGGCAACTGTATTGTTATAGTAAAAAAAATGCTTATATTAGAATTAATACAAGAATTAAAAAAAAAAATCAACCATTTAAGCAAACTGCAGTCACTGCTTGACATGTCAGGTCAACTGCCTGAATACATTTATTCCAAGAGCCACACAAGTATCTTTCTCTGGTTTAACTACATTTACACATTCTCTAGATTCTAGTTCAACTGTTTCGAATGTCATCAAACAGGCTTGGCCGCTTCCAGCAATGAAGCAAATGACTTTGACTCTTTCACTATTTTTCTTTTCACATACAAGCGCACACCCACCCACAAAAGCTTCCTGTGTGGGGGGTATTGGCTCTAAAACCTTGTGCTACAAAGTGTTGGGCAGAAAGACAGAGAAGGCCGCAGACAGAGAATAACAGGTATGCAACAAAAAAAGAGAGAGATAATCTGAAGGAAGAAATGAAGGGTGGAGAGGGTCACAGTGATACTTCGAGTTGACCACAAAACTAGTGAACAGTTGCTGCCACTGCTTCCGTGACGACACATCGCACAGTTCCTCAACTCAACTGTAGACTTACAAGAAACACACGTAGAGAGAAAGCCAAAGATGGACACCTTTCAGAAGCCCACCGATCTCCCCTCTCTCTGACATGACGGAGGAATCTGCTGTGACACACATCATGCCATGGACGCCCAAGCCTGCATTCTGAGGGACCTACTGGCCCAAATCGGCAGCAAGGAAGCAGAACAAGAAGGGGCAGAGAACGGCTTCGCCGGAGAGTTTTTGGTAAGTCATTAACTAGGTCTTGCGTTTACAAATGTCACCGCAGGTTGAAAATATGCTCAGATTCAAGTCATGTGATAAAATGGATAGGTTGAAAAAGCTGCCAATGTTTCTGCTTTTTTACATTATATGCATGTGCTGAAAGCCAGCTAAAAATAAAATGTGTCTGGCCATGAGCTGATGGCTAAGCGAGGACTTCCTCTTTTAAATAGTGCCTGTCGATTGAAGCTTTCATAACAGAAGTTTTGTTATTTATTATTTAACTAATCGATTACTGAATCTATGGCTGCTGTCTTCAACAGGGAGCCCCAAGTAGTACTTCGTCTCACTACTGCTTAGATTTTCTTTCCCCAAATGAACCTTTTTTGTCAAATGTTAGATATTCCATGTGAACAGTCATGGCATTGATGACTGAGAGAGTTACCCATGATGACCCATCCTGGGCTGTGTCACTTCGACTTAAACCCATGCAAAAATAGAAAATTCAAAAATGAGTTCGTTCTCCTAAATTTGGAAGACACTTTTATTAAAAAGTATCTTAGAGTGAATTCGGTTGCTTAGAGTGAAACAGGATGTTAGGCAGTGAGGGATGGACTGTGGTTTTCAGATAACACCCTTAAATGCTGATTTAAATACATTATATTTAAATAGAAATCAGAGCTTTCTTTGTTGAACTAAACAAAAAACTAAAAAATAACGTAACCCAGCTAGAAATTCTAAAAATGTTCTGAGAACATTTCCACGCAATGTTCTGATAATGTTTTCAGTGGGTAGTTTTATTTTGGTTCCCAGAATGTTCTCCTAAAACATTTAATTCTAACATTGTTCTTATAACATTTTCAGCAGGTAGTTTTCTGTTTGTTCCATGAATGTTCTCTTAAAAGATCGAATAACATTCTTTAAAAACATTCTAGTTAAAACGTTATATCTTGTTTACCTTAGGAACATTCTTTGAACATTACATTTAAATATTTTCTTTAAAACATTAACTAAACTTGTAGGGAATGTTAGCCAAAGTTATGAGAACGTTCCATGCTAGCTGGACATATCTTATCTTATCTTCTCGGTGTTGACTGGGCATCAGTCTCATGACCTTGGTGTCGCTATAGCACCATGCAGTTCTGCTAGAGAAACCAGAGTTGAGCTAATGCCAAATGTGTGGCTCTCAGAGTCTACAAAGTAGCATTTTGAGGAAATGTTTTGAAGGATCATTTTTGGTCAATTCATCTTTGGCAGAATGTCCACAAAATCAGAGGTTTCCAAACTGGGCACTTCCAGAGGGTATGTGCTGCCTGTTGCTATTATATACACATAAAATATACATAAAAAAAAAATCACTTTAGTAAATTGATATAATAATTTATTCCCTCAATTTAAGTAAATCATGCGCACAATATAATTAGTTCTCTGTCATTTTACAAAATTGTGTGCACAAGATTCATTTCCTCAATTTGACCAATTTAACTAAAACAAGGGAACAAATTATTACAAAGTTGCCACGATTTAGTAAACGAGGGAACAAATTATTATATTATGTGCATAGTTGACTTAAAACGAGGGAAAAAATTAGTAAAACGGTTGGCGTTTTAATGAACTGTTCATTTGTGGCCACAATATAGATTTTCTTTCTGCATATCATGTGTGCAGGGGGCCTATTATTTAATTTAATAAAAAATGTTGCCTTTATAATATCCCACATTTTTATTCTCACAAATTAATGGCTCTTTTTTATATGAAAACATCTAGCGTATATTGTACTTTGGGGTCATTGTCATCAAAATATTGGAAAACCTCAGCTGTAAATGGTTACAACACTGTATTGTCAAACAATACAAATAGCCATAACAGAAAATTTAAAAGTAATATCACACTATTTTTAAGGCTTAAACATTTATCACACAGGTACATGTTACTCTCGTAACATAATATATACGTTATAATGCGCCAAACAAACCCTGAAGTACCAAACTTATTTAGGCATGCCCTTGCCACCATGGTTTCATCCTGTTAAGCAGAACAAAACATGCTCTGTGGTCTAGCCTGAATGCTACACAGTGTCTGTTATAGTCCTCAGCTGCTGCAAAGTGTCCAACACCCAATGTCAAACCAACCAGTTTTCAATTTTCATTCGCATGAAGGGTGAATAATAACCCAGATTATAAACTGCTCTTTAAAACATGCTGCTGCTTTATTATGTCTGTCAAACTGCTGGCAAACAAGACCTTTGCCATAATAAGTGATTTGAATCGCTTACTAAAGGAACGTTTACAGGAAGAGAAACTGTCAATTTGGCAGAGCATGGAAAGCTAAGTTTCCATCACACTGAGAGCAGAACTACTGGACCGCGCCGATCCGACACAAGGGACATAAAAGTAGAGAAATGCCAGTGAGAGTCCAATCTCAAGGTCCAAAACTTAAGGGTTTCCCACAGCGTGATGGCTGGTCCCTTACATGCCATTTTGACTGTTTCAGCTCAGAGATCCCATGCTAATTACTCAGCTTGCTATATGTGCTCACTGTTTGTTGGGCTCTTAAAGGGATAGATCACCCAAAAATGAAAATTAGCCCATGATTTACTCACCCTCAAGCCATAGGTACATATGACATTCTTCTTTCAGACGAATACAATCGGAGTTAAAATGTCCTGGCTCTTCCAAGGTTAATAATGGGAGTGAATGGTTATTTCTGTTTTGAAGTCCATAAAAGTGCATCTATCCATCATAAAAGAGCTCCACAAGCTAAATATAAATAAATTTATTTAAAACTTTATATTTTCGCTTCCGAAGGCCTTTAAATGATGGATCGATGCACTTCAAAACAGAAACGGTCTTTCACTGCAATTATAATACTTGGAAGAGCCAGGACATTTTTTTTTTAATATAACTCCGATTTTATTCGTCTGAGAAAAGGATGACTTCAAGTCTAGGATGACTTGAGGGTGAGTAAATCTAATTTTCATTTTTGGGTGAACTATAACTTTAAGGCTTCTTGTAAGCTCAGCTGTGGTCGGAAAGTCTTGGTCTGGTCTCATGGTTCTTGTGCTCAGAGACACACAAAGGAGAGCGATGGTACATCCCACATGCATGTTGTGACAGCCACACACACTCGCATATACACAGCCATTTCACAGATCTTAACCACAGGGCTATAAACTGCATTCTGTTAGTCTTTGATCACTGCTGCTGAGATATCAAAACCATGGCAAATAAGACTTTCTTACTTTGCTTTGTCTTAAATAATATAATAATATGTCTTAAATAATATAATAATATCCATATTTGCTTGGTTGATTAGTGTCTTAATCCCATGCCAGGTTAATTCCTTGGCTATTTTCATGCCAAGCTAAAAAATAACTACAAAAAATCCTTTAGATAAAAACTCAAAAATGGATAAAAGGGTTAACCCTGTTAGAAGTTTCTTCTGTGTCTAATATCAATATTAACATCTGAGCCCTGAACTTGTGGGTTGTAGAAACCTTTAGTATGTAGAAAATCAAAAAGTTTTGAGGCACAAAATCACAACTGAATCCTGTAATTTGGTCAAAACAGAAACTGAAGAGGCAGTCTACAAAATATCGAGCAGAGAAGACATACCCCTCCACAGCTGCGGACAAACAAGATAACGTGAAGAAGAACAGATACAAGGACATTGTTCCCTGTGAGTATTACATTTGAAATCTGACTATCCTAAAGGACATTACAGTATACTATATTGCCGTACTATAATGTACCATAAAATACTGTACAGTACAATATTTTCACTAATAATATAATATAATAATAATATGTTCAAGTTATATAGTTTATAGTGCCTTTCTCGAGCTCAAGGATGCACAATAAATCATACAGTCACATAATCAATCATATGGTCAATGGACATTTGCCCAGTCCAGAACAAGAGCCAATGCAGTTGCATAGTGGTTATATCAAATTGTGCAGAACATTCAAATCCATGACAAAGAACACATAACGTCACGCAGACAGCATAGAAATGTAGACAGTAAATACATACACAGTGAGCGATTCATGAACATGAATACTGTATTTTAATTATATTATACCAGAATATAAAGTACTTTACTGTACTGTCGTTATCGGTTGTTGCTTTAGAAAAGCTGAAACTGCAAATGACACAAATATGTGTGAGAGATAAGTACAATATTTGTGCTGTGTTAAAACACATGAGATGATGATCGTGATGATTACAGTAATGTTAAAGATGCTAACGAATGTATTTTCTCACAGTTGATCACAGCAGAGTAAAGCTCTCCCTCATTAAATCCAAACATGACACGGACTACATTAATGCTAGTTTCATTAAGGTAAGATGGTTATATGCAAGAAAGGTATCATGCTATGTACACATACACTAAATCCAATACTTTAATGCAGATTAAACACAAGTAATGCTTAAAACAATCACTGAGAAAATATCAGTAACAGCTGCTATTTGTTTTCTATTAATCTCAGGGGGTGTTGGGTCCTAGGGCATATATTGCCACACAAGGCCCGCTGCCAAACACTGTGCTTGACTTCTGGAGGATGCTGTGGGAATACAATGTGCAGGTATGACCATTTCACAAACGTTCCACTTTATTTAAAAAAAAACGAAACAGGTTCAACCTGTTCGACCTCTGGCAAAGGAGAATCATTCTCATGCGGAAATACTAACTCTCTCTCTCTCTCTGTAGGTTATTGTGATGGCTTGCCGAGAGTTTGAAATGGGAAGGGTAAGTTGTAACTGACAGTGTATTAGAGGAAATGTTGTCAGTCACCGTGTCTTAAAGAAAACATTGTAACAAAGTTACATTTTTATTAACCACATCCTTCTTGCCTCAGAAAAGTGAAGCAATGCATCAAGCATGACATTTTCTTATTTTTTATCTTGAGCTCCCACCCTATCACAACTTTTGAAATTGTTACAGTGCTATTCTCATAGCGTATACGGGGGAGCAGTTGAGACTGAATGCAGCATTTCCTCTTTATTTCAGAAAAAATGTGAGCGTTACTGGCCGGAGTCAAAGGAGCATGTGTTTGCGTGTGAGCCCTTCACCATACACTATGTAAGAGACACTTCTTCCTTTACTAACACCACACTTCCTGTCCTTGTGTTTTATATGCACTCAGACACATGCCTTTTCAAGCTTGATTCTCAGCATTCATAAATCTAGAACACTACGTCAGTAGGCTACATCTCGAACTTGCAAGACGGATCCAAAAAAAAAAAAAGAGAGCTCACACTGTAAAAATAGAATTGAAAATATCTGTAATCTTAACGGATAATGTCCTAGAAGAAAATTTACTAGTACTCGATTTTTTTTTTCTTTCAGTGTAAAGTTTATTTTTGAAAACAGTAATAGTTTAATAAAACTTGTATAATCTGTGCTGCTTAAATAAAATAAAAAATTATTTGTTTAATTTATTTAGACAAAATAGTACAGAATTGTTAGACTATAGCACGAAAGCTTATCGTGTCAACCAGAATTTTAATATTGATGCATCCCTCTAAATAAATAGTCAAATGTAAGATTGTAGATCAGCAAAGAGTTATTCACTGTTGACTTACACTATCGGAAATATTACCAGCACATTAATGATCCAGTGAACATTCCATTTACGTACTGTACATGCTTTTGTCCAGGAGTCTGATGAGAATAAGGGAGAATATTTAATAAGGACGCTGAAGGTGACATGTAAACAAGTAAGTAACAGTTCTTTGGTCTTGACTTCAATGCACTGAAAAAAGTTTTCAAAGAGAGTCATTCAGCTCTTATACGGATATATATATATATATAATAAGTAATTTCATTTGAATTATACATATTTTATTTATTTATTTGTTTATTGCTCCATGGTAAAAACACATAACATTTCATTTCATTTTCTTCTTTACATAATTTAAGTGTAAGCGCAAAAAAAAGAGGTTGTTTTACTTGGCTTTTTATTTTATTTTTAATCTTCTCTATTGTATTCTTAATCATTTGTCTTCAATGTCCAGATGTTTGCTAAAATATAAGCTAAATAAGTTCATAAACTGATCGCTTGATATTTTCACACTTGAGTCAAGTTCGTCAAAATATAAAAGTATTGATATAGGTCAAACATTGTTGTGGTGGCCAATGATATATCTTTTTTTCTCACTGAAATGTCACTTCGCAAGAGTACAAAAGCATTCAAGTGCAGCAACTGTAGTGCAGACATTGTAGTGGAACAAACATAAACACAGACAGGTGCTGACATTTCCGAAAATGTTTTGTAGTGATGAAAGAAAACCACCAAAATGTGGTGGTTTAATGACAAGCAAACAGGTTGCCAGAAAAAAAAAATCAAAGAGCTTTATATCACACCGGTTATTTCCAGGTGTCCCGGACACTGAAACAGCTGCACTATGTGAACTGGCCGGATCACGGAGTACCTGACTCCATCCCTCCCATCCTGGAGCTGCTGCAGGACATGCGCATTTACCAGGATCACGAGGAGCTTCCCATCTGCATTCACTGCAGGTAAATGCCTGTCTCTGAAGTGATGGAAACAATATGATCCATTTATGATTAATGATTGCAGCTGGGGGCTATTCAGATAAAAACTGCGCTCATGCGCTCAGTGGCCATGAACGCAAGATTTGTTTGTATCTGTAACCATGGAAAATGCCCACCACCATTTTGTACACAGGAAATATGTAGGTGGTTGACCAACAACAAGCAAATACCCCAAGAAGCAAGAGTTATAATGACAGTTAAGGCTATTCTGAAAGACATTACATAACCAACAGAAGAGAAATTCATTCTTTATAAGTTACCTTAACCATTAAGACCATGTTTTATTTGGACATTCATCTTTCAGTCTGAACAATGGAGGTCAATAATATTTAGAGAAAATACTAATATAGTATAATGTCTAGTATGATAATTTTGAGATTTGCTAAAAATTGTAATCAGTGTTTTTCAAATTAGTTTTTAATGATTAACTTGTTTTTCCACACAGATTATTCGAGCACCGTATAAGCAGTTAATTGACTTGTTAAAATGAAATCATTTGTGTGACTCCACAGCAGTGTTATGTAGAAAAATGTAACCTCTAAACTACATTAAAGTGTAAAAATGTAAGAATCGTTGTGTTTTCACTGTGGCTCATTCTCTTGGGACTGTTTGGGGATTTGCAGTGCAGGCTGTGGAAGAACGGGTGTATTGTGTGCCATCGACTATACCTGGAATCTACTGAAGAGACAGGTAAGGATTCAAAACATCATCACAAAAATAAAGACAAAAATTTCTGTCTCATACTTTAGGTCAGATGTTAATCTTATTTGCTCTTGTTTAGATGATACCAGACAATTTCAGCATCTTTGAACTGGTAAAGGACATGCGTACACAGCGGCCCTCTGTGGTTCAGACTAAGGTAACCAAAATGGTTTCTCCTTCATTTGCCATCATCAATAAAAACGAAAACGCCTCAATTTTACCTAATGCTACATTTCTTCTCCTTCTCTTAGGAACAATATGAACTAGTATACAGGACCATCAAGTTGCTGTTTGAGAGATATCTAGCAGCAATGGAAGAACCAAACAGAGAGGTCGGATTAGACACCATTATTACTCACTCTGTATTTACATAAATGATGTCATTTGATTTCCCACTGATTTAGCTTTCTAGTTATGACATTTTACACATCATAATCAGAGGATTTTGCTGATCTGAGTCATGAACAGTTTAATTTGATCATCAATCAGGTGCCAGCTCCCACCTTACCTGTCACCATAAGCAGTGGGAGTGAGATCTCAGATTTCAGCGACTCCGAATCAGAGACTGAGACAGACTTCAGAGCGCTGCGTCAAACTGAGCACAGGTCTGAGAAAATCTCTCATTTCAATGGTATTAATCCACATTTTAAGGGAATAGTTCATTCTTCAAAATGAAGAATTTATTCTCCCTCATGCTGACCCAGATAGCAAACTGACATTGAATCAACGTGGAAATATAACATTGAAACAACGTTGATCTGACATAGTTTTGCTCATCGAATTAACGTTGAACCAACGTCAGACGCGTCATTCTTTCAAAACTAACGGAAAATCAACTTGAAATCAACGCGTTGTTTCAACGTTATGAACGCAAACCAATTTTCGATTTTCATTTAGCTTCGAAGAATGCCGCGTCTGACGTTGGTTCAACGTTAATTCGATGAGCAAAATCAACGTTGTTTCAATGTCATGAGAGACGTCGTTTCCACGTTGATTCAATGTCAGTTTGCTGTCTGGGGATCCATTCCAAATCTGTATGACTTTCTTGTGAAACACAAAAGTAGATATTTAAAACAAAAACGTTTCAATTGCTTTTGTCCATACAATAAAAGTCAGTGGGGTCCTATGTTGTTTTGGGCCCCAATGACTTTCATAGTATGAAAAACAACAACAACACCGACACATTTTTCAAAATTCTTTTCATTTGTGTAATTTCTGCTCCAATAACATCCCCAAAGTTAAAAAACCCCCAAAGATTCACCCATCCGCCATTGGTCAAAAACAGATACTGTATGTTCCACCCTCAAACTAATGTCCTTGGTTGAGCTAGTGTTGCCAAGTCAGGCTGCTCAAACAGACAGAGATAGTACCACAATTTTGATACAACCACAAAGCCACAACTTTAACACCTTCCGGAGAAATCAATGAGCTAACGACCTTCCCCTCTGAGCTAATGGCCTAATAATGACCTAAAGTAGTAACACAAAATAGGTAAGCTATCATTTTAAAGCTTAAGAAACTCAGCTTTTTAATGCATCTAACCATTCTGATTAACTCTTAAAGGAGTGCTGAGTCGTCCCTATAAACCAGAGTGTACCGTTGGGCGCCACCTAGCTACAAAACAATTTATAATCATATTTTTCAAAACTACTGCCTTGATCAACACAAAATAAGTTCCATTTATTCCAAAGCTTAGAATCTGAACTTTACAATGTGGCAAATTTGATTAACTGCTAAGTAGTGCTGCGTTATTTCATGAAATATTTGTACTATGTATGGTAATATGTCAAAGACATCATGAGTCATGTCATTTAAAAAGGTCTAATAATTGTTTTGGGCTTTGACTAAACTTGAGCAAATGTTTGTTTTCACTTAGATCTAAAGATATAACAAATGACAAATCGGTCCAAAAAAAGCCGACCCTGATTCCAGATGCTATAACTTTTGATTACTTTGAAAGAAATATTGTCCGGCTCTTTCCTTATTTCCTTCCTGAGTTATTGCATGTCAAAATAGAAAGTAAATATTTCCTTGAGCACACGTTTTGTCTTTTATCAGCAGTTTCTCGGCATGAGAATGTCAAAATGTAATAAAAAAAAAAAAGTTGTAAACATTATCTATCAAATGATGATACCTACCTTTTGACTCTCCTTGCTAGTTTTGGAGTTATGAGTCTTTACTATTGTGTATGTCCTTCATAAAGAGTTAAACAGAAGCCTAATTGTAATAAAATACATCTTGAATTGTTTCTTGTCTAAGACACACTGTGACTGTTTTGTGTTATTTCCGATCATAACTAAATCTTTTGCTGTTATAATAGGAGAAATGAGATGGAAATCCTAATGGATGAACACAATCACATTACACAGAACATCACTTCTTGGCCACAACCACATTTACATCCATTCAGTCAAGAGGTCATCTCCTCCAAAGTCAGTCCTGCAGACATGCTCAGTACAATGAGTGAGGCCCAGATAAATAACCAGAGGTCATTCGTAGCACCAACCCCTCAAAGAGACGTTACAACCTGTGGATATGAAAGAACTGAGCCATCCACCAGCCTCAACACTGATCTTACCCAAGCTGCATGTTATCATCCCATCAGCCTAGTACAGGAGCTGAGGCCAAATATGAAGCATCTGGAGTGGGAAGAAAACCAAGATGTTAGTCCCGTTGGCACAGACTACAAGCCTATTCCCTCCAGCACCCTCTGCTTCACTGTGGAAGATCCTTATTTTGGTCCTGAGTCTCCACCGGCTGGTGAAAATCCGAGTGTTATGGACTCTATGGTTAATGAAATCTGGATAGAGAACCCTTGTCCCATAATACCTAGTTTAGTGCTTAATAACCCTTGTCTTACAATACCTAGTTTAGAGCTTAATAACCAGGTGATGGAACTGCCAAAACATAACTGCAATGAAACAGGTATGAAAACCTATGACTTTTAACAACTGATTCTCTCAAACATTATTTATGATGGATCACTTATGAATTTGTATAGGTGCAAATATACCTTCATCTGATGAAGACACCCCTCCTCCTTTGCCAGAGAGAACGCCGGAGTCTTTTATACTGGCAGAAGAAATCAACGGTTAGTCCAACTCACTGTCTAAATAAGAAACACACAATGTCCACTTGTCACCAATGTGATTTCAGTATTATATAACATTAGAATATGCATATTTTGAATTGGCTTTAATTTTCTTTAATAAGTATTAATTTATTTTTTATTTATTTCGGTTGCAGTAAGCTTTTATGCATAAAGAAATAGAAACAAATTTAAAATGTATGTTGCAATACATTAAATCTTTTTAAGAATTATTGTAAACCAAATAAATAAGTAAACTTTTTGCAGATTACATTGTTTATCATATGTTGTATTGCTTTATACTTTCTAATGGTGTAAAATTAAGAATTATAATGTTCAGGTGAGACTCGAAAAATTAGAATATCGTGCAAAAGTTCATTTATTTCAGTTATTCAAAGTGAGATATTCCAAGACTTTATTTGTTATTATTTTGATGATTATGGCTAACAGCTTATGAAAACCCAAAGGTAAAAATGAGAATATTGTGAAAAGCTTTTCATAAGCTGTAAGCCATAATCCTCATCATTATAACAAATAAAGGTTTGGAATATCTCACTTTGCATGTAATATGATATATTAGTTTCACCTTTTAAGTTGAATTACTAAAACTTTTGCAATATATTCTCATTTTTTCAGTTTCACCTGTATTATAACTTTGGTTCTGATTAGTCATGAGATCATATAATGCATTATAATGTGTGAATGATATATATAGGTGTCTCTCTCTCTCTCTATAAATAGGTTTGCATGCTTCTATGCAAACCATTTATTTTGGCAACAGACTTGACAACTTCCTTTTTTTCCTGCAGTATCATCTATTCCACTCAGTCCTATTGTGATCACAAGTGACAGTCCTCCTCCCCTTCTGTACAAACATCCACAGGGTAAGAACCATTTATAGTGAACAAGAAAATAAGTGAACTTTGAATTTGCTCTTTTAAAAAGCCAGACATACACCATCATTAAGCAAGCGAAAACATGCCATAAATAAACACAATTTTAAAATGAATCTTTAAAATCAGTACAACAAAGCAAAAATATACCTTTACGATTCCAGAATTTTAGGAGTCGAATGATTCAATTGTTTGATTCAAAACTAATAAGGAAGGTCATGAGGCCCAGACTAGTGACATTTCAAGCCACAGCATTTACAAAGTCCAGTGCCTTTAAAAATAATTATTTAGAAATTAAACCATATATATATATATATATATAACATCACTGGTCTTGTTTCCAGATATCAGTGAAACCAGTGAGCTGTTGACACTGGTGATCCCAACCAGCTCAGGCTCTGAGAGTGTTAACAAAGGTGAGCATTATGCAAACTTGAACATTTGTGTCTATAGATGCAAATATGTGTGGTGGTCTTAAAGCACCTGTAAATTTTCTCGTTTCCTCTAGACAGCCCGCCCTCACCAGTCCCCCCACTGCCTGAGAGAACTCCAGAGTCTTTTGAATTGGCCATGGATAAAGGTATGATGATCACAGGCATTGATGATGAATCACCATCAAATTTCATCTGGTCACTTTGTTTGTCTAATTTGCATCTTATTTTCGATAGATTTGGTACAAAATGTGACACGGGAAATGCCACAGGATGTTGTAATGAGAGTTGGGAAATCTTTAGAATGGTCTGGGCAAACATCTGAAGCTCAGACAGACATGAAACGATCCTGGTCAAGAAGCAAGGTGAGGTGATGCAGAGCAGTAGATGTATAGACTAATTAATGTTCTAGCTTAATCCCTAAACCTAACTACCATAAATTATACTCTAGCACGTCTATATATTCAGCGAGTCTCCAATCGACTACAGCATCCATCTAATCCTATAGTCTACTCCAGCCAGTCTACAGTTGAGTCGATAATTTGAACTCACTTGTTTTCTTCACTGTGCAGCTTAAATGACAGGCAGACTTGAGTAATTGTCCTTTAAATGCTCTTTATTACGGCCAGGAATTCTCGAGCAGTTCTCAGAGAGTCTTCCAAAAAGAAGCAATAAGCATGGCCGGAGGATCTCAGACAAATCCCATTAATGCATTACACAACTTCCCTACAATTTGATTGGTTCTTCATTACTTCATTATCACAAGTTTTCTCAAACAATGTTGTTTACACACACACACAGTAAAATTTCCACGACATTAAGCAGCAATCTGGTGCAACTTCTGGAGATATTTTGCTTAGCATAATAAATAAGAACAATAAAAATTAGACATAACTGGATTGTTTTCTTTATTTCAGAGCCTAAAACTTAGAATGTCACTTCCTGGTAAGTCAGTTAACTATATTACCTCTAAGCAAACCAGCAATAGATTTATTTTGGCTACAGACTTGACAACTTCTTTTTTTCCTGCAGTATCATCTATCCCACTCAGTCCTATTGCGATCACAAGTCACAGTCCTCCTCCCCTTCTGTACACACATCCACAGGGTAAGACTCATTTACAGTGAACAAGCAAAATAAGTTAAGTTTTTTAAAAGGAAAACAGATACTGGTGTGTTGTAAAGCTGACGACATCATTAAGTGATGACAAGCGAAAACATGCCATAAATAAACGCAATTTTACAACGAATCTATAATAAGTACAAAAAAGCAAACAAAAAACTTCAGACACGAGTCGATTGATTCAATTATCATTAACAAATATATTAAGGCCTAAGGGGAGATGAAAAAGCATCATAAATACCTACAACATTAAAAAACGAGAAATCTGAGGTGAATGCTATGCTAGCCTACTGTAGCTGAGGTGAAAGTGCTCATTAAATAAACTTTGGCGTGACATATTTCATGAATAATGGTTTTTATTGTGGTCGCTTAGCCTACTTACTTTTTGTTTCAAAGACATGCGTCGTGCTGATCACAAAGACACGCGTCGTGCTGATCAGTTATGATTGTTTAGCTTTAACTATGTATTTTTGTTGTGGTAATCTGAACGCCATAAAAAAGACACTCACTAGTCGCCAACTACTGGTAATGATGTAACTTACAGAATGAGTCACCAAATGAACCAGTAAACGAATCTGCACGAGTCTTTTGATAGACATAATTCTTCTGAGTGGATTCGTGTTGCCACTATTTTCAGATTTATAATATGATAAAAAGAGAAATCCAAAATCCCCATCTGTAAAACCTAACTCTAGTCTATGTCAACAAAATGAAACAAAAAGGTGTTCAGACCTCTTTTACTGTCTATGGTTCAGACTTCTGTTCTGGAAATGTATCTAGAGCATCTTAATATAACTTGTCATACAAAAATGTTTGCAACTCTTAATGTTATTAATTAACTGGGGAAATATGGTGATATCTAGTACTTTTTTTTTACCCCGTTTGGTTGCCTTGAGTAAGTTCTCTCAGTGCTATTCTAGTTAATTACTTTTTAAATATAGATCTATTTACTTACTTCCCTTTTTTGACCACAGAATCTCTACTACACACCCTAACACCACACGAGCAGACATCTGAGACGTTCAGACCAGTTCCAGGGACAGGTACTGAATCACATATCCATTTAACTAGGCTAAATACACAAATGAAATTGTTCAATAGCCTATACAATCTCAAACATAAAAAAAAAGAAATATCTGATATAAAATGAAATGTGCACAAACTCACAGTAGGCTACGTTTTGCTGTTTTGTTTCATAAAGAAATTGTCACTCCACCACTTCCTGAAAGAACTCCAGAATCTTTCATCTTTCCCACGGAGAAAGGTGCAGTATACAGTACAGTTTACAGTCTACAGAAAAACTGTGCATCTACGTTTGTTAAAGATATTTTTCTGTTAAAGTATCTGACAACAACGCCCTCTGTCTGCCAGCTGAGCCCGAGCAGCAGAGACAGAGAGTGGGCACATCATCTGAATGGTCAGGCAGCTCCCAACCCAGATCCTTCCTGGAAAGTTCATGGAGCCGAAGCAAGGTTAGCTTTATACTCTCCCTACATGTTACACTGTATGCTAGAAGTGAATTTTGTCAACATTTAGAAGCACATAGCATAAGCTGACCCACAACACTCTAATTTTCATACAGAACAGAGGTGCTGTGCTATGACTTTCCTTTTGTATGATTTGACTCACTCTTGCCAAATGTGTCATTTTCTAACAGAGCGTAAGATCAAAAAGTTCAAAACAAGGTAGGTTGGTGTTTCCATTGTGCCCTCCCACACCTCAGTCAAAAGTGTCATTACAGCATATACACGCACAAGCAAATGTACCCTCTCAAGTACTCTGCAGTATAGTGTTTTTCACTGTGCGACAGAGATAAAGATGGCGCACTATTATTGGATCTATGTGTGCACAGCTGTGTTTAATTTTACAGAGCCTCTATCTGTGGCGGCTCCGGTGACTCCTCCAGTCTCTGTAACCATGGCAACTGGAGGCAAAGGTGAGTGACAGCATAAATCCATTGACAGTGATTGATATAAAAAAAAAAAAAAACTGCATAAGTAAGACTACACAACCTTAGTTTAGCTTGCTCTGTGGCCAATTCAGTAGAGCACCAGACGGCACCCAGCAGTCAGCCAGCAGCAACCGGACCAACAGACAACCGGACAAACCGAGGGGGCGAGAAAACTTCACTGGTCAGCAAGGCCAGGACCAAGGTTATACTTCTACAGTCTCTGTATTTGGTACATGTAAAGTGCATGGCACAATAGACATGTCAAATCCAGTTTATTGACGGCAAATAAACATTTATTTAGTACTCCCTGTTTTCCGTGGGACCCTCATACTGAAAAATGTATAGCATAACTTAAATCCACTTTAAAGTGGCCATTCACAGAGATTGTTTTAGTATTCCATTGATAGATTTTAGAGTTTTTTTAAATGTGTGAATAGTATCCTACTTGCTTTGGATAAAAGCAGATTCTATAAATGCAAATCCATTTTTCTTTTCTTACAGAGTATCAAGTTTTTGAAAGGAAAACAGAGGCGTATGTATAACCACTTCTTTCCCTTATTGATACAACTAATTGTACTAAATTTAATAAGCAAATCAAATGACAAGCAGCTTCATGTGTGTGGTTTGAACATCATTTAAATGACATTTTCAGCAAAAACAGCTCCGCCTCCAATCCCGCCCCCAGCTCCACCTTCAGCCCCTCCCGCAGCCCCGCCTCAGTCTGCTCCACCACCACCCTATGGTGCTGCTGTTGGATTCTTATTTTGTAAGCTATTTTAAAATACACTTTTTTAAAAGACCAAAATGTTTGTCAAACTGTTGTTCTGAGAGTTGACACCAGATGGAGCTGCTCCATTTTAAATTTCCTCAGTTCACTTGATACCTGGTGGTACTACTATGCCAATGCATGACATGTGAACAGTTGATGACTCCTTTCTTACTCCACAGCTTTTGGATCTCGTTTTGGAAAGCCAAAAGGCCCACGAAGTAAACCAGAAACATGGGTCTAGTTCATGCCGATGGTGAAAGGAAAGGAGAACAGCCTCACAAGACAGTGCAACAGGGGATGTACTGAACAAACATTTCTTTCAGCCACAGAGACTGTGGTTTTTGATTGATAGTAGACCAACCACTGACCTCACACAACAGATGGACATTTTTACAGATTCTGTATAGAGGTGTAATGCAAGAGAATGGCCTGTCTGAACATTGAACCATTGCAATGAACTTGCAACTAAAATGTATATAAAATGATTATAATTGTGCAACTTAAAGGAATCGATCACTTTAAAACAAAAACTTTTGCTGATAATTTACTCACCCCCATGTCATCCAAGATGTCCATGTCTTTCTTTCTTCAGTCGAAAAGAACTTAAAGGGATAGTTCACTTTGAAATGAATTTTTGTTTTAGCTTACCTCAAGGGCATCCAAGATGTAGGTGTCTTTGTTTCCACCGCATTTTCAATTTTGATATTTTTTGGTCAAACCGTTGTTGTCTGTCAGTCCTATAATGCAGTTTTAGGGGGTCCACCTCAAAAAGCATGCACAGAAAAGTCAAAATTAAACACGATTGAATGACTCGTGAATGTAAGTACACACTGATGGCATAAGACACGAACCGAGCGGTTTGTGTGAGAAAACGAACAGTATTTATATAGTTTTTACCTCTTGTTAACAGCCGTCGAACTGATCTGAATCAGATGTCCAACTGAACCGAACTGAACCGTCACCAGACGTTAAGCCGGAAGTGATCTCTCGCGCGTCATTGTTTACACGGTGATTTCGGAAGTTTTACCTTTCACTAAACATATTTAGATATATCAAAATCGTCTACCATTGCGATTTCCCGTATATCTAAATATGTTAGTGAAAGGTAAGACTTTCGGAAACAAAGCTGTGGAAACTTTGCTGTGGAAACAAAGACACCTACATCTTGGATGCCCTTGAGGTAAGCTAAAACATATAAAAAATTAATTTCAAAGTGAACTATCCTTTTAAGGTTTTTGATGAAAACATTCCAGGATTTTTCTCCATATAATGGTAACCAAACGGTTCAAGGTCCAAAAGACAGTTTCAGTGCAAACTGTTCAAAGGGCTTTAAACCATTCCAGACAATGAATAAGGGTCTTATCAAGCGAAATGGTCGCTAATTTAAAAAAAAAAAAAAAAAACAACAACAAAGTTTAAGTTTTCTAAGCTCAACTGGTCACCTTGCTCTGTTCTGTGATGCACATTCGTGACTCTCCTGTTCGAACTCGTTCATCAAAATGAACGAATCTTTTTTCGTGTCATTTGGTTCATTCAACGAACAAAATGAACAAATTGACTCGGAAAAAGATTAGTTCATTTTGAATCGTTTAAAGCCCTTTGAACAGTTGGCAATTTGCACTGAAACTGTCTTTTGGACCTTGAACCGTTTGGTTACTAGTAAAGTGCATTATATGGAGAAAAATCCTGGAATGTTTTCATCAAAAACCTTCATTTCTTTTCAACTGAAGAAAGAAAGACATGCACATCTTGGATGACATATGGGTGAGTAAATTATCAGCAAAAGTTTTTTTTAAAGTGAACTACTCCTTTAAGAGAAGATAATAAGAGATGAATGTACTGAAATGTTGACTCTTCCATAATCGCATAGGTAACCTTTTTAATGTATTTTATAATACATACAGCTGCAGGTATGGCCAAACAAGCCTTTCTACATTGGGCTACTAATGATTGAAAAACTGGAATCAAGTTTATGGTTTGTGACGGTGTTTAACTGTGTCTGCTCATTTGCCTTTAAGAAATGCTTCATATTGGTACACTCATAAAATGGTTTATTTAAAAAAATACAGAAAGTCTATGCATTCCATTGCATTTATACACAATTGAAAAGATCCACATGACAGTTCTATTAAATGTAACTTAGAATTTACAAAACATTACTTTGACTATGTTCATAATTGACCATCTAATTAGTCCTTTAAAAAAATCAATGAAATTGAAAACCTTTATACAAATATCAAACAGAGCAAATAATGAATCAAACACAGAGAGCATGCCTTGATCCCTAAGTGGATTTTTCCTATATTACAAACGACCATCAAAAACCTGATCAACACAAAAAAAAAAAAAGAGTCTAGCTGCCAAAATTCAGAAGAAACATAGAACGCTAAACATCGTGTTTATTTTAATATACCATGAAACCATAAGGTGTAAAAGCATAATCGTGTGTTACTGAGGGGAGAACATGTCTGTATATATGGGAAGATTCATCTTGTGGTAAATAATGACTCCCGATTTAAGTATTAAGTGAAATGTGAAAGGATCTTTTCTTTCATTAAACAAAACCGTCAATCTGCAGAATCTGAGAAAATACCACTAAATGATGGGGAAAATCATTACGGTTTAGGCTTTCCAACCTGCATACATAATCGTAATCCTAATTAAAAACAGTGGGAAATATAAGCATGATATGATTCATATTGCACATGATTTAAAAATTTCAATGTCATTTACCACCAATTATTCAATATATATAGTTTTTGCATTGTCATCCTTTGGTGGCAGATAAAGTGGTCACCTTCAGTTGATCCTGGATGAGTAGAATTAGCATTTTTTTTTACAATAATAAATACCCAATCATTACTTATTGCCAGACTTTATGAAATTCCATCGCAATTAATGCTTTATACAAACTTGTATAACATCAATTAGCTTAATCGCAGACAATTAAAGACTCGATAGAAGGCACTAATTTTTACAGGATGCATTTGATTAGGGAAAGCCATTAGATCGTTTTGAAACCATAAGCAATGTAGACTGATTGGCTTGCTGGTGTGAAATTACATTCAAATCAGTCATTAGCAATACTTGGCATCAATGGAGAAGCAAAACTGCTGCCCACAACCCTTTCAAAAACTTTGAATGCCTGTTTTAAGACTTAATCCCATTTAAAATAACCACATCAACATGTGCAAAAACATTACTGACACGCAACTACACTTGGCAAGTGAAAGCTAAATTGCACTCATCCAACTAAATCGAATAGCAGTCAATGGTTATCATAAATTACCATGGACAACTTCAGTTCAAACACATAATGAACAAGCGTTATGCAACAGTACTGCTACTTTACTTATGAATAGTATCAAAAGTTTTTTGAAGGAGAAAAAATTTGAGTTTGATTTGGGTAGCAGATTATGGGAACAGCAACAATACAATAACTGGTACAAGAAAAGCGAAGGAATTTATTCACCCCGTTCATTTATATTATTATAATAGATTTAATTCATGTTTGCACTCACTAATTTTCAGAAAAAAATTAAACAAATGCTTAAAATAGCCGAAGCAACAGGAATAATCATTTGGGACATTTTAAAAATGGGGACATGTCAAAGAAAGACAAAAAAACACAAGTTCAGAGAATAATAAAGTATGATTAAAATAAAAACCTTCAATTTGGACTCTAAAACTACTATGAGAGTATGAGGTGGATCATAAAACAGAAATGGAAGCATGTTTAGATGAACCATTTGAATCAAGGGGCCGTTGCCTTACATCAAACTCATTCTAACATGTCAGAATCATAGGTTCAAGAGCTCAAGAAGTCAACCAAATCCCAATAATCCGAAGAAATGGATTAGATTACTATAAAACTACAAAGTGAACATAGAAGAATAAGACTTGACCAAATGAAAAGGCATCAGTATATTGCCCCTGAGTGCAGGTTTGGTTATTACATTTCCATCTAATTTTCTGCTAACGTCCGGTCTTAGATGGAATACATCTTCCTGTCCAAAATAAAAATATATGTAAAAAAAAAAACAACAACATTATTTTCTGTATACACGACTTCAGACAGAAAATTAACATAACAAATACATTTATGACCATGATCTTAGAAGACTGACTATTCTTGACAAAAATAAATAATTAAAAAAATTAACAACCCTCTTGTGAAGGCCAAATCCTATTTCCTGCATACGTGAGAGGTAATGAACAGGCTCCTCTTTGATAATTACTGCTATTACTCGTTCAAAAAAGAATTAATTTTCCTTCAAGCAAAGTGTTTTACTCCAAAACCAGAGGATGATCAAAGAAAAAGCAAATATCGCTCTTCACTTGAAATTGATACCTTCTCTCTAGTCTAGCTTAAATGCATCCGATACTGCAGTGTGACATTACATCCTGGGAAGAAGACCAAAAAAGCCTATTTTTCTCTTTTGCTATATACTTGCTGCTTTCCACTTGTGACAGGCACTTTTTTTCCTTGTTTGTAAAAACCAATTAGCAGATGCACATGACGGCCTGCGAAACAACATGAAAAGTCCTTCTTGAGAGATAATTCATCTCATTTATAATAATATATAAACAAATATAAAACAATACTGAGTAATCAGCAAAAATATATTTCAAATTAAATACTTTGGCTGAGAAAAACCTAAAAAGTACTCGCGGCGGGGTCATTTTCTTAACCAAAATCTTAAAAAGAAAAATATAGTCTTCATCGTTTTTAGGCGAAGTCCAGATATTCCTTTTTTTACACTCTGGAATGTCAGAAAAGTCTGTCAGGTGAATTAAAACTCCACCACTCCGCAAAATGAAGGATTCGGAAGTCATTAGGGGAAATCCGTGGACCTGCCGCCATTGAGTGAGGAGTCTGACGCAGGCTCGACGGGAGCCTGTGGAAGCATTAGCTCTGGTGTGTGTGAGGACAGAGGGCTGGTGTCTGAACAGGGAGCGGCGGGAACAGTGTGGGCGGATTTAGCCGGTTGCGGAGGTGCGGGTTGTGGGTCTCTGGGTGGTGTGGCGGGCCTCTGGAAAACCAACTCGTCCGTTTTCGCCACCCCACCTTGTGCCGTGTCTGTCTGTAGCTGGGCGCAGGAGGTGACTTTGGTGTCCGGGTGAACAGGGGGAGGACATGACGTGGAACACAGGTCCTCGGTCTTAACGTCCTTTGACTCCTCTTCTTCCTCAGAGTGGTACTGCTTTAGACGGATGTGCCACGCCAGGCTGCACACGGCCGAGACGGTTTTAAACTGGTGGATCACGTTGCGAGGGATGAAGTAGATGTCGTCATCGCAGAGCTGTACGCGAACGTAGCGGATGCCTTCCCGTCGTAACTGGTTGAGTTTGGCATCGTCCACCCACTGGACACACTGTAAAGAGAGGGGCGTTATGAGCTTGCTGACGCGTTTTACACCAATCAGTCGTTTGTCCTTGGGGAACTTATGGAGCCTCGCCCCCATTTTTGATTTATTCGGACATTCCGCATAACACGATAGTTAACCATTTTTGCTAGCCAGGTCTAAAATATTACTGCTAGCCTACTTGCCGTTTAGACAAACGGTAACTCTAGGTTTGGAGCATAGACCAGACAGAGACAGTAAAAGCTTGGAGTCCCTTTTATGATGTCATGCCCAGCCTAGTGGAAGGGAGGGGGAAAACACTGCATTATCCTGAGAAGCTGAAAACACTGCATTATAAGCGGCAAGTGTGTAAATGATCACAGTGACACACATACTTTCATGATTAAAATACACTCCGCCCTATGCAGGTTAACTAAGTTGTAAAGAAGAGAGAGCAAGAAAGAGCAGCTGGTACCAGTTAGGCTTGTTGTGATAATCGTGTTGCCAGTGTTACCGCTGTTCTGCCGCAATACCGGTTATAGCACTTCCCTCACCATTGTTTAGATTTTTTTAGAAAGCACTCGCGCCAGTGCACACGCACTCCAAGCGAGGTGGGAAAGAGTGAAAAACTCCAATGATGACTTGCATGTTCACTCATAAATTGTGCTTACACAACCCAACTTGCCATGTTAGCCATGAAATATAAGCACTCATGCCTACAGTCCATCCTGTTTAGCAGTTTAACAGCTCCTACCTGTGACACAGGTGGCTCAAACAGGTCTAGCTGAAGCCTTTGAACGACGTCATTGAAGTCCTCCGCGTGAAAACAGATCACATCTTTGGTTATCCGTGGCCGGTCACTCCTATGAGAGACGAGTCATTTTATCAGTAGTTAATTACGCACACTTTTCTGCATGTACGAGCACATGCATAGTTTCTGCGTGGCTCACCATTCCCCAAACTGCACTGCTTTCAGGACACCCACAGCTGCTGTACTCTGCCAGTCGAAGCTCTGGCCAACGTGATCCGCATGGGCTCGTGTCCGATCCTCGAACAGCACCTCGCGCGGTTCACTGGCTCTCGGGAGGTAATGCAAGTTCTTGATCTCATTCATTGATCTACAACCAAAAAGAAAGCGTTTTGTAAGGCGCTACCATGAAAGTCCTAATATCAGCAGTCACATCAAAACAGCGCATACCTTCGTCTCTTGAATGGAGACTTGGGCATATCAGCTGTGGGAACCATCTGCTCTCCAGGCCTCACCCACATGATGGGACCATCGTCGCTCTGGGACCTGCAGTCAAGCTTCAGGCTGGACAGGCTTCCCCATGGCAAAGTCATCTGCACAGACAAACAAAACATTAGTCGTGAAATTACAACCACGCTGTAGCTTTGCCCCGACCACCGTCTCAATGTGTGAATGGCAAGAAACAACTAAACAAACACATTTCCTATTAAAACAGGATGTTGAGGTGGAACCTATCAAAGCAGACTTATCTCAGCCATGACTTACTATTACTATGGGATGCATATTATATCAGTTAATGGCTGATATTGGAGTTTTTTTAATGTATGGATATTGCATATCTAATTGTATATCATGCTCATTTAGATATTCACCTTTGCAATAGCCAAAGGTAATTTTTAAAAACACTCATTTATTAACAAATGTAAAATTTTATAGCAAATCTACATAAAAAAATGTATACTCTACAATATAATGTTATAATGTCTAAATTCCCTTGTAGCATTGGAAATGATAGTCATTTATTAGTCATTAGCTTACACATTACTCTCTGCTTAACAGTTCCTATAGGACGTTTTATTGGACAAAAACTACGGTTTGTGGTAAGCGTTTCCCCAATAACTTAAACCTTTATTCGTCAAGTATGTAATACATTGATTAGTAAATTGGTTACAAAAGTATTAGTAAAGGCATTTATAAATTACAAATGTTAAAAAACATCTATTTCAAATAAATGCAGTTCTTTTAAACTTTCTATTCCTTAAAAACCAGATTATTTTTTATTTTTAATGTAAATGTATCAATTGATTTATTGATAAGCAATGTTTCAATGATTTCTGAAGGATCATGTGACTCTGAAAACTGAGGTAATGGCTGCTGAAATTTTGAAAAATGAAAAATAACAAAACAGTTATTTTACATTGTAATATTATTTTGCAAAACTTACTTCATTTCTGATTAAATAAATGCATTTTTTGAGCACAAGGCTTCTTTAAAAAGAAAAACTTTCAGACACCACATTTATGAACAGTAGTGTATAGATCTCCAATTTTAAGGTTTAGATGTCTTTACAATTACAAGAATGCAACTAAAAATTTTACATAATTGTGCAAGACGACAACACTGGATCCAAAACCGTAGGAAACGCTAAAAACAAATAGTAAATTGAAATGCATCATTTGCACTACAAAACACCATCAGCACTTTCAAACTCCCTCTTCTGTGAGAGATTATGTTCTAACCTTAAGAAACGGAGACTCCTCAAGCATGTCCAAGAACTCCGGGAAGAAATCGCCCACCTCCTCATCTACTGCACCGACCAGACTGATCTGCCTCATAGGACCAGCTCTATATGTCCCAGAGCAGTATGTTCGGCTCACCTGCAACACAAAAGCACTTCAGAGCCAGGTAACAACATCCTAACACACACTTTTTAACTTAGTGCTGTGATGGGTAAAACAACAACAAACAAAAATAAACTTTAAAGGTGCAATGTGTAAAAATTGAGGATCTATTAACAAATGCAAAATGACATCTATAACTATGTTTTCAGTAGTGTATGAAAGAACTTACTTAATAAACCGTAACTGTTTTTATTACCATAGAATGAGATATTTATATCTACATAACCACGGACACCCCCTTCAATGAAGGTCGACATATTGTGACGTCAAAAATTTTACAGTAATATGGTGTTTAAGACTACTAGAAAAAGAACATAACTTCTCATGATTCTCATACTTCTTGAAAGAATGAATTTGATCATGTCAGTTTATGTAATCTCTGAGACGCCAGAGAAACAGCCTCACATTTTAAATTTGGTCTGCTTCACTCAAGACTTCATGTACTTTGAACTGACACCTGGTAGCCACCTGACTTGTGTAAATAAAAATTGCCACTGCTTTAACAATCCTCTAGAAGTAAAAATGGTTAAATATATTTGATATAATTCATTTGCTATTCACCCATGCAAGGCATCAATGCATTGTTGCAAAAAAATGGCGTTGCATGCCAAAGCCAAGTCATCTATATGTTTATATAGCACTTTTTACAATAGATTCAACGTGTTTCAAAGTTTCAAAGCATCACCATACCTGGGAGTGGAAGCTGGCAATAGTGGTGGTTTCAATGTCCTTTTTACCAAGGATTTCCATCTTGACAGGCGTATTTGGGAAATTGAAGGCAAAGTAGTCCAAGAAATCCGGCAGGTAGGCGGCCGCTCCATGCACCACAGCGAGTGCATAGCGCGCAGCTCCTTTAGGGTGTTCGGCAAAGGCGAGTTCCATGAACTCCTGAGTAAATCTTTCAGTGTCTTCAGGCTGCAGTAAGGACAGTTCATCTGCATAAGCATGTAGTACAGACGCCCCTCCATTGGGCTGCTTTTCCTCATGGATGAGTCTGCTGAAGGAGGAGTTGGTCTGAAGCCACGAGCTGCGGATGAAGTGGTCTTGGTGCGAGAGGAACAGCTTCTTCCCACCTTTGGGCGTGTGGTACTCACCTAAGCCCGGACAAGGCTTTTCATCTTTGATGTACGCGTGTACGACAGGGTCTTCAGAAAGAGGCAGATCATCTCCTGACAATCCCACACACACCGTCTGCACCTCTTTGTTGTGCATGCGTAACTTCTTGCCACGCTCATCTTCGCGATGCCGCTTCTTCTTTTTCTTTTTCTTTAGGAGGTATTCCTCCAGGGTCTGGGTTTTGCCATTCTCACTATGGGGCTCTGAAAAGATCAACAGAAATGACAGAACATCAAATAATTATACATTGTACATAGCTCCTAGGACTTCACCTTGCAAAACTCACATCAATGATTTTGTCTCTCCTTGAAAACTTTTACGATACTTTGTGGGGTAACGTTAATCAAAATACAACAAAACTCTGGGCATTTGGTGACCAGTTTCAGAAACAATACCATAACCACTACAGTTGTTGTTATTAACCAAAATATCAATTAAAAAGTACTTAGGCGGTAACAAGGTACAATATCACAACATAATGTAATGATACTGTAATGTAGTACAGAATGGTTAATTTACGATACATGACACTGTAAAATGCCTTAAAGAATATCACTGTATTGTGTACGAAAACTCTGGTATTATTATGGTATAGTACCACGTTATGCATGTAAACATTACAGTTAAGTGTAACGTTAGTAACAGTAAACAAGAGCGATATAATGAGAACGCCTCTGATACCAAGTAGAGAAAATGATAATACGTTTCATTAAAATGTCCTTTCACAGCAGTGAAAACTTTCTTCCTCGATAATATTTAGCAACACTGCTCAAGTGAATGGGGGCGTGCGCGCGCATGGGTTAGCAGCCGAGGCTAACGACACTTTCTCCGCTCACTTCTCAAGTTGGAAGCCAGCCAGAAATGTAAGATCGTTTGGCTTACGTTCAAACGCTATTATTAAAATTACCTTTCTTCTTCTTGCATTCCTCCACTTTAACGTTCGCCTCGGCGTTTTCCTTTTTGGGCTTAAGTTTGACGTCCTTCTCAATGTGTTTGGGCTTGTTGTTGAGGGGCTTGGCCTTCGCTACTTTGAGAGGCGTGAAAGTGAACAGCGGGGAAGGCGGCAGGACCGTCTTCTGCGGGACGTGGGCTGCTGGTGTCACTTTGCGTGGCGGCCAGCCCGGAGGTAATTCTTTCTTGGTGCTGTGGAGCTGATGATGGAGGGGATGACGGTGTTGCACAGGTGCCTGCTCTTTGCTGAAGTTGCGCGCTTGGCTGTTCGGTTGTTGGTGCGGTGGATGCGCTCGTTGTTGGGCATGTTGGTGAGTCTGTTGGTGGTGATGTAGCTTTATTTTTTTCGCTTCCTTCTCCGATCTCTCGCGCTTGTCATCGGACGGCGAACATACTCGTTTTTTCTTCTTTTTCTTCTCTTTGGTGGCTTTGTCAAAGCTGTCCCTGCTCTTCTCCTCTACTTTGACGCGTAGCAGATCGACCTGTGCAGCCATTTTGCACGTAAATTTAAAAGGCTTTAAAAGGGTCTTTTTGCGCATGTCTAATGGGAGCTGTAGTTCTTTTGTCAGTAGCGAATCGGAGCTAACGCATTTGTAGTTTTCTCGCTCAGGACGCGCATGCGCTCAAACTGCTTTGTGGGTAGTGATGTTTCTGAACTGCTACGGTTGAAGGGATGCGTGCATTTTTGCACGCGCCTCGTCCAGTGGCTGACGTAATGCTGTAGCAGCTTCAGGGGTTGGATGGGCGGTTCCGTTTCGTTGAGAGATTTATATTTCTAAGCGCTATGTCTACGTTGAGCTCAAAACCAACAAAATAACAACACACACGACATCCTAGTCATATTTCCGCGGTGGTGGATTTCTCCAGTGTCCGTCTACGCAGGACGCTTTCTTGCCTGTCTTTTGCGCTATTTTTGGTTGATCTATGTACACATAAAGAGTGCGTCGCATCTACCTGTCTGAGTGTCATCAAAAATGTCGATGGACGAATCGTCCTTGCGAGTCGGATCTTTTCACGGAATCCGAACCCAGCCTCTGTAAAGAACCTGGTCTGAACGATTCGATAAGGAATCGATTCATGGTGCTTTTGAGTCAACAACTCACTGACTCGTTAAACCGTCTATGGTTAAAACGAAAAGCGATGGCAAGAGGGTTTTTTGAATAAATGCCATTGAGAATTTGACGAGCTGTGAAGAAATCTTAAATGCGCTTTAAAAAATAATGGAAATGTTTGGTTTGCTTGTAGGGCTTGTTTTATCAACGCAGAAATGTTTGTAATATACAGCTTTAAATTTTAACATTTGAAGGTAAAAGCAAAAATAGGTTCTAAATGAAAAAATAGTAAGTTTAATCATGGCTGAATACAATGGCAATAAAAATGAAAACGAAAAAAAAAACTTGAAATGTTAACAGCATCAGAATTCTAGGATGGATGGGACCACGTGACAAGACAAAGGAATCACTGAATCTATCTTGAATTGGTTCTCTGACATGAACTGTTCAAAAGAACCTGTTCATGGATGTTGAATTGGACGTGAACACCACCTTAAATGCAACGAAATGAAACGTGCACTTTCAGTCCACTTTAATATTTCATTATGTAGGAAATCAGACACTTAATGGATCACAAGAGGCATAAAAAATAAACGTTTTCATTAAATCTTTATTCATCAGTGCATGAACAGAAGGCCATGACCAGATTATTTTCTTTAACCTCTCTCTCTATTTATATGCTCATACTCTCAATTACTTAAAAAAATAATGGAGCGATTTATAGATTTTTTCCCCTTGTTTTCCCCTCACGAAGGCGAGTTTTATACAGGTGCTGTACATTGTATTTTTATAAACATTTACAACTACCACAATGTAGAGACCACAAGCCTTTTTTTGAGTAAGGTAAATCAATGCAAGGCCACAGTATCATACATACAACCTCATGACATGAGATGCACTAGAGAAACAAGCTACAAACGGGTTGAGATTAATGATCAAGAAGCAATCATAAACCATATCTAGAAAGTATTCACATTTTTCATCATGACAAAAAATAGAAGCACTCAGTCACTAGCATATGTAATGTTTGACTGTTGTCCCATATAACAATCGCAATTGGTATTTCAAAAATACTGTTACGATAAAAGATATCGGACAACATTCTTGAGTCTGAATCTTTGTGCCAATTGTTTGAGGCTTTAAGAACTTGAATAACATCCACCATGTTTGATACATAATTCTGCGCTACATTTCCCTTGGATAGAAGACAGCATCTTGACATTAAAAAGGACGATCTGAAAGATACAGATACGCAAAGACACTTTAAATGAATATGAAGTCCCAATGTTGGGATAACAATGCAATACAAATCATTTGATCGAGTGAAATGTGCAAAAAGTATAAGAAAAAAATATATGTTAGATTGGATAGTATGCAAAAATATATCTGAATTTCCATTCTGCTTCACCTTCTAATGATACGAGCAAACATTTGCTTCTAAATGTACACACCTTGCAAATGCTCAACCGCGATAAATTGTAAAAGCTATAGCACTGTGAAAAAATATGTTTGTTAGGAGGCAAGCTGGAACACTAATAAGTGACCTGGCTCAGAATGAATACAAATACCTATACCTCTATCCATGTATATGTGTACTGAATATCATCATATTAATTTCAATAAATTACATATGCATCTTCATAATCACACAGGCAGTAAACAATATACTTCACCACAAGTTTCTGGTCTTTTAAAGATGGATATGTCAAAAATTCACAGCGAAAGCTGATTAATGCAAAGCCTGCACAGTCACTTGGATCTTGAGGACACTTGCATCATTGGAAGTCGTTGTAAGGACATGCGGCAAATCAAAGATGGAGAATTAATACATAACAATAGACACTTCTTTTTTAAACCTTCACAGAAAAGCATCCTTCATGTTATCATCACAGGAGCAAGGAGACATGGACGAGTCTAGCTTGGCACATAAAAATTGACGCTCTTATTACTGGTGGACACAAGCGAACGCTGCACGTTATCAGTGAAGATGGTGATAGTCATAGAAAAAAAAAATACACAGTGATTCCCATCGATAACTGCTCCCGAACGTATTAAACTCCATGCACTGGAGGCTGTATCCTTGCGGAGCTGGGGACCTTCCAGGGGCCTGGGGTTATAGGGGCTTTCTTGGTGGTAAGGTTCCCATCGTGCAGAGTCTCTAGAGGGGCACCCCTGTCTTCCTCTTCCCCTCGAGGCCTGTCTCGCCCTCTGTGGTCCTTTCGGTTGAGGGTTCCGCTCTCGGGCTCTTTCTGAGCCTGCACGGGAGCCCGCTGAGGTTCTGCTGTCTTGTCCCTCTGGTGTTTGTCACCGCCACCTCTTGAGACACCAGGTCTGGTCTCTCCTGTTTCCCTGTCCTGCTTGTGCATAGTGTCTTCGTCTTTGTGTCTCCTTCCAGAGGTAGGCTTCAATCCATCAGTGGCCTTTTGAGGCACTTCCTGTCTGATCCCAACGCTCTCCTTCTTGGTCTTCCTGGGGCTAGTGGATCGAGGTTCCCGTTCACTAGGTTCGTTCCTGTTGTCCATGTGTAGAGTCTTTTTTGGGCTGCGTGAGCGCTCTTTTCCATCCATTCTTCGGGGAATTGTAGAATTGTCATTGTTGTCATGAGGCATGCTTGAGTCACTCTTTCTAGTTTGCTGTTTGGCGTCTCTGTAATGTTGGTAAAGTTGCCCGTGAGAAGTGGCCATCGGGTCGAGGAGGAGCAGGTCCTCGGGCGGAGAGGGATTGACCTCAGGGGAGCGAGAGCTGAAGGATGGAGATGCTGGTGTCAATGGCTCACTGGATGCAGAATATCTTGGAGAGTTTGCAGATGGACCTGTCATCATATCCTTAATGTCTGAAACAAATACAAAACAGGAAAATTACTATCTATTTTAAAGGTGTGCTTAGTCTGTGGTGTAACAGAAAGAAAACTCCCCCTTTCCTCTCGCCTTACACTCCTCTTTATTACACAACAGTTCCAGAGAAAGATATTTTTTGAAAGAAATTACTACTTTTATTTAGCAAGGACGCTGGATGCATTAAGTTGATCAATAAAATAATAATAAAATAAATAAATACTGTTCTTTTAAACTTTCTATTCATCTTAGAACCCCGTAAAATGTTTCAACATTATAAGAAATGTTTTAATACCAAAATCAGAAAATTAGACTCATTTCGGAAGGATCATGTGACACTGAAGACTGAAGTAATGGTGCTAAAAATTCAGCTTTGTCACCACACAAATAAATTCATTTTAAAATGTATTAAAATACAAAACAATTTATATTGTAATAATATTTCACACTATTTTTACTGTATTTTTGATCAAATAAATGCAGTGTTATAAAAGAATAATAACTTTGTTCATGAACATATTTTTGAACACAAACTGAATGTATATTTATTTTTGTCTGCATTCTTGCTAAACCTTTTGAAAATCAACCTCATATTCAGTTTCTTATATTTTGTAAAAAAAAAAAAAAAAAAAAAAAAGGCGGCAGCACTGTTAAAAAAGTGTATTTTCTATTTGTTGTGTTGAAACCTTGTGGTGTGGGTGCAGCATTACGCAAAAACAAGTTTGCAGATTCTGATTCCCATGATTCAGCCATGATTCATTTAGTCCACAAAAGGCAGTGTCTAATAACAGGGATTTAATACACAGATAAAGTGAGTAATATTTAGCTGGTCATGCGATCTCAAATATAAAACAACTTATTAGGCTGTAACTGATCCAGCATGACTGGAGCGAATGTACAAGATTTTAAATGTATTTTTTCACATTTCTATTTTGTAAAACTTTTTTAATGAGGAAAAAAATGACGGAGTGCACGTTTAAAGTTTGCAAATTGGATTTTGTAAATCTGCAGAATACAACTGATAGACTGAACGTAATTAACCTGTCTTCTGAAATGCATTCCAGCAGAGACATTCTCAATTAAAGTGTCAACATTTCCAGTCTTCAGTGGCTTTTGGCCTCCAGATACAGAGACACATATCAAGCAGTTGAAACCAGCTATGAGAACGAGTCAGACCCAGAATGGAAGACGTTGCAATTTTCTCTCAAGATAAAATGTCACGCCGCCAGATGTGAGGCAACAAGAGCCAAAGATTAAACCAAGCTGGTTGGCTCCTGACATGGGTTTCAGTTTCTTTGCCATTTAACTGTCTGGTAAGAAATATATTAAGACTCTAAAATGTAGCCAGGATGCATCATTACAGAGTAAAACTCACTAGGAGGTTCTTGGAAAGACTTCTGTTTTGCTTAAATTAGGACGTGTCAAGTGACACCTTATGGATAGAAGAGCTGTCACAGATTAGAATAACTAATCATGATCAGCGTTATTATCGCTCACTAAAACCATTAAAAAATGAGTTCATTCATTGAAATAAAGCTGAAATAATACAAATATTAGATGAAAAACTTGAACTCGAAAGACTAACTGAAATAAATGTAGTTTAAAGATAATTTATTTTTAATAAAATGATATAATTTATATAATTATAGATAAAATGACTAAATTTACTAAAATTACTAGATAAAATAACTAAAAACAAACTAAAATTAAAATGTAAAACTCAAAAAATAAAAACATTAATAAATACTATAGTATAAACTGAAATAACACTAATTATGATGTATGTCTTGATTTGTTCAGTTCCAAATAATATAGTTTAGAATAATGACAAAAATAGCCAGTTATCACTACGTTTAAATAGCAATAAATGATCTTGAAAACTAATATCTCAGTAGAATTGTGATCACTGACATTCCCTTTTTTCATTTAGTGACTTTCAAAAGCAAAATGTTCATATCAAGGCAAAGGAAAGGAAAAGAAAGGTAGAACTGCACATACACAGAATAGGCATAAAGGAGGAATGCAAAGTTTACCAAAGTTATAAGGGACAGACCAAGAAAAGCAGAGAAGCCTTTAGTGAAGCTCTGGTTTCATGTGGAAGCACGAGGAAGAGTTCAGACCTAAACAAGGAACAGAGAGAGAGAGAGAGAGAGAGAGAGAGAGGTGCATAGAACAGTGCCCAGACAGAGAGAAAGAAATGAGCAAAAATAGAGACAGGAAGCAAGAGTGACAGCATTTGAGAGATGCAATGTGTGAAGATAGGAAGGTCTGACATAACATGCATATGACCCCCAAATCACTCGATGGGCCTCATTCACTAATAATGGAATACAAATCGATTGAGTATTCTGTTGTTGATCAATATGCATGCAATGTTTAGACAATATAAAGGTAAGTGTGATGCTCTATATGAGTCCATTTTCGTGATTATGTTTTGAACAAGAGTACTGATGTAGAAAGAAGTAGCTTTAGAAAACACTGTGTTGAGAAAAGGTAACCGTCACAATACATTTTCAATGGCTTTTGAAACAGCAGCAGAAAACAAACCCATCTTCAGAAATGATTGGTTTCTCAGAGGGGAAGGCAGGCTTCAGAGAACTGATTTTTCTCGGTTCATGAAGCGGATGGAATTCAAATTAGCGCTTCTGCACTTCTGAACAAACTTAAAGAGGCGGTTTGGCACGGAGAACAACTCTCAGCTACAGTACGCCCGTGTTTTTTTCTTTTCTTCGGCAGTACCTGTATTGTTTGAGTGATCTTCTGTGAAAGGTCAGGTATTAAATAGACTCACTATGATCAGGCACCAGGCCCAGTCCGGGCCTCAAAAGCAGCAGCACTTTATTCCCCCCGGCCTGAATGAGCTCAATAGCACGTGTGTGTGTAATGCCCTGCGTGGGTTCACCGTTGATCTCCACGATCTGATCTCCCACCTGTGAGGTCACACACACAGAGTATTCTGTCATTTCAACAACAACCACTGATTTTCTTAGATGTAACAATATAATAAAATAAAACATCATTTAATATAATATAATAATGTTTTATGTTAGAAAACATTAAGAATAATATATTTATTTTATTTGTATTTTAATGTAATTGTATTGTTGAAATAATACTAATAAATGTTTGATATATTTTTATATTTTGTTTTATATAAAATGCACACTACCATTTAAAAGTGTCAGTATTTGTTTCTTTTTATTATGTAAATTTTATTTTTATTACATTTATTATTATGTTGTATTAAAACATTTCTATTCATAAATAAATGCTGTTGATCTGAACTTTTTAGTCATCACAGAATCCTAAAAAAAAAATACATCATGGTTTGCACAACTAAAGGCCATTGCACACTGAGTCCAAAATTTTCGTATGCGTTTTTTTGTATTTGTGATTCAGTGGCTCTGAATTGTCAAAACACCATTCAAACTGCTTGGTACGGATGCGAAAAACGCAGAAAATCGAACCCGATTAGATTTTTTTAATGACAGACGAAAGTTTCGGAGGTAGTGTGCAAGCGTGATTGACATAACGTGAGGTCGTATTTATTTTTTAACAAGCGAAAATTTCAGACACGAATTTCGGACTCAGTATGCAGGGGCCTTAACTGTATTTCTTTATCACCAAATCAGCACATTAAAATAATTTTTCAAAGGATCATGTGACACTGAGGACAGAAGTAATGATGCTGACAATTCAGCTTTGATATTACAGGAATACATTATAATAAATGAAAATAAGTTAATTTTAAAAATGGATTTAAATTGAAAACTTGATTTTTTAAATTGAAATAATATTTGACAATATTACAGTTTTTAGTGTGGTATAAAATAAATAAATATTTATTTATATGCATAAATAAATGCAAGCAAAAGAATCTGACATGGTTGTTAGTACTCACATGTATCCTGCCATCTTTCAGTGCAGGACCGTCCTCAGCTAGTCTGAGGATGAAGAGGCCCATGTTATATTCCTTCCCTCCTCGCAGACTAAAGCCAAAACCTCTCTGTCCTCTCTCTAACTCCACGGGATAACAGCCCTAAAAACAAAAATGTTTTGTCATATTAAAATAAATTTAACTTTAAGACAGTTCACATTACATCTAACTGCAGTGTACTGAACTATGCAAATATAATATCACACATTTCTTGCTTTCATCAAAGCCATTCTGTTCTGAGTGAAAAAGCAAACTGCACTCTACACCTGTCAGCGCTAATGAGAAATGACACTTGATTTGCATATCTCAGCTCAGTCTTTATCATTATATTTGACTTATTTTGCAAACATTTCCTCCATTTCATTTCACATAAAGTTCACTGTGGCATATAGTGAGAAAGCTTGAGGTGACAAATGCTTCCATCTCAAAGTTTCAAATGTAATTTAATCTTCATAAAACATGGACATAAAAATTAAGTACTTACATCGGTTGCATAATAATCATTAAACTCTATTACTGCAAGCCTAACAGGAATTATTACTCCGAGCACTGCAGCCGTCTCATTTAAATCTCACCTGCTTTGGTCCTGAGGTGATGACAGCACCCATCTCACCCTGAGGCAAGGATTTGTACTCCGCTCGGGCCATGGTGTCTTTCCTCTCCTCCATCTCGATGCCATTCCTATATGACACACAATTAAAGGCTGCTTTAGGCCATTCCATGAACTGGTGAGCAAAATAAAAGCATCTCCGTTCATGAGAATGTGCAGTGAAATTGTACAGTAATTCCTACAAAGAGGCTGAGAGTCTCTGTTCCAGACGTCAATGGTGTGTGGCGCTCATTATATTCTTTTGTTGGTCTTAAGTGTGGGTAAAAGCTTCAACAGTGGCTGCTCATATTTTCTGAGCCTTGACTGTTCAAAACAAGACTACTCAATTTTTTTGCTGAAAAGAATACCTGTCCTAAACTATGTGCTTGGGCTTGAAATGAAAAGAGAGGTGGTGAGCGTTCTTGACAGAAGAGAAATGGAAAGAGGTCCTTGAAAATGGAAGGTTGCAAATGGGGTGGGGGTAGGATGTCATGATCCATAAATGATATCAGTTTGATATATAATGAACACGCTTTTGTACAAGATGTCAGGCTATATGTCAGTGTCAATATTCTACACGTTATTTTCGTGGAACAAAATAAAAAAAATAAATAATAAAAAATCTCTCTCAACTCATGAAAACAAACTTTTCTGTCCTGTCATACTGTGTACATGCACAAACGTGGGGGCGTGTGTTGTGTTTTACTTGCAAACTAAATTACATGCATGGAAATTTCGTAGCTAAGTTAGTGAGTCAATTATCGAGTCTTGAAATTACCAAAAAGTACCAATAAATGACATGGTATTATATGTGTTTTAGCTGGGAATGATTTGTAAACAGGATATTCTGGTAACGCTTCCTTTTACAGTACAGTACTTACAGTGTACTTACCTAGAAAGTACTGGCTAATATAAGGTAAGTACATGGAATAGGGGTAGGTTCAGGGTTAGTACTAGTTATTACCCATTAATTGTAGCTACTAAAATAAGTACATAGTATTTACATGGGTAACTGGACTGTAAAAAGGAAGTGTTACCGATATTCTTTTATGATTAGTGTCCATATGTTTTATTAACAGGTCATGTTAGTATTGTGTGTTTACCATGGTAACTGTTGTTTCGATAACCTTAACCCAAAATACCACTTTATTTTTATTTTGTGTGATTTTCTATATTTTTCATGACTGTGGTGGCTTGTACCAACTAACTTTATTGTATTAACAAAAACTAGTTATTCATCAGTGTTCATACAATTTACGTGTATGTCAAGTAGGATGGTGTTCGTCAATCAATTTTGAGAAATTAATTTTCTTGGTTCAAATTCCTTCACTGACTTTCTGGGCCGTCAAGTTTTGATCCCTTAGGTATCCTATGTAGCAGTGATCCACCTCTCAAATTTAATAAAAAATATCTTCATTTGTGTTCTGAAGACGAACGAAGGTCTTACGGGGTTGGTACAGCATGATACAGTGATTAATGACTTAATTTTCATTTTTGGGTGAACTAACCCTTTAACATAGTAAAGTACCCAGTAGTTACAGACAACGTATATAAAGTGTGACCAAAATCACGTTGTTTAGATGATCAAAGATCTCATCATGTAATAATCGATTACAAAAAAAAACACTTTTAAAATCGAACTGTAGACTAAAAGTTTTGTGTGTTGACTGTAATGATTGTGTGTGTACGTGCGTGTTATGAGTGAACATAAGCTGTCCGTCGGGATGGAGCTTGTACCTGTCATCTCGGTTGGCAGGCTGCTGTCCCACGGCTCTGTGCTGAGACGCTGGGCTCTGCTTGGCTGAACTGGTGCCCGACGGAGGTCCGCTGTGTTCTGAAAAATAAATAGGATTATCAGTGTGGCAGAAAAACACATATACTCTACAAACACAACTCCATCCCAAGTTTCAGTTTCAAACTTCATGTTACAGAAAAAAATAAATATGCAAATCTAGTTTCCTTCTTCTAGCTCACGGTTTACAAAAATAATGAAGAGAAAATATATATTCGCAAAGCTTACCCTCCTCAGGCACGACGGTGAGGGCAACAGTGTTTCCAGCTTCTTTGATGAGCTGCACAATGTCATTGTGTGACAGCTCAACAATGGACTGGCCATTCACAGCAGAGATGCGATCGCCCACTTTTAGCCGACCGCAGCGGTCTGTGGGACTGCCGTCTATGATGCGGCCAATCTTATGAGGGATAACTGGGAACAGAGGGATCCATGGTTATTTCATGCATAGTATACATCTTGACAGACTACAAGAACAACAAGATCTGAGATGGTTATAAACCACTGAGAAGTGCTTTCAAAAACTCAGCAACAGTAGTCTGATTATGCTGTGTCACATGATCAGGAGAAATACTATGAATATAGAATAGAATTTACGTAGATATACTAAGAAATGGCCAGTGTATATATAATGTAATTTTTCAATGTTCAAATACTAAATATTTTTGTATACACTACCATTTAAAAGTTTGGGGTCAGTACGATCTTTATTGCAAGAAATCACTTCTTTTATTAAGCAAGGATGCTTTAAAATGACAGGGGCATTCAAAAAAAGACATTTATGTTACAAAAGAACTCTAGTTTTAATAAATGCTGCTCTTTTGAACTTTCTATCCAATGATTTCTGAAGGATCATCATGTGACACTAAAGACTGGAGTAATGAAGCTGAAAATTCAGCTTTGCCATCACAGAACAAAAAAAGATCACTTTTTAAAATGTGAAAAAAGGTTTATTTCAAAGTGTACTAATATTTCACCCATAATTTTCAACCTCACAGCATAATTTCACAAATAAAAAAGTCCTACTACAAATGTTCACAGCGTTTTCCCTTATTCAGAGCTAATGGTAATAGCTATTAGATCTGAATAAGCTCTGGGTTTATTACTGTTATACTTCATAGCTAAGCTAGCGTTGATTTTATTATCGGAATTGCATTGTACAGCATATCACACCTTCAAGCGACTGGATGAAAGACATAATGTAGATTTCAGCCACATTTTCGACAATGTAATGAGTCTGTAGTTGCACATCTGAAGCTGAGAGCAAAGAAAGCAAAAAGCTATTTCTCACCTCCAGGCGGAGGCTTGTTTTTAGAGGTGAGGATGACAAATCCGAAGCCCTCGTTGTCCTTGCGCTGAAGAGTGACTTCGTAGGGCTGAGGGTGACCGTGGCCGGACACCTCGATGTGGGGGGGTTTGGGGGAGCCGTTGACCAGCGCTGGAGCTTGTGGAGCCTGAGGTTGTCCTCCATCATCATCCTCTCTGTCTGCTCAAGCACATATAATATTCAGTGTTTAAATGAACAAAGATTTGATTTCAGACACATTTTGTATTGCTTTATTTAACAATAACACACACTGGTAGCATGTATAAATTTAGCCAACCATGATGTTGTGTGGATCATTTTTGCAGTTAACATAAAGTAAATGGTCGCTGCTGAGTAATTCTCTTTTAAATACTCGCCAAAGCCGAGGATTATTCCAGTGATAATCACTAGTGTTTTTCTTCAACCTCTTGAATTGTTTATAAAATGATTTGGGGTAATTTGATTATTCTCAAAGGCTAAGCAACTAACAACATTGTACGCTTAGTTCTGCTTAACACAATTTGTAATTTACATCCATTCTGCAAAACTGAGTTGAAGCCATCTGGCCTCGATGATTTGTGAAAGAACTATCGGCAAAAAAAAGAAAACTTCTTACAATGCTCAACCTGAAGTAAAACAAACAAAATCCCTATGTGATTTAACAAAACTGAAAAAGAACATTTATGAAAGTGTTGAAAAAAACTGCAATGAGGCATAAAGCCAAATTTCATAATGGCTTCATAATTTAAGTTTTTTTTTCCTTTAAATTACCCCGTGTGTGTTGTTCTTTTATGGTTACTCGGCGCTTCTGAGTCATTGTTCTGTTTGCAGCACATAAAGAGTCTTCTGCTTTGACTGAAAACACTGGTCATTAAATTTAGATTTTGTGGTTATTATTTTATAGCTCAACTCAGAACTAATGGAGTGAAACACTAATTCCTCACAGGGAGTGGATCGTGTTCCAGACATAAGTGCTGGGTATCACTGAAACCTCTGAAAGACGTCTACAGCAGTCAGGAAATAAACGTTTCATATAGGGGGGTACAAACCTGGATGGGTGAGCTTTCTACGCACGGTCAACATCACCTGCCCGTTGCGGGCAGCGTTGGTCATGAGCTCCAGAACTTGTTTGTGAGATTTGCCTTTGACAGGAACACCGTCAATACAGATGAGCTCATCTCCAGCCCGCAGACGCCCATCCTTCTCTGCGGCACCCAGAGGAACGATGGCACCAATGTACACCTAAAGAGAGATGGTGCGGTTAAAGGTCACATCACTTTCTGTTGTGACAATATGGTGACGAATCACTATGAAGCATGTCAACGCTCACTGGCTGATCTGGTCCTTCTCCACCCAGCACTCTGAACCCAAATCCAGTCTCCTGGTTCCTCTTGATAAACACGTCCAGCTCTTTAGTGTTGGATGCTGAAAAAAAACAACATAAATTTTGTGGTGTAAAACAACAACTGTGTCTCACATGACCACAAACAGATCACAAATGTCAAGGTAGAACTCACGTTTGCTGTCCAGCATGGCTTTAGACTTGAGGTAGAGCTCAGATGGGTCCAGTTTTGGGGAGCTAGAGCGGATGGCATGTGGAGGGAATGGGAGGGACTGGGGCGCAGGCTCAGCCGGACTGGGAGTTTCAGTACTGACGGAGCTGGTGGAAATGTCCTGCTTCTGGGTAATGGGAATGGCTGAGGTGATCTAAATGAACAGATGGACACACACAGCAACAAACATTACCCAAGGTTCATCAACGTTACAGCACTTTAGTTAATAACACTCTTAAAGGGATAGTTCATAGTTCAAGTATTATCCAAAACCCTAGCATCTACAATTAATATTATTAGGCTGTTATGTAAAATGCATTAAAGGAAAAAGAAACTTGAAAATGTGATGTATTGATCTGAATATCTGCATGATTATGTACCAAACAAGCATGAATCTTCATTATTTGTCCTGGAGTCACTCAAACTTCATATCCGTGTTGAATACAATGCTATACAAACAGCACTGAAATTAATAATCAACATTTGAGCCTGTGTGGGAAACACTTGTGAGAGAAGCCCACTAGGAAGTGCTCCTGAGGGGCCTGTTGACTCAGCAGAGTCGTTCGCTGCAGAAACAGTTGTTTGCCTCGAAGTGATTCGCCATATCCTGCTTTTAAAATAACATTATAGCGTTTGGCACTTGCTCTGTGAATAATGTACGACCGCAAGGAACTCGCTTTGCTGAAATACCGAGAACAAGGCCGATAAATAATTCATCCTGCTTCATCTTCATTTCATCAAAATTCCCCAGTGTTTCGGAATTAAATCCCCAAAATTGAGTAATTAAAAGACATTTAGCTGAACTTACAGGTTTCAGAGACTTCACGGGAGATGTCTGACCTGCAGGCACAAACAGATATAAAGAGGGAAGTGAGAATGAGCAAGTACAGTTGGAAAAGAACGTTCCGAGACTAAATAATTAGTCAGGGCCGTTTATTGCTGGAAAAACGCTATTCATCAATTTATTTATTACATTTGATACCTTTAAATGTGGAGTGTGTCATTTTTGTCAGTTATTGATCTGATAAACAGATAGTTTGTGAAAAAACAGATAGATGTTGCTGTCGGGATGCTCAAACAAACAGAGCATGTTTTCAATAGAAATCAGCCTAATGTATACTGTAAGTATTTTAACATTAAATATTTTTGCACACTTTACCATTAATAGCACTATCAAGAGGTTTGCAAAATATTAATCATGTCAACATCTGTGTCCATATCAACAACAAATCATACACTACGGTTCAAATATTTGGGGTTATTTTTTTATTTTGAAGGAAAATAATACTTTTATTCATCATTAAATTGATCAAAAGTAAAAGTAAAGACATTTATAACTTAAAATAATCTATTTCAAATGCTGTTCTTTTGAAATTTGTTTATCAACAAATCCTGAACAAATCCATAAGCAGCTTAATTCTTTTCAGCATTGATAATAGGAAATGTTTCTTGAGCAGCAAATCAGCCTATTAGAATTATTTGTTAAGGATCATGTGACACTGAAGACTGGAGTAATGATGCTGACAATTCAGCTTTGCCATCACAGGAGTAAATTGCATTTTAAAATATATAGATTTTCTAATGGCAACAACAACAAAAAATCTTTCTGACCCCAAACTTTTGAAAGGCAGTGTAGAGGAATATATATAAAAAAGATTAAAATCTAAAACTTTTTATTCAGGAAGCTGGATTTCAATCTGGTTAATATTAATACAGTGGGAAAAAACATCAAAAATCAACAGTGGCCACTAGGAGGCAGTGTAGTCTACATTGCATTTATATACCGGTATACTGGAAAAGTAAATAACGTGACATAATATACACAATGTGGGGTATGATGGACCTGTGACAGATATGTTTATGTACAGTATTGTGTGTGTGTGTAATATGATAAAGCTCTGTATGTTACCATTCAATGCGAATAAGGTCTATCAGTCTTTATTAAAAAACTGTCAATGTAGAACATCCACACCAGCTGTATGCAGTGCTTTGTGAAGACTTTCGAGCATATGACGGTGTTAGTATAAGTCAGAGAAGAAAAGCTTGCTTATGAATACGCTTGACCTTTTGCAGCCACAACCCGATAGCACTGTGACAGCCAAATCTTGGAAGTGAGCAAATGAACACAGATCACTTGGGCTCCAGACAAACCACAGACTAGATGCAATATAGATCTGTGTGCATAGCCGCTATGCACCCACTGCTGTGCATGCAAATACAGGCTTCAGTTCAATTACAACATTTGGGTTAGGGATCCCTGCAAGTTCAGATGGTAAAACTAGTGTGACAACTGTTTTAATGAGATTCATCTACTAAACTATTGATAAGGAGTCCACAAACTAAAGATGTAATCAGAGACTTTGCACACAAATGGAGAGTAATTAAGAATGACATCACTTTATTTCGATTACTTCACAAATTAACATTAATCACAACAGTAACTTGATGTACCGAGATGGTGCGGTCTAGTATTTTCTGTGTCACGGTGCATAAGTGCGAACACTCTTTCCTTTAGGCTTTAACAGACTCATAGTGACATATGATGTTCAGTCTCGCTAAAACGTAAAGATCTCTCACTCAAACACAAGCGTCTATCTGTTTCAGCTCTCACCTTCTCTGCTATGTCTCTCGCTCTATTCTTCTTCACACATCTTCAGTTTACATAAATCACTTTCTTTTTCTTCAACTTTGTCTCTCAGAGTTTAATGTTAACTAGGGGTACGTTTACACGAGAATGTGTTTTTTTGTGTCCAGACGTCAATGTTGTCAGGCAAGTAATGTTACTTTCTAAAGAAAAGCTACGTACCCATAGAATGAACATGTAATACACATGCGCATGATGTCACAAATTCAAGTTTGTGTATTTTACAAGAAGATCATCGTATCATTTTCAAAAACTTTTAGTTTGAAGCCCGTTTTCAAAAGTTTGCATTTTCAGGTCCCAAAATTTTGGCATTGTCATGTAAAAGAGCAGCCAAAATGTATAAAAATTATATTGAGAAAATGTGTCATGTAAATGGCCCCTAAAACAATGAAAATCCTTTTTGTTAATTGCAATAAAAAATAAATATTAGATGAAAAACGTGTACGTGATGCCGAAGTACAAACACTGAAACTGAGATAAAAAATAAAGTAAACCTAAACAGCAATATTTAAAAATGTGTTACTGTATGTGATTGTCATTTTTAATAGTTTCATCTTTTACAATTTTTAACTAAAATGTATTTTATTTCAGATTTGAAGTTTAATATCTTCTATAATTTAAATACTGTAACAACATTACTAAAACTTACCCACAACTGTAAAATAATAATAATTAAATTAAAAATATTAATAAATAATAGAATAATATGTAAACAATACTATAAATGAATAAATTAATAAATGATGACAGAATATATATTTTGGGGTAACTGTCACTAGGGCCAGATCTGGCATGCAATGGGGGTGTAGTCAAACATTGTTGGGTGTAATTGGTCATCACTCACCTCCTCTGAGCACCAGCACGTTGACCTCGCTGCCCACGGGCAGGTCTTTGAGGATGTCCACCACCTGTGAGTGGGACAGGGTCTGCACATTCTGCCTGTTAATGTCCTTAATCACATCCCCCTTCAGCAGACCACGGCACCACTGAGCGTCCAGAATCATCTTCACCTTCTGGCCCAGCGGACAGTCTGCGATGGCAAAGCCGAATCCACTCGGCCCCTTTACCAACGGCACGCTGACCAGCTCGGGCTGCAGCAGGGTGCTCTCCCCCGCCTCTGGGTGGCGTCCATTGGGCATTGCTGCAGCTGGGTGTCTGCTATCGGTGCTCATGTAATGGAGGTCCTGCAGGGAGGGGGTGCCTTCTGAATGGATGGGCTGCCCGTCCATCCCTGGCATGGCAGTCATTATGTCGCCTGTGCCCTCTTCGCTAGAATTGGTGTCCTCTGGGAGTGGGTATCCACGGCACAAGACCATATCCACATACTGATTCACAGGAATGGACTGGAACATCTGCACCACATCTGCATGGGTCTTTCCTAGCACACATGCACCGTTTATGTCAACTATAACATCACCTACACAAGAAAGGAAGACAAAGCATGAATGAGGCAGATGTCAAATCTGTTCCAAACCCTAGTGTGCTGACAGCATGTTTAAGCACCAAAACTGCAATCCTGATGCAAAAGCTGTTCTGAACAGGATGGAGCAAAGTAATTAAAATCCAGCATTTATTCAATATATGTAATATGTACTTTTAGTATTATTGATATTATACTATTATAGTATTTAGTAACATTTTGAATTAGCTTTCATTTTCATCTTCACTTTAGGTTTATTTTGTTATATGCTTTTTATCATTTCTAATTTTCCATGTTTTTTCATCTAAATTTCATTAGAGCTTTATTTCAATAAAGCTAAAAGATTTTCAATAGTAAATAATAACAATACTGTTTTTGTGCTTATTAGAATATTCCGTTTTAGCTCATCAACATGCTAACCTAATGCAACGGTTGTTTCAAAGTGTGTATAAAATTACATATTTGGGGATTTAGTGTAAGGAAGCATGAATGCAGCAATTCCAAAATGCATTGCACCAATTTTAGTGAATATATATTTATCAGTGCTAAAAAAGCCAACAAAAACTGTTCATAATACGTTCTTATTAAAACACAATTGTCTGTGCGTGCTATGCAATTTGCTTTAGCTTAGCAACATTAGACTCATGCACTCCATATGTCCAGTAAAGTTGTCTATTTGTATTTAAGTCTATATAGAGCCTTTTAAATCAGTCAAAAATAAGATTGTACCCAGCATATGACTACGGTGTCAATTTCAGTTCAAACTTTGGCACAAAGAGCCTGTGCCGAGGACACGATGAAGATTTTAAACCCGGAAGAAAAAGACTAAAATTTAACCATTTTCCTCCTACTATTAAATCTAACAGATGCTAACATTGTCTTCAATTGAGTTTAACACACACATCTCTGTTAAAATCTCATTCTATTTATCTCATATCTCATACTAGAACTATTCTGTTCATAGGGGAATGTGTATGGAGTTTGATACACAGTGATAAAGAGGCAGTGCCCACATAACCATTACTCGAGCTAAAGTCAATGATCCGCTCAGTTGGTGCAGTCTATCAAATGGTAAGTGTGTCTATTGATCAATGCAGAGAACGTTGGGGGATTCCAGCATTCTTTTCTATTCCGGACCACTCAATGGCATCCGGGCTCGCTTCGCTTCTTGAAAGTGATTGTTCTACCCGAGTCATCCTGCTGCTTATACAGTAATATTGGCATGGAAAACACTGTCAAAGTGCCACAAGCATCAATGTTTCTTTCAGATCACCAGGAACTCGCAAGTATCTGGTCCAGGTCTACAACTAGCCATGATGGTAATCGTTTTTAGACCATGTTGAGTTTAACAAAAAACGTAAATTATTTCTAACTGACCACCCAGATGAATATTGTATATGTTTGGCTGACTTTTATTCAAATAATTGCTCTTCATTTGAACTTTCTATTCATTAAAGCACAATGGTTTTCAACATTGATAATCAGAAATGTTACTTGAGCAGCAAGATTATAATGGTTTCTGAAGGATCATGCAAGACTGAATACTGGAGTAATGGCTGCAGAAAATTCAGCTTTACATCAAAGTAATACATTGTAATACTATTTCACAATATTACTGTAGAACACATGGCTTTTGGACGGCGATTTGCAGGTAGGGTGGGATCGTATGCTTTTGATGCTAGCAGGCTAAATTTAACATTTCCCTGATCACCTATTGCAACTTTAAGGACCAGATTTACTAACAGCTTGTGCCATAGCAAAAAAACTACTGTCAAGATTTACAAAAAACACGCAGGGAAAAATAAGTGTTGATAAGACCTTATTGCATATGCATTAGTATGAGTTTATGGGAGGAGAGTATTTAAATGAATTATGCTAAGGTTTGCGGTAGTCAATTTACTGCTATTTGCACCATTATTTACTGCCCAAAAAGGCACGTCTAAAATCAGACGCTAATTTGCGCTGCTAAGATTTCGTTGGTCACTATGGAAATGTGTTCTTTTGCACGTTGTCAGTAGATCACACGCAGAACTTTCCTCTGCCATCAGCAATTTTTTGGAATTGCACTCTCATGCTAAATTCTCACTCTCATCGCCCTGTTTAGTCAATCTGGCCCTAAATGTGTTGGGACCAGACTCCAACATAAGTAAACAGTGAGAATCTACAATTAAAATATATTTGTAATGGATTAATGTTTTGCCGGGTCAAAGAGAGGCTCATAAAGCGCCCTCTATGGCTTTTTTGTTAGCCTGACAAAATGTAAGAATTTGCATAAAGAAATTGGATGCTGATGAATTTACCCCTCATCAAGCCTCTTTGAACCAGCTGAAGCATGTTTATTGCTCCACACTCGAATCCAGAATTAAATGTATATCTCGGTTAAACTGCTTTACAATTCTATGTCCAGATTGATGTCTCCAGAGAGCCAGTATACTGGCAGTTGTTTCCACATATTGTAATGGAGGGTAGTGAGTGTTGGTGTAAGCGCTGCAATTATCGCCAAACACGACTCTGCAGGAAAGCCAGTTCCCCTGATGCTTACCCACTGACTCTGATTTATTCTATCGCTATCTACGCAATCCTGCTGTGGGCACTTTCACAAGATTATTTACTTGGAATCTGGTAACCCAGCAATGTGCCAAGAAATGGATGTGGCATCTGACAATGTGATTGAATGAGCCAGGGTGTTAATGTGTTTAACTATGCTTAGATCCAATTAATTACCTGATGGCTTATCAATATTCATAAAATAATCACCATGTTGCCTCAGGGCTAAATGAACAGGAGCCAAGCGGATTTACCCGAAGCGATTTTGTTATCGTGTGCGGCGGGTCCATCTCTCAGGACGTTTTTCACTTGAAGGAATTCATCTGGTCGGTCTCCACCGATGATGGTGAAACCGAAGCCCTGAGGACTCTTCTTCAGAGCTGTGCGCAGGATAGCACCCTTCAACTGAGATGGGTCCCGCGTGAATCCCCTCAAACCAGCTTCATCTAAAAGACAGAGAGTGAGTATGTGAGACTAACAATTTAAAACTTGTTTACTGGGCAAGACAAGGCGCGTGTACTTAAGCAAGCTGTTGGTAGAGAAATCTCAACTGTTTGTCAAAATTAACGAAGTTCCCTTTTAATAATCGAATCTGTTCCTGCAGTGTTTATTACTGCACAACTGAAACCATCATAAAAAAGGCTCAGAAAGAAACAAAAAGAACAGAGGGGAATATTACACAGAGAGAACTACAAAAAAATAGGGAAGTCTGGATACCATTAGTCATTCGTCTTGAATAATGCAACAGAGAGCGAAATAGAGAGAGGGAGAGAGAGTAAAAGATACATTACTAAAAAAAATATTAGTAAATAGTGAATGATAGTGGGATTGTTCTGTAAATATCCACAATCAATCATCACAGTCCATTCATTACACTTTACCTCATTACATAATTTACTAATCCCAAACTTTTGACCAGTAGTGCATAAAAGAATAACTTACAACAAAAATAAACAACAACAAAAAGACTAGTCAAATATTGCACAATAGTTTTGGGTATCATTCTCTACTTCACCAATGATGATGCTGTCCAATTCTTGAGGGGAATAATATTACAATAATAATTTCCAAATTCCATTCTATAATTATTGGATTAAAAAAATTTATAAAATAAATCTGAAAACTGGAAATTATGTGTAGAAAGTATCTATTAAATAAAAGAGCCTGTTTCTTGCTGCTCAACCATGTGAAGCACAACAGCACTGAGCACTTACATCAGATAATCACACAGAGTTATGAAACAAAATAGAGTGAAACTGGGGAAGAGGATCTGGAAAAAATGAGTCTGAACATGGGCGAGGCTTGCAGCTCTGACTGAAATGGATGGAGGGACTCCGTGTTAGGGCTACCATTGCCATGACATACAAGAAAGAAGAGACAAGGCAAGAGATAAACTGAAACTAGCAATTATATAAAAAACTGAAGAAGTGAACTGAAGAAGCGGCTGATCTTTTCTCTCTCCAAGTGTAATGTTTTTTTTTTTTATGACATGCTATGAGTGCCTGAACATCATTTCACCCCTGGCGCAATTAAGGTCAGTCGTTTGCTTCTATTCTTTTTCTCTTTTTTAAAAAGTGGTTCCATATTGTTTTCATTTTTGGGTGAAGTATCCCTTTAAACATACAGGGAATCGCAATGGAATACTATTTCGATATTCAGATCTTCACGGTGAAAGGTAAAACTTCCGAAATCTCTGTGTAAACAATGAGTGACGTACACACGCAAGCGATCACTTCCGGCGCATGCGCAGACCGAAGCACCCGTGCCTTCAGATCACATGGACGTTGCTGTGATTACAAGAGGTAAAAACTATATAAATACTGTTCGTTTTCTCACACAAACCGCTCGTGTCGTGTCTTAGGCCATCAATGTGTACTTACATTTACGAGTCATTAAATCATGTTTAATTTGGACTTCTCTGTGCATGCTTTTTCAGGTGAACCCCATAAACCTCCATTATATGACTGATAGACAACAACGGTTTGACCTAAAAATATCAAAATTGAAAATGCTGTGGAAACAAACACACCTACATCTTGCATGCCCTTGAGGTAAGCTAAAACATATCAAAAATTAATTTTCAAAGTGAACTATCCCTTTAAGATGTAGGTGTTCAACACTGACTATGAATCAGCTGTAAATGGCGGATCATACACTAATTACTGTCATTTATAACACAGCGGATTCTTTTCTTTTTCCTTGTCTCATTTGAGAGTGCCAGCAGCATCAGATGAGGCCACATCAATCTCATTAGGAGAGCAGGGATGGATATCTCAGCATGTGTGGTGGGAATTGGATTTGCATAATATCCACATTGATGAGTCGGACTGGCCCTATGAAAAGGATTATGTTGATTGTAATAACCATGGCACACATTTGAACTGTGCGCCACAAGTACGTGCGAGTCGGTTGTCGGTCACAGGTACACATAAACCCATTGTTGCATGTTAGATTTATCACTCTCTCTCTCTCTCTCTCTGCCTGTAGTGCTGTTTTCACATTCAGCCGGTGAGGGAATTGTGGGAAAAGGGGGAAAAGGCGGAGGGCTGATGTTTATGTTCACTTTATTATGCTTCTCATGCATAAAGGGCTGCTGAGTCGGATTATAAAATGTCGGAGTATAATTAAAGGTGTAGTATGAGCGATGTGTGTGTGTCCACAAGGATGGTAATACCACATTTGTTAGTCCCAAACAGATTATAAATCACACTAAATAGTTTTTTTTTAATGTAAAAATGCAGAATGTTTTCAGTGAGGGTTGTGTTTAGGGCAGAGAATATTCTGTACAGTTAACAATCATTATGTCTATAGAAAGTCCCCATAAAACATGGAATTCCAACACGTGTGTGTGTTGTCGGAAATGACCCAAAGGCACAAGCAAAATGGCAAGAGCTATAATTGTTTTATAATTGCTTGAGTATATGAATAAAATAAATGAAATGCATGAATTTTGTCTTTTCTCTTACAATGGTGGGTATAATGGTGTAGTTACGGCTATAATATCTGATTATTCTCTATCAAACACTGCATGACTGCATTATATTTTTGCTTATATTTGTGCACACTCATCCCTGTCCTATTCTCAACTAGGCAGTAACCATCCACTCATTAAAGTGTCTTGGCCAGCTAACAGAGCATAGCGAAGGGGGGCAGCGTCTGCTTTCACTAATGAGACAGAACAAACGTCCATTGCCAGCCTTCCAGAGGGGATAGGAGAACACAAAATCAGTGCTCAGAGGACACAGGAACACACAGGAGACAGCAAAGCACAGGGAGTCCAAACAACTAACGGCCAAAGTCTGGGTTAACCTTGAACAAGCTGAAACTGAACTAAAGTCATGTGTTGGCTGGTCAAAATATAAAATATATCATTCAGATAAAACAGGATATTCTTTCACGACAGAGTAGGGAGTAGAATATAATCAATCTCTAATCTAATAAAGAAACCCAAACTATGTTAGTTTATAACATAACAAAAATGGTTTGGACAGAGTCATTTGGAAGTGGCCTCGGTAAGACATTTTACAGTATTTTTTATCAAATAAATGCAGCCTTGTTTAGCATATTGATACCACAGACTTGTTAAGTAGTGATTGGCTGCATCCAAGGTAGGAACACAATGTTAGCTTTACTTTCCGTCTCCTCAAATAACTACTATATTACTATATGTATAGTAATATAGTAGTATATATACTAAATATATCGTATTATAGTTGTATATATACTAAATAACATCTGATTTTTGAAGGCAGAATAAATGTATCCTTCGCTGCCTTTGATATCCCACAATCCTGTACGTTCCAGTCCATGACAGTCAAGCTAAAACATAAAGTTGGCATCTGAAAGTTGCAGTTTGCGGTCAATTTGTGTTTAAATATACATTTTTGACCAATTATTTCTTTTTTTTTGATGCAATTTCTAGCAAGAAATTATTATTCAATGTTTGCCAATTATCATCAAACCTGTCTCAATTTTATTTTAGATTATTAAACCATTATGCTGCCTCAGAAGTCTGTCCAAAAGACAGTTCGGTAAGGTACCTTCGCATGTAAACGCTGCCTGCAAAGTAATTGCTGGATAGGGTAGAAAGGCAACAAGTCAGCTGCCTAAGTTTTCAGACGCAGCCATTGTGTTTACATGTTAACATTAGCACTCTCTAATGCACGTTAGCATTAGCAGTATTAGATTTTTCAGTGTACTCTTATTTTGCATCCTATTTAGGATGGGCAGCATGCAAATTGGGACAGGGAACGAGTGTGTGTTTAAACTAATGCTTTAAAACCTGATAGATGAGCAAACACCTCTTGTAAACAAGAAAAAGGCAGCGAGAGAAACCGTAAAAATGAAAGAGTCAGAGCTACTGCTTAGAGTCACATCATAGAGGACAGAACAAGGAAGTTAAATTAACAGTGAAACACCAGCAACAAAGTGGAATATGAACATAAACATGCAAGGTGAGCGTAAGTAAGTACACGGTCAAACATAAATACACACACAGATGGTAAAACACATGCTAGCTGACAGAATTCAATCACAGATCATATCAACCCCAGATACTGATTGAGTTCTTCTGATGGAAATGTTCTGCCCCAACTTAAATCAACATCTGACCTTCTCATAAATTTCGTATGAGTTCACTAAACGGTATGAATCAAATGGTACATATTAGTATCTTTTGAACGGGTACCGCCCCAATGACAGATTTTGTACTTTAGTGTGTGACATGATAAAACATCAAGAAATAAATCATTTTTGTTCCATGCTAATCTGTGTTTTGTCCAAACAAGCAATGACCTTGACAAAAGCAATGTGTGTCCAGATAATTTGATGGTCGCTTGGTTTCTATTTTTGCCACATCACGCCGGCTGGCTCTGAAGTCTCAAATCCTGCGACGCCATCTTCATATTAAGCATAAAATATGTTCAGCTGGCATGTTGTTGCTTCACACAATATTCATTTTCAGTGAGGACAGAATTATTGCATGACACTGCAGGAAACAGTTTGCATGTGACTTTTGTCACTTCCTGATCTCATTCCCATTGAATTGTTTCCTGCCACCACAGCTGACGACTAACTAAACACCAGCTTGGACTAGTTTGACGGTTTAGACCAGAAAACCACCGTAGGCTGGTTTTAGAAACTCTAGCAGGATGGGTTATGTTTACGTAAAGTGACAGTGAAAATTCTTACATTGTTACAAAAAACTATTTCAAATAAATGCTGTTCTTGTAAATGTTCTATTAATCAAATGATCCTAAAAAATAGATATATATTTTATGGATTCCAGAAAAATAGCAGCAAAAGTGCTTTCAATATTGACAATAATAAGAAATGTTTCTTGAGCAACAAACCAGCATATTAAACAATTTTGAAAAGGATCATGACACTACTTTGGCTGCTGAAAATTCAGCTTTGCCATCACAGGAATAAACATATTAAAGTAGACGCATAAAGTGGCAAAAAAAAAATTAAATAAAACAAAAACAGAAGTAGTAGGAAATGGAGGAATAATGTAGAAGAAAGTTAGAGTTTTACTTAAGGGTGTTGGTACTGCTCCTGCGGTCGTTGCTATTGGCTGACTGGTTGGAGACGAATCCTGGCTGATTTTCTTCTTGGCTTCCTGCACCGGATTCTCAAACTGAGTCTTCTGACTGATGTGGCTGAAGGAAAGAGTGAGACAGTCAGTGCAAATGGCCAGAGATGGTAGATACAATGACATATAAGCTTGCACAAACCCTCAGGTTAAAGAGAAAGGTAGCGACGCGTATCTGTTCATGCAAACAGTCTTTTAAAGATTTGAATAAAAGAGGGAACAAAACAATATAAGAGCCAAAAGCTAACTCATTGTGCTCATGCATCTCTTCCTGTTTGTCATCTGCTAACCAGGCAGTTACCATAGACATTTAATAAAAGAAAAGCAATATAAACAACATACTGGGACAGAAACTTGGAAAACCGGCATGAACTGATCCGACTCAGAAAGCAAGTAACTCTCTACACATTATTTATGAGAAGACACAATCTGTCATAAACACTGCAAGTATTTTATCAATCAATACTTCAGCATTATTTTACCTTACCTGAGAAACGAAAAGTTTTCAGAGAACATCTTTTTGTTTGTTTTACCATAAACCTCACTAAAATTTTTTAGAAAACAGAAAAAACAGCCAACGAGGTACTATAAATTGAATGTAGTGTATATTCTCTGAAAACTTTTAAGTTAATGTGACATTTCCAAAATGTGACATATTTAAATAAAACAGTAAATTCAAAACATTGGAAATTGATTGGATGGCGAAAAGAGGGAGTTACATGTAAGAATAGAGGCAGAACAAATTGAGTTTGTAAAAACAATGCCTAAAGCGGCCATTTAGCATCCAGTAGCCTGCATGCCCTAAACGACTTCAGTGGAAAATAAAGATGATTTGATTAAAGATTATAAAAACAATTGTTTTTCCTTTGGAACAACCATGCAGAGATGAATAGCATGCAATAGGGCCAATTTTCATGCTGACTTTAGAATTGATCTTGTTTTAATAAGGATGTTTTTACAACACAAAAACATTGATAAAAGAAAACATATATATATTATTTATACATTTTGCAGTAAACCTTTTCAGGACCTTCTGAAACGATCATTAAAAACATCCTTGATTAAAAGTACCACAGAACAGCCATGTTTCAACCCCATCTGTAATTGCTGTTCACTCTCCTCTACAAACGCCACATTTGTTTTCTTGTTTGTTAGCTGCCGAAATGAATCAATATTACCTTGGCAAGCCTTTCCAGAGACACAAGCATTTCCTCTGCAGAGGTTCTGGCTCAGAGCTGGAGTGTGTTGTTTAATCCTAACACACCCCACAGGTTGCATGTAAAGTGAAATAAGCAGCTCGTCTGCATTGTGCGACTCTGCTTTAACTGTTGTACCTGCCAGTCGTGACTCCACCTAGGGAAGGCTTTTAACAATCCCAGATTCCTTGCAAAACCAGTCGGTGTGCTGCGAATTTGTAGAAGAAAGGTACTGTTTGTGCTTTTGCTGTGTGTGACTCATGCTGAGACTTATCCACCCAATCCACAGAGAGTGAGAGACTGTGTGCTCTCATCTGACTGCTGAAGTTCTCTGTTTGTGATAATTTAGGCACATCGTAATGAGGCTCTGTGCCAAACCAAATTCAAAAATAAAACCTTGTTTTGTTGACCTCCTTGCATAAATATCCTGGCACAGCAGGGATTGACCTCACACAAAAATAAATGGCATTAAAATCAAATCATGTATTCCCTCCCGAAAGCCCTTGACTGTTCTGCCAACAACCTCAATATCCCAATGCTTCAATCAAGAGCAGAAAATTAGCAAATCCAGCCACATCACATTGATCAGTCTCCCATCTCAGAAACATCCAAATTCACACCCATACTATACATATATATACATATATATATATATATATATATTCAATAATCAGGGGGTTAGAATACTGAGATATTTTGAACCTTTTTTTTGTAAAAATATATATATATTGTTGATAAATATTTATGATAATAAATTTTATATTTATTATTAAGATGCAAGGTGAGTGAGTGAATCTCTTTTACTGTTAGGCAAAACCTTTTTTTAGTCATAGCTAAGTAATCTTAATTCATTATAGATAATTCTAAACTATATATCTATTGATATTTTTATAATTATATAATTTGATGAATAACTTAATGTAATTCAAATATGAATATAATACAACAACAACAACAACAACAACTGCATATTTTAATTAATTAAGAATTTTGTGCATTTTAATTTTATTATCTAACTAGCATAGAAATGTGACTGAATCTTAGTATTTTGCAAAACTTTGTATATGTCCGACTCCATAATTTAAACTTAATTATTTTTCATTCTTTTATTTATTTATTTATTTTTCATTTCACAAATTTATGTTTTACAAAAACTCCATGGCCCAAGTACTAAAATCTTGCTTCAAACTGAACATGATGCTTTACTTGGGTTCAGGGTTGCCAGGTTCTAGAAAAATGTCCAGCCCAAAGCCGAATTAGAATCAGTTCTTAAGTAAGTTGCATTACTTTCATTACTTGTGTAATTGGTTTGTGTTCCCTTTGGTTGGGAATGAGGGTTACAATCCTTTTATGCCTTTATTGTTGTTTTATACTCTAAAAAGCTGGATTCGTAAAGAAATGATATCGGGGGAAAAAGACGGAGCCAAACGAGCAACGGAAAACTTCAGCAAACCAAGAAGTTGTGGACAAAAATGTGCCATCCATCATTCTTATTGGACCATAAATGATATGAGCATACTCACTCCACGTAATAAATTCCATACTGCGGGTCCTCAATCTTCTCCCAGCCATATGGAAGCTCTGCGGAGAATCAGACAGGCATATCAGAGACAGCTTGAACAGATGCAAATCAGCCATGTGCTTGACACCAGGGGGGCTGATTTTCTGGCTGTGATTTTCTGAGAAGCCTAATACCAGGTAGGTCAAGAAGTCTGGGTGCATTTGTATGCGTGTTTGGGCAGAGAAGAGATCAGAAGGCTGAGCGCAGAGGAAACGAGGGGTGCAGGTATTAGTAAGCTGTATGGAAAATGACTTGTTATCTTTTCCTGTGATGTGAGAGTTGTGGGGAGCCACCATCCAGACATGGACGTGCGTGTCCATTGCAAAATGCGGTGCAGGGATTGTTTGTGTGAGATGACACACTGATGGGCTCTCAGCATGTCTCCAGCGAGCTATTAGTCAGGCGGGCCAGAGAGAGAGGCTAATGTCTCACGGCTCAGCTACGGTTTGTTTACTGGTGTGATCCATGAACAAACTCCATCTTACCTCCATCTTCGCATTTTTCGGGAGGCTTAGCTTTCTTTGCCAGTCGTGGGTCGAGCCAGGTCGTGGTCTTGGTATTATGACTACACAGAGAGGGAAAGAAGCATTAGCAGACAAACACTTGATAGTCATCCTAAGCTAACACTCATAAAACTCATCTAACACTCATAAAACAGCAGCAATATGACTATACCTCACTGTAACCATGTAAAAATGACACAAACAACAATAAACACTGCTCAATGATTGCTAACAACAGATGGCAAGATGTATTTTTTCTTCATATTTTCAAAGGAGTGATTTCTACCTATGTGTACACTTGGCGGTACGTAGAAACGAATCTTTTTTCGAGTCATTTCGTTTTTCGTTCGTTGAATGAATCAAATGACTCGAAGAAAGATTCGTTCATTTTGATGAACGAGTTCAAACAGGAGAGTCACGACGGCGCATCACAGAACAGAGCAAGGCGAGCATTTGTGCTTATAAAACTTACTTTTTTATTTATTTTTGAAATGGCCGATCGTTTCGCTAGATAAGACCCTTATTCATCGTCTGGAATTGTTTAAAGCCCTTTGAAGCTGCACTGAAACTGTCTTTTGGACCTTGAACCGTTTGGTCCCCAGTGAAGTCCATTATATGGGGAAAAATCCTGGAATGTTTTCATCAAAAACCTTAATTTCTTTTCGACCGAAGAAAGAAAGACAGGGACATCTTGGATGAGATGGGGGTGAGAAAATTATCAGAAAAAGTTTTTTTTTTTTTTTTTTTTAAGTGAACTACTCCATTAAAGTTAGAATTATAAATCTATTTTATAAATGTACAGAATCACATTCATAAAATATGTGCACCATACCTTTTTTCAACCTATTATATATTTTTTTAAATGACTAATAAATATATAATAATAATACATTATTATAAAAATATATATTTTATTATTCCTCAATAATTATTGTATAATTTCATGCAAAGCTTAATATACTATAATATATAGTTTTATATAAATATGAGTTAAACATTTCTGGTTTGGAATTGAAGGGGCACTTGAAACCTTACTGATGGGGAAAGAAAACACTATTTTATATATATATATTCTGTTAAATCCACATTAAAACATCAGCAAGACCTTTTCAAAAAGCACTTTAATTGTCTCTGCTGCGGAGGAGTGAGGAGTCCACTCAAAAAGCAAATGTGTTTAAAATCTGAAATATTCATGGCAAGGTGCAGCTCATCCTCCGAGACCCGTGCAGACAGACACGTGTGTGGAAGCAGGGCCCGCTGGGAAGGCTCCATTTAGCCGACTGTTTGCATTGTTCAGCGAATGAAGTATTGATTCGCTGGCTCTCTATTCCTCTGTGTGGATAGCAGAGATGCTTGGTCAAGGGCTGCGACCACAGATACAGGTAATGGACACTGAAAGGAAGAGGCTGTGAAAAATATCAGCTAGCTTCAGCTTCAGCATGCGAGAGAAGAGCTGTTTCAATTCCCAGCGCTCTCTCATGCTTGATGTGTCTGCAGGAGTTTACTGAGCGAGCCCTTAGCTGGAGAGTTGTGTGCATCTGGGATTGGTTACAGTGAATCAGAGGCGAAATTTGAAAAGATGGACCCACAAATCATTCTTTGCTTCCCTGTTTAAAAAGAGACCAGAGTGGGATCCTCACTGTACAGCACGACTTTTCTACAAAACACTCCCGTTCTATAAAACTGAAAGCATCATGTCAAATGATAGTAATCCCATATTCATGAATTAGTAGGTAAAAAAATACCCAGATGACTTTCTGCTACATCGAGATCCAGTTGTATCAGATGGACACTTTCCTGTCCCTGAGGCCAAGAACAGTGTACGGCTGACAATGCTAACAGGGCATGTTCAGTAGTATGTTCAGACTGTATTCACACTACACACTTGTATACTTAAAGAACTATAGATTTTTCTAGGTTGGTAAGATTTCTAAGTGTTTTTGAAAGAAGTATCTTATGTTCACCTGCAAAAACAGTAATAGTTTAAAATATAAATTATAATGTGTTTTCTATTTTAACATTTTAAAAAGTAATTAATTCATGTGATGGGAAAACTGAATCACATAATTACTGAGCAAGTAACATTTCTTATTATTATCAGTGTTGAAAACATTATTCTACTCAATATTATTGTGGAAGCTAATATTTTGTTCAGGATTTTTAGTTGAATGGAACATTTAAAACTATTTTTATGTAAAAAATAAATATTTGTCTTGCTGTTTTTACTGTCCCTTTTTGATCAATTTTAAGCATCCTTGCCAAATAAAGTTATTCATTTAAAAACATTACTGACCCCAAACTTTTAAACAGTAGTGCAAGTTCTTTATTAAACTGGATCTCCTATCATTTAAAAACTTTTTTTATTAGTTTTTATTACTTTTGAGTACCACAGAAAATAATTTTGAATTGTTCCTAATCTTGACAACAAACAAAATGCACTGAAAGGTCATAAGTGAATTTCTGTAAATACATTTTGTATTGGACTTATTTAAAGTTATATTCAGCTCAAAACATTGATTTAAAAATATGTATTTGGTCAATACATCTTTTCTACCAGATACACAAAATTTACACAATCAAGCAAATCACACAATTGCACTGAAATCAAAAATCTTCTTCCATTCAGTGCCTCATGGGCACAAAAGAGCAGAATGTTGCTTAATTAAGTGAATTTAAATAATAAAAACACATTTAACTAATTCCTGGAGCTAGATTGTTGTCAAACAAACATAGCCCAAATCCCAAACCCTAAGGAATGTTGGTCCAGGAACGTTTCCAACTTGGCAAACAGGACTTACTCTATAAAGTAGACCATGCCTGTCTCCGTATAGGCCATCTCCCAGCTCTTGGGCAGAGGGTCCTGGCCCTCGTCACGTGGCAGCGTGCTCCAGTTGCGGAAGTCCATGCTACTGCTTGACTGTGTGTAGCTGGGCACAGCCTTCCTCCACTCAGGTCCCTCCTTGTGTTCTGGGAGTGGAAAGAGCAAAAAGAAAGACAGTGAGAAAGAGGTGGGGAGAAAACAGAAATGGGGAGTAATACATACTTTAACTCTCTCTAGCACTGCAGAACAAACTTTCCAACCTTCTCAGGAGACGGAAAGAAACAGAGAAAGAGAGAGAGAGAGAGCAGACAACAAGAGCCACTAGATTTGCATGCCAGGACTGATGTTCAGGGGCAGGGCCAGAGCTAGTAACACTTCCGTGGAGCCGATATCTGTCGCATACACAAATGTGCGTCTGTTTGTCTTTGTGGGAGCGAGACAGACAGGCAGAGACAGTATAAGAGGGAGAAAACATAACATTTAAAAGTCCCATCCTTCAGTTTAAAGAGCCAGTAGTCTTTTTGTTTATTCTAGAGTGCACATGCTCCTGAAGCTCAACTCTTATAATGAAACATGATGCTAATGAAGCTAGGCCAGGGTCACGGGTTTGATTCTCAGGAAACAATACATAGTGATAATGTATAAATTCAAATATATACATAAATATAATTTTATACAACGCAACTATTCAAAAGTTTAGGGTTATTAAGCACTTTTTATTCAGCAAGGATGCATTAAAGTGTTCTATTTAAGCATATTAGAATGATTTCCGAAGGATCATGTGACACTGAAGAGCGTTGCCATCGCTGAAATCAATTTTAATTTTAGTGAATTTATATTGCACTACACTCTTTAGCATGATTTGAGCTAAAGAAACTACATTTAGGATCTCATTGCTGTGAGACTTAAAATAAATTAGACCTTAATCTAGACAAAGTTTTTGGATATTTTGCTCTCTCTGCAATCAAATAGTGAGCAGCTATTACTTGTATATTTGTTAAACACAGAAACCAGTTACACGAGGTGTTACCAATATGGCCTGATTGTCTTAATGGGACATTGATAGAGGAAAACATGCCTGTGTGTGTATTGTTCTGGATATGGATATACTAGTTGTACACGTTTTGAAGAGGTGAGGTGGGGTAACGGCATGAGGTGGTGAAAGTGTATTGCTATATGAAAGTGTAATATGTAATAAAAAGAAAGTGTAATAAAGTGTGAAAGTGTAATATGATTTTGCTGACATATTCATGATTAAAGCCTGTTCATCAAAAAGATTTTAGCCTGGAACTGGGACGCCAGCATGTGCAGCAGATGAATCAGCACTTGTTGTATCTGTGCCGTAACCATGGCGGCACCATTCATGACACAGGCAGAAACATAAGCACTGGCATATCAATAGCAAATATCTTAAGAAGTATGTATTTTTTCCTACTATGGAAGTCAATGGGGATTGAGATCTGTTTGATTAGATTGATCAGAACAAATAAACACATAGAGGTTTGGAACAACTTGAGGGTGAGTAAATGATGAATTCTGTATTTTCAGCATCAGGATCATGAATATTTTTTTATGCTGGTGTGGTGTCACCATTGTTCTGTGCCTTGGGTTACTTAGAACCAAGTCCAAGCCTTTTCATTTACACCCCCCATGTAGGAATTTTAATCAACAGTACATTTTTTGTTAACCTTTTACCATATGTCTGGGAGTATCGCAACAATATTCTATGTGTGTCTTGTATTGTGATATGTATTGAATAGTGACATATACGGTCACAATAGGGTATTGTTACACCCCTAATAATAACCCATAAGGCTCGCTGCAAAGACACAGCTAGCCATTTTTAGTAAAGGAAATGTAAACGATAAAAACCACAAACACGCTTCTGGGTTGCAAAATCTTCTCAGTTTGCACTTGGCAAAGTCCAGTTAGATACTATTGTGATTTGCATCTTGTCCTTGCAGTGGTGCCAGAGGGTTTACAAAGCTCTATCCAATCATAATGGAGGACAGCTGTGAGGCATCTTGTCCAACTGGATTTGCTAAGAAAAACACAGCCAACAAAGCCTCCCTCAGTGCATCCAGAAACCTCTCCAGGTCCTAGTGGTGAAACAATTCAGATTTCCTCCAGTGACCCTCTGAAAAATAGCGCATGTTTATCGAGGTTTTCATGAGGTCTCAGTTACATAGACTTTCACTGAAATGAATTTAAAACTTAAAGCCTAAATAAACTCTTTTCATGGTATTAATCCAAAGTAAAAGTCCGTCTGTAGACTCTAACTCATTCTATTCTGAAGGTTGAAAAGCCAATATTATGGGATTGGGATAGGATATCAGTTCCCATGATGATCAATCATACCAACACAAACAGAACAGTAGTAGCATCTGCAGTGGGTTAATGTGCTGTGAATATAAAATGTTTTGGGTACTTCCTTCCCCATGCTCACCACCGCTGCATGCGAATCATCTGAAGGTGTTCACTGTTCTGTATCCCATTGATTTATGGGAAAGAATACTTGCTGTGCAGGGAGCATCAGTAACTCATTCCTACTTTCAGCATGATGTAGCCGAACTCCAACCGAGCTCCCCAGAAGTCTTCCCACAAACCAAAACTTTGCAGAAGAAATACCATTCTAGGAAGTAGCAGATACAATATTGCGGATTTCTGGTACAATGGAGCGATAGGAGGGCTGGGATATGCATTGCCCACTCTTCGCTCCAATGAAATCACAAAATAAAATTCAAAGTCATCAATTCATATATATACAGTAGGTGGCCCTAGGTGGTTGGTGGCAGGAGTGCACATTAGCGTGGCAGTGGGTTGGCTCAAACTGAATCATTAATGCAAAAATTAATGTAAAAGACTAATAATAAGCCTGAGGCATCTTTTTAATGAGAAGGTAGAAGACAGAGTGCCGGGGCTGGTACACAAGTCAGAAATAGGTAGCACGGCACAGCAGTTACTCTGTGGAAAGAGTGCAGAGACACTTTTATGCCTCATAGCAAACAGCAGTCCTTTTAACATGCTCATTACTTAAAGTGATGCCAACCACACGCGCATTCATTGTGAACTCAATACGGTCTATTTATGCCACTGGATAATCACTGAAAAGAAAAAAACTCAGTGTATTAAAAGCTCAACTACTGTTCAGGTATCTAAAACAACTTGATTCCTGCAGAGCATCAGCGGTTAGAAAGGTCCAAAACTCTGGACTTTTAGTAGTACCTAGTCCTAGGATTTCTATATATTTTAATGATTATAATCACAACTCATAATAACTGCTTTAATGAGAAAATTGTTTCTGTCTAAATATGTACATGATGTTAGCTAACTGAATTATTTGTATTATCTTAGAATTGTACATTTCTGACATAAGGCCATTACTTCGACACAGTTACTCATATCTGATAACAAATTACACTAAATTGTAATGTAGAATGTGTAAAGCTACTTTGAAACTATATGTATTGTGAAAGATGCTAGAAAGTGACCCGGCTCAAGCAACAAGATAACAGGTTTGATTCCGAGGTAACATATACATGTATACTGGTTAAAAATAAATGTAACAACATATACTGAATGCATATTGCTATGAGATTGGCTGTTTATTAGTACTTAAAGCACATATTAATGCCTTATTCTGCATTACCAAATTATATATCCCTTAATCCTACCCCATCCCTAAACTTAACAACTACCTCACTAACTATTAATTGAGTTTATTGAGGCAACAGTCATAGTTAATAGTTAGTTAATAGTGAGAATTGGACCCTGATCTAAAGTGAGCGAAGCTTTTAAAGGGTACCGTCCTAGTGACCGCTTTTGTGTAGTTCCACTCAAACCATCCTTCAGTACCAGAGCTCTACTCTCTTTATACATTTGACTGCACATCCAAGGATCCCTCTGTAAAGCTCTTCATATTGCTCTCAGGGAACACAATCAAATCTGTCCATAACAACTTAAGCTCTATTGACAGCAACTGTGTCCTCTTGTCGAATTACCAGAGTAAAGTCGCTCAGCTTGCAAAAATGGAGTAAGAACACATTTACAGTAATACACTTACAATGAAAACCAAGAAAGTGAAGTCGCTCAGCTTGTAAAAATGGAGTAAGAACACATTTACAACAATGAAAGCCAAGTGTATCACATGGTTTAGAAAATATTAACCATACCCTAATGCTTAAACATTACACGTGCTGTGTTGGGGAAGTACTTTCGAAACTAAAAGCTAGTCATCATTTTACGTATACTACACAGAAGCTACCCTTTTGTAGTTAGCTTAAGTAGTTAGCTACATTTATAAATATATAAAAAATCTTATTATATAAATATATAAACTTTTATTAATATAGACATTTTATTGATCTAATTAATATATAAAATACACATTAAAAACGTTAATTAAATCACTTTAAATTAACTCATTAGACAACATTATATACAGAATACGCTGTAATTTATAATAAAAAAAACATATAATATAAAACTTAATATTTTGCTACAAAAATTAGACCTAAAATGCGGTGCAAGCTCTTGAGTCTGTGAATATTTTTTTTTACTTTCCAAGAGAGGTAATTACAAATACAGTGAATCTGTCTTTCCAACACCTCATTTGAGAGAGAAAAGTTTATTTGCATCAGATTAGCATCTTCACTCACTGATTATGCAATACAAAGAAACGTTTAAAGCACTGTTTTGTTGTGCTATACGGCTAACCATCAGCGTGGTAATGGAAATGCGAAGTTGTTTAGCTAGTATGACACAATTGAACAAATGTAGCATATTTATCCTGGCTTTTTTAATTCGAAAAACACTCCCCAACATAATACATGGTGTGATAAAATCACTTACAGACAGTGTCTTTGCAAATTCATCTCCAATCTTTCAACTCTGCTGAGTTGCATTTGTACCCATTTGTACAGTATTGATTTTCTAATTCTCTTCCATATAGAGAATATGCAGTACATTACAATTCTGCACGGCCAAACAAATTCAGAATCTATATGAACTCACTCAATCTTGTTAAACACACACATTCCCAGTCTCACCAGTGAGCCCATTGACAATGGGTGGTCTCTCGTCCTCCTCCTCTTCCTCAGGAGCTGCGCTGTCCTTTCTATCCATTTTGCTGACCGACGTGGTGCGTTTGCGTTGAACCTCCGTGTCAAACTCCTCGTCGAACAGAACCTGGTCTACCAGGTCAGGCTGCACTGGGCTGGGCTCTGCAGGGGGTTTTGGGGTGCCATAATAATTACCTACAAAAGACAAAGAAAAGAAAAAATATCAACATTTTTTACATTCTGCACTGATTTTGCAAATACCGACACAGCAACTAAAGCAGTTGTCGTTGAGTTCAAAAATTAAATATCACTCTGCATATTAAATTTAAATGCATTTTAACAATAAATTTAACTTGTATTTTTAGACACTTTTATGAGAGATGACAAATTATGGGAAGAAAGCAGGTGAATGGAAATAACCAATGTCCGATTAGAACTCACATTGCCTAAACCGTTAACCTGGCTCAACATGTCGGAGCATGTGCACTACCTGCAGTGGTTCTTAACCTTTTTGACTCCAAGGACACGCTTAATCCGAGACAAAATTCGAGCTGAACAGACATTAGAGTTTATTTATTTTAGTACAACATAGTTACTGTTGTACAAAAAACAAAAACTCTCATATATGATGTCTATTTAATGTTGTACGTCTTCATTTTTAGTGGGTATGTTACTATAACTAAATGTAAGTAATTTTAAGACCTTTTGGGAAGTTTGCTGAGGCCCCCTAGTGGGCTCCAGCTCCCTGCTTGAGAGCTACTGTGCTCGGCTATGGCTTGAAGCAATCCTGCCATAATTTTCCCAAACATATTTAGTATTTAGTTTGTAGGAGCAAAAACCAAGCTGAGCAAACCCCATTCGGATTAAACGGTGCTTCTGAAGCGTTGCGTCTTCAAAGCATGGCTGGTCTCTGAACTCTAACAACATCGAACCCACTATATCTTCGGTAAAGCTGTAAGTCTTGTTTGTTGTCTGACAACACTGCAGCACTCCTCTGGACCCCAAACCAGAACTCTGCCACTTTATTGTTATTTATCGGCAACGGTCCACCACTAAAGATTAAGACAGTATGGCTGCTTCAACTTCCCAGAGAGGCAGGAGGTCTATTTTATAAGCTTTACTGTCCTGTGTCATCTGGATAAACTTCCTGGGGTGAGAATAGTTTCAGTACAACGCATGAGAAATGTAGCACTTCATGCTGACCTACTTTCCCAAAAGCATCGACTACTTGACAAAACTGGAGAGGACAGGACGATAAAAACAATATTGATTCATTTTTCACCCGTGAGATTTGAGAAGTAAGCCATCACAATCTATTCCATCTTACAAGTGCTGTCACATTATAGACATTTAGGACATTGAATTGATGAGGAGATTTATTGCTTAAACCTAGCACAGACCCCTTTTATTGCTTGAACGACGGCAAATGAGAACTGTGATAGGTTCGCTTTCCTTTCCTAAAATGACACCCCATTCATAAAATCACTGACTGACTGCAAAAGCAGTTAATTTACACTCTCATTTAACATTATTAGCCTTTACTTGATGTGGAACACACACACACACACAAACACAAAACAATATGGGTTTAAAAACCTCAACACTGAGTTAATTTTAATGTTTTCCTGAAAAGAAGTATTTGAATTTATGACATCTTTATTGTGCTAATAATTCACTTACAGCGGTGTTCGTTGATGTTAGAGAGACGACTTTATCACGATTCTTTTTTCAGACTGTTTTATTAGAAGTGACTGAGCAGTACAGCAAAACTAATTTGCCAATTAAAAAGGTAACAAAATATAAAAGATAAAAAAGAATGACAGGCCATTTAGACAAAAAAAAAAAGGCAGGATGAAAATCTTTTTATACTTGTTTTAAAAAATAAGAACAAAGAAGCAGATTACAAATAATAGGACAAATACAATACAATATAATATACAAATTAAATAAACGGTTCTTTAAAATTCCCATTTTCCAAGTATCGTATTTAACTAGCATTCAAGTAATAAACTGTATGAAACAAAATGTGACCCTGGATCACAAAACCAGTCACAAGTAGCATGGGTATATTTTTGGCAATAGAAAACAATAATGCGAATAACATGTTTAACTGGCAAGGCTTTAAAATGCACTCAAATAATCAACTTTCACGATTGCGAAGAACTGCAATGTCACGTGAGCATAACCCTACCACTGTGTCGCTAAACATGTAATGTGAATATACAGTAGGCTACGCCACGACAAGTACTGCATGTTGGGATGTGCCGTGCCAGAACTGCAACTGACAGAATGTGCACTGCAGCACAATACTATGATATTTCTTTAAAAGATCGTGATCGTGGAGAGGAGACATTTCAATCGTCCTCGATCTAAAATCGTGATAACCCTCAAATTGTTTGGAAATGGCCTTATCGCCCTTCCAAGATTGATGGGCAGCAGCAATTGATTCCCTAAGATCAACGCTGATATCTTTCCTCGGCACGGAAAACACCTCAATGCTCTAGACCAGCAAACTGAAAAAACTTCTGGTTTTATAGAGTTGGTCACGCTGATGATCATTTGAAGACATTTGATTTTGCAGCGCCTGACTTCTATACCCTCTTAATTCCTATGGGAGCAGTAAGAGTACTTAGTATGTCACACATGGCTTCTCCATTTTGACCTAGTTTTATATGTGTAATATGTCATGTGTTGTTGTTCATCTGAGGTTGTATTTAACTAATTTTAAGACCTGCTAAGATATTTTTTATGCCCTGATACATAAAACCATAGAATTCAACAGGGTGTACTTTCTTTTTCACATGACTGTATATATTATATATCATTTTAACAATATATATATTTTTTTTTGCAGCTTTGTGTATATATATATATATATATATATATATATATACACACACACATACATATACATAAGAATATTAGTTTAAATTGGTTTAAATTGGATTTTGAATCCCAGTTTCTCGATATGGCCTCAGACTTTTGGAGTCCACTGTATGAAATGGAAATATCAGTGCAACATAATCATTTTCCCCCATGCAATCTGTACTTGGTGTGAACTTCGTGGCTGCACAGCAGATGGACAGTGCTTTAACAGAAGTGTTCACTGTCAACAGCCGTTATCATCTCCATCAACAAGCCGGTAGGCGATCCATGAAATAAACCTGCTTACTCAAAGCAGTTTTGCTGAGTGTCCTCTCCAGATTTCATAAATGCATAGAAGCCTGCGTGACTGGAATAACTGAAGTATCCAAAAAGGCAAAGTTCAAAGTAAGGGCTTTAAAGAACACAGCTATGCAGTGGGAAGTAAAAATAAAAGGATCTATTATCAAACATATCATGCACTGTAGACACCCTCAACAGTGGTATCCCATCACTCCATGATGATACTCAACACAGTCAGTACTGTAGCAGAGACTCCCTCTGCAGTTTTATAATTTCGGAGTGTTGTCGCTCTCTCGCTGAAATACCTGATGATTTTGGATTTATATGTAAAATGCTATTCATCATAATGCAAAAAAACAGAGATGTGTTATGTCCGATGTGAGATCCACCAATCTTTTTGATTGGATAAAGTGAATGGAGAATATCATGTTTTTTTGTTGGCGCCTATATTAAGACATCCAAAATGTAAGAAATATGGGTAACTATAATTCTCATTTGTTAACATTAGTAAATGCATTAGCTAACACGAACTAACAATACATTTTTAAAGCATTTATTAGTCTTATGTGTTAACGTTAGTTAGTTATATACCAACGTGTTGTTAAAGATATAAATCACTCATCTGCAGTACTTTATAATATATATAAATAATATATATAATCCAAAATGTATAATATATATGGATAAAATGTTACCACATATTTTGTTTGTCAGGTTTAATATATTTAAAGCTAATTATTGGATTGCATTTAATTTAATTTGAAAAAAAAAACAGGTGTAAACTCCTTTTGTAAGAACCGTTTTACATTTATTTATTACTAAAATGGTATCTTCACTTGGCAATGAAATTGTTTCTTGTTTTCACTGGCATGTCTCTTAGGTGTTGAGGACTAGTGCATATTTGAAACAATACGAGTAAAATACTTAAGTATTGTTCAAATCAGATACCCTAAAACAACTCAAGTCGTATTAGAATTGGTGACTTGTAACTTGTAATTTCTTCTGTACTTTTACTCAAATATGGTTTTCATGCACGTTTTACACCTCTGCCTTGCGATTACTCTTAATTCATGACTGTAAGACATGTTTATCATAAAATGTCTTGATTATACATCAGCATGCGGCACAGTAGAAAAGTGTGATCAAATCATGGCCATAATCATGGCATGTCACGGCCTCTGGGGTCACCTGTCAAACAGCGGGCACAGCATGATGGATCGCTCATAAACTGCGCCATCCTTGATTAACGGGCAAACACAGCAAGGAGGAGGGAAGGGTCGTCCACTGGGGTCTATGATGATTTTTGTTAGCATTAATCTGTGGGAGATGACTGGGCGCTGTCAGAGGAATGGCGATGATTTGAAACCATCTTCCTTTCAACACTGTGCACTAAATGGCATAGAGGAGGAAAGATAGACAGGCTGATAGCAGTAGTTATTTAACATTTGAGTGTTTTATGTCAAATAAATATCATGCCTGCTCCAGCGTCCCCGATGAACTGATGGAGGGCGACAATTCACCCATGACGATCAACAAGCACAACAAATACAGACCTGCCACGGAAATTTTCCCTGAATGATGTTTACTCTCTCACACACAATCACCCACACAAGCACATACAGCCTCACACCCTTAAAAGGAAATTAAATACGAGTTGACTCATCTATAACCTTTACCCACACGGGCCAAGTTGCAGTGCAATTTAAACCTCGTTGCACTAAAAATACAAATCAAAACATACAGTTTAGTCGCAGAATTATGTTGCACATGAGCATCTATTAAGCTTGTGTGCATTGTAACAACATCTTTCCTTTGCCTATAACTGTTCTTAAGAGTGCATTAAGGCAGGGGTTTTCCACATTTATCAATGTCAAGCACCCCCAAATTTGGGGCACACAACGCTTTAATTTTACAATGTAATAAGCAGAAGGAAAAGTTTGTCTCATTTGGGAAAATTACTTCAAATCCCTGAGTTTCTTTGTGTGGGACACTGAGAGGACTGTGGATGTATGGACAGATGGAAAACAATATTGCCCAAAGCCTTTTTGATACTATTGTGGGATGTTGGGGATATTGCTTTGGGCAGTGGGATGCTGTTGTTCAATCCTCTTGATTCTGCATCTACACAAACAGAAGAGAGTTCTTGCACTCGTTCAGAGATGAGAGGGATTCTCAAATGGTTTTTAGGACACCATCAATGATAAAGCTCATCCTGAGGAGAGTCATCCTGGTTCTAAAACAAGGAATCTCAGGAAACATTCAAGGGTGCCTCAAGATGACTTGAAATTATTTAAAATAACTCAAACAAACATTGATAAATACTTCGATTTTTAGTTGTTTTGGCTTATTTTATTTTAATTCACCCCCTGAACAATTGTCTTTTTTTCTTTGTTTTCCAAGGCTGTATTTATTTGATGAAAATACACAAAACAGTAGCTAATATTGTGAAATATTTTTATGATGTATAATAACTGTTTTCTATTTAAATTTATTTTAATTTAACACTTAAGAAATCAAAAATCATTCTAAGATGAGGATTTTCTGCATTGTACTCTCTAAGGTTCCGGAAGCTTCGTTGTAGTTCTTGGAAAGTGGATTGTGTTAAATAAAATATCTCCCTTTGGAGTGGACTTTAAGCTTTGTAACTTTGATCTTTTTATGTTCATACAGCAACATTACACACTAAAGGTGAAAAAGTGAAAAAGCATAATAGGACCCTGTTACAAAATATTTGATTGGGCTGAAATTGTGAGGAATCTTTTTATTTTATTTTATTTTTTATCCTCATCCAGTAAATCGTGAACAACTGGAAAAGTCATGGGGCCATTACTATTGTTGTGGACAATGAAGGGCCTTGGAGTAAAAAAGGTGGAGAATCACTGATCTAGAAGATCCTTCCTGGGACATGGCAAAGAGAATGGAGAGAGGGTGTGATTGGAATTGTGGGTGGAACGTGGACTGGTTTACAAACATTGTCTACCTGCGTCACTCTGAGGTGGCTGTCCTTCAATATATTCGACATTGAAACAATCATTAGAAAAGCAAGGGGATTTGCAGTAGATTTCCCTCAAGGGATTCAAATGCAAGATCTCATTATTTTTAAATCGCTGTAGTAACATTTGAACAGGACACACAGAGTCTATGCCATAAAACTTGGGCATAACCAGTTACCATTGATTACATCATGCTCCAGGCATGTTGAAAAACTGGTCAATTATTTCCTTAGCCTTGAAAAAGCTAAACTCAATCTCTGGAGAACACATAAAATCACTCTCTATTGCATGCAGACAACATTATCTCTAGCTTAGAGTTTGCTCTTGAGCATACAGTAGCTGAATTTATACAAATGCACAAAACTTGTGAATGGTGATAAATGCCATTGGAAAATTCCTAAAGGGCATCTAAGAAGCCTGAACATTGTCTTCCTGTTTCACACACTCAGTATAACCAAGACAGATTGTCTTCCCCTGCTAGTAAAGAGATGGAACTGAACATAATCTTGTCTGTTCATCTAAACCAACAGTGAACAATAACTGAAAGCATAGGCCACAAAATGTGTTTTCACTGAAGAAGATCAAAAACAAGACCATATTATGTTTTTTTTTTGTTTTTTGTTTTTTACCATATTACTATAATAAATATTATTATATTTATGGGAACCAAAGTCAAGTTAATCAGGCTAAGGGGTGTTTTTCCTGAAACTCCAAAATGAAATAGCTTTGTTTAAATACTACTATACAACCCGGTCTCATCCCAAGACATCATATAACTGACGTTTTGGGACGTCTTTTGACCATACGTCAATATTCGCCTTTTTAGGGCCCCCTTAAACGTCGGTAGATGAGGTTTTGGGATCCTAACTCTACCCCATACCTAAACCTAACCCTAAACCTAACCCGTCACCTAACTGACGTTAAAGGTAAAGCGTCAGTTGTATGACGGCCCGGGATCGCCATCTACCGACGTTTAAGGGGGCCCTAAAAAGGCGGATATTGACGTATGGTCAAAATACGTCCCAAAACGTCAGTTATATGACTTTTTGGGATGAGACTGTGTTATACTATACTATACTACTGTAAAGTCAAAGCTGAATCAGCATCATTACTCAGACAGCTCAAAAGAACAGCATTTATTAAAAATATATATATATATTTTTTACAACATTATAAATGCCTTTGCTGTCATTTTTGATCATCCTTGCTAAATGAAAATATTAACTTTAGTAGTGTATATTTAATACAAATATGTACTGTAATTAAATAATTTTTCCAAATAAGTAAAATATCCACAAATCAAATTTTAGTAGTGTATATTTAAAAATTAAAAATACTGTAATTAAATTATTTTCAAATCCGTAAAAGATCAACAAATCAATAAATTGCCCCCTATTACATGGGAAGGGTATTCTGAAGAAAGTCCACTATTCTAAATACATTTATAGGCTCGATGGATCATGCTGGTCTCAGGAATCAAATCCATGGAGCAGCATGTACCGGCTTACTTGCCAGATGTCATGGGAAGACAAGAAATCACTAACCAGAATTGGTGAGTGTGAAATTATCCTTCAGGCTAACATCCCAAGAGTCAAGATATTTCAGGTAAATGGAAAGGCCCTAGTAAAAGTCACCCACTGTTACATCCACATGGACAGATTTACTTCACCCTGGAAACAACAAGTCCTTCCCATAAAACAAGAGCACTTAGTGACTCATTGAGGGATCATTAACCAAACCTATCCCAGGCCAAAAGCTAGGGACTTGCCAAGCTTTTCAGGGGTTTATCAGTGAGGAACTCCACAGCTTTGAGGCTGTTGAGACATTAATAACTCAGTCCTTGAGACCCTTTAGGCATGTTACAGAGACGGCATGAATCACACAAGGTGAACACCCTCTGCTCTGAGCTATTTCAAGTCAGCAGAGGAGGTATGCGAAATATAAAAGAGTGTGCAATACAAACATTCAGCACACTTGTCTCCCTTTATTACCATAAAAACATGGTGAGTCAGCAACCAATGAAACTGAAACTACACAGTAAGTAATGTAGCAAACATACTTTTTGCTATGGTAATTACAGAATTTGAAAGCAATACTTCATGAGTGAAGGAAACCAATATTCAACTAAGATCAATCAAGATGACATAGTTACAGAGCTTGAATTGAAATTCCACTTCTTTTTCATATGCAATTAATTCAGCTTGAAATACTGTACATACAGACTTTTTTTTGTGTGATTGTAATTTTTAGCCTTAAAGGGATAGTTCACCCAAAAAATGAATGTTCTGTCATTATTTATTAACTCTAATTTCAGTCCAAACCTGCAAAACGTTCTTTCCTCAATGAAATACAAAAGAATATCCTTTTAAACTGTTCCCATATAGCAAAGATCATTGGACAACAGTGGACCCCATTGACTTTCAGACTTTCATTGTATGGACAAAAAAACACTGAGAATATCAGAATATCTAAGAATTTCTGAATATTTTCTATTGTGTTCTGCAGAAGAAAGAAATACAGGTGTAGAACAACATGAGGGTGAGCAAATGATGAATTTTACTGAATTGTGATTGGTCATATATGTCATATCTCCTTATATAATATAATTTACACTCGTGTTAAGCACGATGCACGCTGCTAATATCAGAATGCATTACCCTTTCTCCGATCAATGCATCTTGCAAACACTGGTAGTTCCTTCTGCAAATGCATCTAGTTTAGATTGTGCTTTCAGCAAGTATCTGTATAACAAGCCCACAAGAAATGACCCTTGACTCTCAGTGCTCCTACACACGGATTCTTACCATCATAGGTTCCGCTCTCCAGTAGCAGCCCGCTCTCCTCCAGCACACGAAACTCCCCCACGCTGATGAAGTTATAGTCCACACCTGGAACCTCCCCTTCGCGAGGCTGCCTCGTGGTACCTGACAAAGGCACACAGAACCATTAGTAACAAATTATTACCGAACAAATGCTCTTTTTGTGTAAAGTAATTATGTGCACTTTTTAAAAACGTTTTATTATAGGAAGGTGCCACAGAAAATAAGAAGTTATTTCAAAAACCTTTCATTTCATGTATAGATTTATTTCAGTCTAATCAGTTTAATCTATCTATCTATCTATCTATCTATCTATCTATCTATCTATCTATCTATCTATCCATCCATCCATCCATTCATCCATCATATCTATCTCTATCTACCGTATCTATCTATCTACCATATCCATCCATCCATCCATCCATCCATCCATACATCCACTATCCATCTATCTATCTATCTATCTGTACAGTAGTCATTTGTAGTGGATCAAAAAAGTTCATCAAAGTTGTCCCCAGACAAGAATGGATACATACAAAATAATTAGCACACACACATATATTGTGTAAACACAAACTTTTATTTTATATCTGATTAATCGCAATTAATGTTTGCACAGTAGTAATCTGAGTTTCACCTCACAATACAAAAACATTTCGAAGTTACTTAATTCCCGTCATTTAAACATCACACTCTTTTACACTCTGCTTGCTTCATCACTAAAGTTTCTCAAACCTGACAGTCACACAGCTGCTATTGTGAGGCGAGAGCCCAGATGCCAGTTTCTATGGTGGAGAAGGATAAACAAACAATTATCTCTGCAGTTTGCACAAGCCACATGAAACACCGCCAGCTGCTTAAGCACCTTAGCATCCACCCCAGCACACTTCACAACATCATAAATACCTACAAAGAAAAGATTGACCCTGCCTGGACATCTCTTCAAAGACTGCTTTGAGACATTTTAGAGTCACATTTCACATTATGAATTCTGAATGCAAACGGGTTTTTATATCATACAGAAGACAAATATTGGCAATACTGTATGAACTGTTTATTTTGAGACATCAAAAGTGGGATGAATTATATTCACACCTCATTATGGGCTCATGGTCATCTGTGAGATCCCTTAACAAGCTCTGGAAAAGTCTTAAATCTGCACAAGCGTAAAAAAGCAATCCTTCGAGATTGACCACCTAGGGCTCTTTTTATTTCAGCTTTCATTTTTATATATATATATATATATATCTGCGGATGAGGCAGAGAAGGGTTACCGTCGAGCCATAACGGATATTAATGCCAGCAGGAGGAAGGAGGGAGATGGAGGCTTCACCCGAGCTTCAAGGATTATGTAGCAATTAGGATTCCAGGCGTTCTTCTTTCCCGTATTTTTTTTAAGGACATGACTTTAATGACTTTTCTGTCCCTGTGTCCAGTGAGACATGCGCAACAGTTCCATTACAGAGGTTTTCAGATGAGCAAATGGTATGACGGCTTCATGAAGGAAATCGATTTATGAATCTTCATGCTGCTCTTTTCTCTAGCACATTTCACAGTGACCACATCTGTTAAGCAAGAACCGAAGTCTTATGACAGATTAATCACTGATAATCTTCTTCAGTGAGCTGTAATCAATAAGTTAAGAACTGAAGTGGCCAGGTGAAAGAAACGGATCAGTGATTGAATTGTTCTCTCATTGAAAAAGTTGATGCATTCGTAAATCTGACTGATTCAATAATCCATATTCTTCAAAATAAAAAAATTTGTATTTTACAGAATAAAAATTGAAAGGGGTTTGAAATAACACAAAGGTCAGTCAAATATTTAGGGGAAATAATCTTTTAACAGAAAATGTCTTAAACTTCTTAAACTGATTTAAAGGGATAGTTCATCCAAAAATAAAAATGCTGTCATCTTCTCCTCACCCTTATGTTGTGACAAACCTGTGTGAATTTCTTCATGTAGAACACAAGATAATACATTTTGAAGAACACTGGAAAACAAACAACATTGGAGCTCAATGGCTTCAATTGTATGGACCAAAAAAAAGAGACATTTTTCACATAAAATCTCTTTAAAAAATCTAGCAATATATTACTAAACATTAACTGCAATTAAATGGCAATACTGGTCCTCACTGTCCTTTACTGTGATTAATAACTTACAATTAAATCATTTTTTTAATTATTTAACTTGACTTAAGCCTATATGAACAATGCCAGTACATTCTGACATTACTGCTATTACTGGCGCTATTAAATATAATTAGCTCTGTCCATCATCTGGCTCTCATCATTGATGCTCATGATTATACTGGATGGAAAAGTGTGAATGGAGGACTGTGTTGAGTCATGGGTCTGAACACCCCCTAACAAGGACGGTGGATGAGAATGACATTAGAGATTCTAGGTCGGCTCTCACACTGAGCTTGTGTCTCATGCAATGTTAAGCCACAGCGAATGAAACATCTGCTCAGGCCTGGTGCCCATTAAAATCCCAAATCACAGTGAGCCACACACCAGCAAGCAGGACTCATTTAATGACAACAGTGGGAACTACATCACTACATCACATCACAGTAGGTTGGTTTATTACATTTACTGACAATATGTGAATGGTGTTTGCTGGTGCATACTCACCGACACTAGGGTGGGGTGATACTATGTGGCTTATAGGCGATTATCCCTGTAAATCTAACATTTATTTTTACATGAAACCGTTTATTGAACCGTTAAATGTATGGTACGCCATTATTTCACACTTTTTGTAAAAGAAATGATGTATTGATAATCAAATAAACCAAAGTTTCTTCAGTCCAGTGTGTTCATCTTGAAATATTACGAACAGTATAAAAGTTATTCTTATGTTTACTTTATAAAAATCATTAAAGATTTCACAGCAAAACCTTTGGCATGACCTAAAGGTGGATGTTTTTATACTGTATGACAGGCCTTTCACCTAATAAAAATGCAATGAATCAAACTATCAATCAGACGACAGAGGGATAGTGTGATAGTGGGATAGTGTGTTTAGAGGGAAAATGTGTATCAATTATGATACAATCGTCTTTAGTGTTTCACAAAAGAAAAAGTCAAGCAGGTTTGGAGCGACATGAGGGTGATTAAATGACAAATGACAGAATTATAATTTTCGGCTCCATTCCTTTAATACTTCGCATTGAGTGTTTCTTGAAATATATAACCTTAAGTATGAGCAACATTAATAGTGATAAGTAGCTTAACCAACAGTACTAATTAAAGGATTACACAGCCCAGGAGAAAAAAAAGCACAAATTAAAGATGTGCGAGTAATTAAGGCATATGTTTCACTAATTCACTGGTTTGTGTCCAGACCGCAAATTATGTACAAGAGAAGATCAAAACACATTTCGTGATTAAGTACTGGTTCGTTGGCATGGATGTTTTTAAGAAAAAAAAAATAAAAATCATTGTTCTGCTCCAGACAGTCTGTATCTGAAAAAGGTTGCCAAGAAATTCCTGAGCCAATACTGGCAAGTAATTCTGCATTACCTAACAGGTTTAATCGATCATGATTATGTGACATTAGCTCAAACAGTACAGACATTGAAAGTATGGAAACTAAAATTGGCACAAGAGAAATGGGAGAGAAGGAATAAATTGTCATCAAGCAGGCATCAGTGGCCTCCGGCATCTGCTTGTTATAGCAGGCAAGTGGCAGGAATCAGGATTAAATACCCGTTCACACCAAGAGCGATAACTATAAAGATATTAGCATCCACACCAACAGACGACAACCTTCTGTTTATTATGACCGCGATCTGCAGTTCTATAGTCTGCCACTTTTAATAACCAAGCTCTTTAAAGTCAGGTGGATTATGATTGGCTGTCAATGTTTTTATCATTCATCAGCTGGAAACAATCGTTCTGAAAGTGATTCCAACAATTTCATTCCCGTGTCATTATCGACTCTCAGCTGCAGTTTATGCGTCCACCAGTGCTGGGTGAAGTGTCTATTCTAGCAGGTATAAAGATAACTGTAGAAAACACATGCTGAGTCTATTTACTCTTTCAATACACCCTTTAGAAGAAATTACTGCGTACAAACAAGCACTAGGCAGAAGCACTTTTAAATCCTTAAGAGTTGTTTTAGATTAGACTAGATTAGACATTTATATTCATCTAAATGATAACAAGTGCTGTGTGTTGGTTGCACCCTGTTTCCAACTTTGTTTGGTGGATCAGGACAAATATAGGATTGCACACTGATAAAATAATTCAGATTCCAGGCATCACATCTGCTCTAATAAATAAAAAAAAAATGACTGATTTCACCCAGTGTTCATTATTTTTAACTAAAATTAAAACAAAAACCATTTAAAAAACGTGTAGGCTACATTAAATGGAATTAAATCAAACTTAAAGGGTTAGTTCACCCTAAAATGAAAATTCTGTCATTATTTACTCACCCTCATGTTGTTCCAAACCTCTATGTGTTTATTTGTTCTGCTGAACACAAAGGAAGATATTTGGAAGAATGTTTTCATCAAACAGATCTCATTCCCCATTGACTACCATAGTAGGAAAAAATACATACTATGGTAGTCAATGGGGAATGAGAGCTGTTTGATTAAAACATTCTTCCAAATATCTTCCTTTGTTTTCAGCAGAACAAATAAACACATAGAGGTTTGGAACAACTTGAGGGTGAGTAAATACTGACAGAATTTTCATTTTTGGGTGAACTAACCCTTTAACTTAGCTAGTTGCCTAGACAAGTACCTAGTCCCTACTGGCTCTTTTTCAAAACACAAAACACTTATAACGAACATGTTTGAAATAAATATTGTGGTGAAATGTGTATTTAAGCAATAGACCTTTTTCACAAAAACCGGAAATACGTAATCGTTGTGGAAACGGAGTTCCCGTCAACTGTCGACACATTAGAAAAACCTACTCTGGGAGGAGAAAATTGATCAGAGAGTCTTCAAAACTTCGAAAAAAAGGAAACTTGTCATGGTCCAGTTGTTGATGACTTTGTAAAATGCTATGGTGATGCTTGTCTGCAGCTGATGTATCTAAGACCAAAGATATGACTATTGATTTCAGAACTGAAGCTCATTCTTCCCAATATACGTTCATTATAGGTAAGAAGGTGGAGTGTGTGGAAAGTTATTCATATTTAGGGAGTATTATTTACAATAAACTGCATTTTGATGTGAATACCAGAAAGAAGTCTGTCAGTTTTATTAAACAGTTATCCTGAATTTTTTGCACTGCTGTTGCTATAGAACGATCAAAGATAAAGAAAAATTATACATATATTAATTTATTCCTTGTACACTCAGATTGTTAAATACTCAGAATGGTATATATTAATATTTTAAATTTATATGTAGCCCACTGTTGTGTGTTCTTATTTATCTTGTTTTATATTGTGGTGTATATTTTTATGTGCTTATTCCGCTGGATATAAATATCTTAATAAAGTTGAACATGAATTAACGTTACTTACTTCAAAAATACACAAAACATAAAAAATAAACAAACAATGATGGCTTATTAGTGAATGCTGACATGAGAAGTACAGAAGATCACAGGATCAATAACATCCCGCCAGATTGCCTGAATCCAGTTCCTTCGAACTTCATCGACAGGGAACTGACGAGGGAAGGAATGAAAACGACAGGTATGGCTGCTTTTGGGAATAACCAAAAAGATCTGTACGCAACAACTCTCACTAGTTGCCTTCGGCGCTATCTGTTATGAATGGAGCGGAAGAAGATTACCACGACCATTGCGTATTTCCGGTCACAAATACGGAAGTTGTGAGAAAGGTCTATGAAGATGCATATTGCATGTCTCCTGGGACTTTTATTTTGAACTATATACTCATGCTTTAGAAGTCCTAACGTGTCAACATGTGTAATACACAATCCGTTAAACTGCAAAATAAACAAGTTTTGCTGTACATATATTTTCACTATAAACCAGAAGTATACATTTATAATGAATGAATAAATGAATGAATGAATTAAGCATTACGCTTTACATATCATTAGAACTGCAGCACTGCTCAATGTCATAACTAAATACTACTAGAAGAACCTGGAAGAAAGATTGCCTGTAATATTTACTCCAACGTATACATATTGTATTCCACACAGTGCACTAAACGGAGCAATTTCATACACCGCTAGAGTGCTGACTGATACAATCAGAGCGTTCACAGTACCCATGATACGTTGGACGGAAGACGTGTCACTGACACCATAATTACTGTCGAGTAGCCAGTGTCATGGCAGAATCACCTCAGTGTGACCTGCACTAACACATTTAATGTGAGACGGGGTCAGACATGTGAATGTGTGGGATACTCACAGGGAATAGTGCGCAGGTACAGGTTGTCTCTGATCACCTGCTGGAGCTTGTGGTCCGAAGAGCCTTTTTGGAACTGCAGGCTGAGGTAGTGACGCAGATCTGTGTTCAACACTTTACCTGTAGAGAAAGAGATTTCATCCGGGTAAACTTTGGGTAGTTTGAGTACATTAAACAGCATTTGCAAGCCATTTCATATTCATATTATGACCGTATTCCACTTGAAAAGGGACATTCATTTATTATTCCACAAAATCTAGGGTTTTTCCATCACGTCTTAATTTTATTCTCAAGGAACAGATTGGAAGCAAAAGTGCTCTCCATATGACGGATCAGCTGTGTGGGTGACAAACAAAATGCAAACAAACAAAAGTGAAACATTGACAGTTGACAGCAAATGAGGTGAATATGACTAAATCATGCTAAACTCTGGAAACTGTCCCAGTCTTCTTCATGATTAAATGACAACCTTGATAGGTGCAGCAGGAAGTCCAGCTGTTTCTAGCGGGACAAAAAGATCTTTACTGGCTTCCATATATGAGCATCCAGATGTGTGAATGCATGATGAGTGTTAGCAAAACAATGCAGGTTCTATTGCTTTGCTCTTGCAGCAAAGTGCCAGGAGTTCAGGCGGAGTTCAAGGAAGTGTGGAGGAGGTGCAAACCATCCTGGAGGAAGGAGGGGAGGAGACCACCCTCCAAATTAGAGAATGAGAGAGTCAGAGCCAAGTTTCCCTTGGCGACTAAATTATGGGAGGGAGGGCAAGAAAGCGACGCCTTTTTGAGCAGCTGTTGGTTTTACGCAGCTGATGATGGGTGGGGAGTGCATTAATAAAGCATTGTTTTGGACCCCATTGTTTTGGACCTGCCTGGCTATCCTCACAGATCTCTGTGATCATGGATCCTGACACACTCTGGCATTTCATAACAGGTAAAAGAGCTCCTCACGCTACTTCAAAAGAGGTCAAGTCTTTCTTTTCTTTTCGATTTTAGTCTAACCGTTTGCAGAGCTCAACAATGACACATTTATTCTTCAGTAGCTCAACACTTTCACTGATCCCACTACAAAAGAATGATATTTTTAACAATGCAATTTTATATCTGGCAAAAAACAAAACAAACCCATATATATTTACAAAAATATGCAACAAGCTGGAGATATATAGCTATTACATTATATTGTATTAGAACTAATACTACAGGGCTGTTGAATGCTTGGATCTAATTGGTTGGCGAATGTTCTATGGTGTGCAGTTATTTTCCGGTAAACACACTGTCCACATTACAGTTCCAAATCACTTTGCCGAATGATTTCAGTTTTTATAAAGGTTCCATGTTTTTTTGCACCAACTATACACAGAGTACGGACACACTCTCGCACAGAAACATGTTGTCAGTGCAGTGCAATGACAATTTTATCAGTAAAATAGTTACAACTTAAAAGCTACTTGACATTTCTCACTAGTGAGGTAATAACGGCCCTGTTCTTGGAGCAGATACACTTACAGTTTTGAAATAAGAAGAGACACTGCTGCCAAACACTTGAGAGACACACAGGGCTCTATTTTAATGATCTAAGCGCATAGTCTAAAGCAGCGGTTCTCAAACTGGGGGCCGTGGCCCCCTGGGGGGCCACTATATGGCGCTAGGGGGGCCGCAAAGAAATTCTAGAATATGAAATTATTTTAAAAAATGATTTTACCTGTATGTAAGTTTGTATTGTCCTATGTGAAATCTGCATTGCATGATTTATTTTATATTGTAAAACTTGTATAAAATTGTATGTCTTCTATATTGAAAAACTATTTCTTTAAGTAGAGTAGAATTTTTTTTTTGTTTCTTGCTGAAAAAACAGATTGCTGTTCAAAATTGCAAACCAAACTTGAGCCATTTACTACCTTAAAATGTAAGAAGTTTAATGCACTTTTTTACAATCAGCAAATTAATTTTTCAGTGTTCATCTTTTACTATGAACATCACAAATGTTCAGTATTCAATACTTTTGTTGCACTTTTCAGACAATATTATTGTTAACTGTCAAAACCATTTTTTATTAAAAATTGTTATATTTAATGAAATGTACAATTTAACTAATTTTGTATATTCAAAGACATAAAGCTACAAACAGAACTGTTGTTCCAGCATTGTACAAATTCATTTGTTTTTGGTACAATCTAAAATTTGTAAGTACAATTGTACGTTTGAGGATGTTTTCGTTATGAGTTTTCTTTTGGGGGGGCCACAAAATGATTCACCCTACACAAGGGGGCCTCCTCCTGAAAAAGTTTGAGAACCACTGGTCTAAAGCGAAAGGTGCAAGTGCACTTAGGGTGTGTCTGAATCCACTTTTGCTAGTTTAATGACGGGAAAAATGGTCAGCGCATGGTCCAAAAGGGTTGTCCTTATTTTCTTAATGAGTAATGGGTGTTTGGGGGATAACATGCAAAAAACTAATCAGAGTGTAATTTCCCATTTCCCAGTTTAAGCAAGCGGAAAGACTGAACGCTTCTCCAGAGAGGAAACGGATCTACTAGTGTGCGAGGTTAAAGCAGACCATCTATGGGACAAGCCGGATTCCACTAAATCTTCATATAGAAAATATTAATCGCTTACATTGTAATCCTTTTTATTTTTAATATTTGGCATGTGCATATTGCTAACGCACTCTTTAAATAACAAAAAAATACAGTCTATTTTAGTTGCCTCAAAATAGCAACGTACCAACAATATGCCGAAACACACTTAGTTTTCAGACAAGCATCAACAAGGGCGCACAAATAGCCACAAATGCATTTGCTATTTAAACAACGTGGCGCAGGATGTGAAAAAGATAACTGCGTTGGGCTGAAACTAGCAAAAAAAATCTTTTGTCACGCACGGCACCAAGTGTATGATAGGGCCCACAGACTCAGGTAATTCACTCATTGCCTAATCTCTCTCTCTCTCTCTCTCTCTCTCTCTCTCTCTCTCTCTCTCTCGAATAACTGCATAAACTGCATCATTCTGGTACAGTATCAGTGGCTCAAACCTTCGTTATAAGCTCTGAAAAAGACTTTTTGGAATTAGAAAAGGAGGTTTAGGATTAGTTGTGTTAGAAATTAGTCCTACAAGAGCGTTTTAAGAACAAAAACCAGGTAAGTCTTGAAATGCACAAATGTGAACAATGTTTTGAGGTGAGGTCAGGAGTATAAGCAGGATAACTGACTCCAACAGGACTCAAAACTCTCTCACACTGGCCCCAGTTCATTGTTGAGTAAACAAAGCATTGAGATTTTGAATTCTGCACCATTTCTAGGTCACGCATCAAGCCAATTGGTGACATTGATCATATGACTCTTAGTACAGACGGTCAGATTTTTCTTGCTTCCATTGAAGATCGAGATGCTTTTTAGATCATCGCAAATCATTCGGAAGAACATGATCATCAGGTTTTACCCCGATGATACCCTAACTTGTGGAGTTTCAAAGAAGCAAAAAGAGGGACAAACAAAATACAAAGTCATGCTGAAATGAACACTGTAAATTCAATGTTCCAATCAAACCGCAATGACAAATACTTTATGTGGCCCTGAGAAAAACTCCATTTGTGCCTCGAGACAGAATAAATACAAACATGTTGTGATATCTCTTGCTAATTTCAAATGCAAGGTAATCAAAACAAGTCTCTCCCCAAGCAATTCTCTCTCACTGGGAATGAAATGGATGGCCCACTGAGATTGCAGATTAGCCTCATTTCATTGGTTGATTTCAACGCATACTAATTTACTCCAATCTAAATGTGCTCAAGAGGCCCATCATTCTCATTTAGAGTTCTGGTATCAATTCCACCTCTATGGCTGTTTGGCAAGACATTAGTGTGTCTGCCTTTTTCATTCTGCACTCACTTCACACAGTTCTCATTTCCAATAGTGTAAAACATGATTTACTGTTGTCGTACATTAGGGAGCATCTTGGTCCAGCATGGGTGCGTATTGAGCTGTAGTATGAAGTGCTGATCTATGCTGAATGAGACTAGTTGGGACCGCTAGGGAGGCTCTGTGAGTCATACTGCGAGACCTCAAAGGAAGAGTGGAGAGAACTCCTCTTACACTGACATCACCGGCTCTAGCCACCCACACCTGGAAATAATCAGCAGCTACAGAGCATGAAACTCATTGGGAATGTGGTCAGTATCACACAAGACGCTTTAAATCACAAGGCGGCAACCGAATTAATCATATTAAGAACTGCAGTAATAAATAGTATTTTAGAATGCTTGATCAAAACCCTTTGACTCAAATGCCCCACTTTGTCCAGGACAATATTTAAAGTCCCTCTTGTATAAGCTAATATGTTCCTCTGGTATTCTGTTGTGATAATAACAAACTTAAAAATGTTATGATTTCAGTTTATGGGTAACACTTTGCAGTAAGGTTTCATTAGTTAACATTAGATTGTCCTGTTTTTCTGTTGCAGAAGCACGAGTTCTTGAAGCTCCGACCCTTCTTCTTGAAAGTGGGCCAGAGCATCAGCTCATTTGCATTTAAAGGGACACACACAAAAAGTGGCAATTTTAACATACTATAAAATGATCTGTGGGGTATTTTGAGCCATCAGATGAGTATTTTACATCTTGTAAAAGGGGTATAATACGTCACCTTAAACTAATGTTAACAAATGATTTTGTAAAGTGTTACAATTTTAGGACTTCAAATTGGAAGTTTACTGAGGCCCCTTGGGTCCAGCCCCCTTGTTGAGAACTACTAACCCTAATAAAAACACAATTATTGACCTCTTTTACTACTAGTTATTCTACTTTTATTACTAGTTATATCACTGCAACATACTTTTACTTAAAAAGTTAATAATTTCCTTTGAAATATTATTTTGTGATATTACATTTTTGTTAATTAAATAAAGAAAAATGTCAAGAATATTCAGAAATATTTTACAATTTTTCTAAATTGAATGAAATAAGTTTATTTACATCAACATTTCTCTGTTGTTGTTTCTCGCCACAGTACATAATGGAATTGCTCTCTCCACAAAGGATGCTTTAGCCAAAATATTAACCAAAATGAGGTAGTATAATTAAGTAGCCTCCTTTTTAAGCAGTCTTCGTGTCACAAGTGTGCATAATAT